ATTTAGGGTATACTGGGAACTTGTAGGCACCGAAATATTGACTGAGGATGTACTTAGTGGAAGAGTTCTTGGCCAGTATGAGCAAGGCCTCAGATTCTGGATGCAGCATAGCAAAACCAAATTTTGGAGTTTTTTTGTTGCTGGTGTTCTTTCTTTCTTTCTTTCTTTCTTTCTTTCTTTCTTTCTTTCCTTCCTTCCTTCCTTCCTTCCTTCCTTCCTTCCTTCCTTCCTTCCTTCCTTCCTTCCTTCCTTCCTTCCTTCCTTCCTTCCTTCTTTCTTTCTTTCTTTCTTTCTTTCTTTCTTTCTTTCTTTTTGAGACACAGTTTCTCTGTGTAACAGTCCTGGCTGACCTGGAACTCACTATGTAGACCAGGCTGGCCTCAAACTCTCACAGATTCACCTGCCTTTGTCTCCTGAGTACTGGGATTAAAGGTGTGTGGTACCACTGCCCACTCCATTTATACTTTTGAGTCAGCTAGAAGAGATATAAATCTAGTGTCAGATACCAAATCAGTTGTGATGAATTTTGTCGTGTACTAACACAGTAAAAGTTTGTAAGGTTTAGCAACATGGAAGATGGTGAGCAAAAAAAAAAAAAAAAAAAATAGTAACTGAGCTTAACATTTTTGAATGTCTTTGCTTTTTTTTGCTTTTTTGTTCATTTATTTAAAGAAAACCTTAAGAGGTCTGCTTTTACATCAGTAGTTGTTTTGGGCTACTAGCTGGTGTGAACTTATATTTGCTTAACACTTATGTGTACATATATGTGTTATGAGACATGATTTTACTTTATAGCCTATACTGGCCTCCAACACACTGTGCAGCAATTCTCCTGCCTCAGCCTCTTGAGTGCTGAGATTACAGGATGTGCCACTCACCTAGCTTGTGTCTTCATGCCTACTCTGATTTGTACTAAGGTTGTGTATTTCATAATTAGTATTTGGAAAATATAAATATAGCTCACTCTAAAATTAAGAGTTTTTTTATAATAGGAAATTTCAGCATATTTTTAATGCTTAGTCTTTTAAAATGTGTGTTTGGATTTTTTGTTTGTTTGTTTTTGTTTTTTGTTTTCTAGCATCTTGCTATATCTTGTACTTGATCTTCCTGACTCAGCCTCCTGAATGTTGGGGTATATGGTACCATGTCATGACTTTATTACATTTTGAGAACATTGTGTAATCTTATCTATTGATTTTGTTAACGTGACGATTGATTTTGTTAACATGACGTGTTTCACGATAACAGCTATTGCCTCTGTATGATAGGCTTCATATACAGACCTAAAGATTATACTGACTATACATTAGTAAATCACTGGAAGTCAGTCTACAGCCATACAGATTTTCACATTTGTCTATAATAGTCTACCTAAAAAGATGAATAGAAATGATTGGTGTGTGATTTTTGTGTGTGTGTGTGTGTGTTGAGACAAGGTCTCTCTTATGTAGTTCTGACAGTCCTAGAACTTGCTATGTAGATCAAACTGGCCTTGAATTCATAATCCCAAGTGCTGGGATTAAAGTCATGCACCACAATGCCTGTCCTCAAATATATTTGAAAAGCTATTATTTCTTTTTTTGCACTCCTTTGGATCAAACCCGGGGCCTCATATAAACACACTAGGCAAGTGCTATACCACTTAGCTTATGTCTCTATTCCTCCATTTTTTTTATGAAGACTATTAAATAATTCCTGAGAGTCTCTTTGAATTTGAAATAAGGTTATAAATTTTTGTTCCAAAAGTAAAAGTTCTGATCAAGCCACCATCTGAACCTATTGAATCTAAATGAATGGAATTTAGATCAATGAAATTGCATTGCTTATTTTCCCTCAAGAGATTTAAAAATAATAAACTCAACTTTATAAATATTAAATGTACTCAGCAATTCAGATAAGATATGACAACTAGTAAGCAAGTTTGAAAACTCGTTTTTGGTCACATAATTAGGTATTAGTAATATCAGCTCATCTACTTGACTCACAGTAAACATTACTATAAAATGCTATTATACTGTGGTGCCTTTTTCTCTACACAGAGGGAAAGTTGCCAGCCACTCCAGAAAATATCAGAGTGATTTCAAATACGTTCAAGGAAGTCAGTTATGTACTTATTCTGTGCTACCAAGACAATTAATACACCAGTTTTAACAACTTTGTGTTCCAATTTAAAAAGGCCAGGCATGGTGTTACATGCATGTAATCCTAACACTTGGGAGTAAGTGGCAGGAGATCACCACAAATTCAAGAACGGCTGGTTTGCATAGAGCTCCAGGCCACCCAGGGATATATAGTTAGAATCTGTCTCAATACATAAATTGTTTCTAAGCCAGTATGTACTTTCACAATTTTGCTTTTCCATTCCCAAATGTCTGTATACACATTCTCAAATACAGGGCTTAGTAGTGTTTCAATCTCTTACTTTTAACCACAGTGACGTGATGGCAACCACACAGCTCCTGCCTTTCAAATCCTTTCGGTCCTCTGGGCAGGAAATAGTTCTAGGTTTGGTTAGGCTCTTACAGACCTCCCCCTCTTTTTTGTTTGGACTGATCAAACTCAGGTCCTGGCACATACTAGGTCAGTTCTTTGTCACTGAGTTACACTCCCAGCCCTCATCAGACTTCATTATTTTATTCATTTTTAAAATGAAAACCAGTTGCCTTAGATAGTTTCTAAAGCATGTCCACTTCCAAAATACTTTTTCTAAATGCTATTTTCCATGCCCCCAAATTTAGCAGTTCTAGTAGGTATAGCTTATTGTGGTTTTAATTTCTATTTTTATGTCTGTGATATCACACATCTTTTCTTTATTGGTTCATTGGTTCATTTTTTTATTATTGGTGAAATACCTTTTGCCAATTTTTAAATTGATTTTTGTCTTTTTTTCTACATCATGAAAATTATTTCTATATAAATTACAAAATATAGATCTGGATATAAGCCCAGTATATACATAAATATATGCACACACACATAAATATACATATTTATTTATTTTTTACTTTTACTACAAGGAGGTTGAATTTGATGTTGTTCTCAAGTATGAACCACCTCTAACATGCTGTCTTTGTATTTCATGTTAGGACTTTTTTGCCTTACAGAAGTGAGGCCGAGGGTTAATAATGAAGTTTCTGTATTTGTTTCTGTGAAATGATTCATTTGTAGCAAAGAAGCATATTGTTTAAGTTTTGTCTCTGAAATTCAAATAAAATGCTTATGATAATATCTCCAGTGATTTATGTATGTGTATTTAGTGGTGAACATATGTTTTTCATTATTAAAAATTTTATCCTTATAATATGGCATTTGTTCATGTTTGGAGTATATTTAGAAGTGGGTAGGAATGGTCAAATTTTGTGAGCAGCACTTTTGTCTTCAAGAATAGTTTTCTCAGAGCTGGAGAGATGGTTCATTGTTTAAGAGCACTGGCTGTTCTCAAGAGGACATGGGTTCTAGTCCAAGTACCCACACAGTAGCTTACATGTTGAGTCCAGAGGATCCAGTGCTTTCTTCTGGACTCTGCAGGCACTTGACAAACATGGTATACAGATGTACATACAGGCAAACACCCATACACATAAAATAATAATGACAACATTTTCTCTGCAGGCATGGCATTTAGCCTAATGTAGAGACTAATAATGATTGCTGAATCTGCTTGACTGTGTACTATTTTAATAGTAGTGGTAGGGTTATCATTTATCTAGTACCCTCAATAGCTTGCCTGTAAGAGTTCAAAAGAAATAATACTCCAGAAAGTTCATACAGATTTAGAGAATTTGAATGGAAGATGGAGTCATGGAAAGACAGTTGTATGAAGACCATGGTAACAGAACATGCCTGGCATTAATCCAAATATAGGCAGAGCTAAAGCTAATAAGAAACCATGGTGATGAATGCTATCATTCAGTTGTGGTCTTGATCACTCATTTTTAAAGTGGGCTTAATAGAAGTTTAATTTACTCGCAATAAAATGTTCCTACTGTACTGCAGTCCTGTGATTTTTGGTAAATCAATATCATTATGTAATTACTACCCAGAATATCTTCATCACGATAGAATTAACTCTTTATTATGTCTTTGGAGTCAGCCCTCAATTCTATTTCTTCAATGTAGGCAGTCTTTTAAGTTTGTATCTATTGATGAGTTTTGCTTCTTTGAGAATTTTATATAAATGGAATTATATAGCATGTATTTTCAAAAATTATGTTTCAGATATAATTTATTGTATTTATGCATGCATGTGTGTGTATCTGTGGTATGGTATGAATGTGGAAATCTGAGGCCAACTTTAAAGAATTTAATCTCTCCTTCCTTGTTAAGGCAAGACTTCTATATTCTGCTGCCATCTGATTTCTCTGGCCTAGCTAGCCAGTGAGCATCTGGGTGATTCTCTTGTCTTTGCTTCCCATCTGCCCATGGAAATTACAGTTGTGAGTCAATGGATACCTTGATTCCCAGGGTTGAACTTGGGTCATCAGTCTCATCCAGACATCATTTTTATTTCCTGGCCTTCTCTCTGACCCATAGGTGATATTTTATAAAAGATTTGACTTAACCTTATTTTAGTTGTGTATGTGTACATGTGTGTATATGTATGAATGCAGGTGCTTACAGGGTCGAGAAGAGGCCGTCAGGTCCCCTGAAACTGGAATTACAGGTGGTTATGAAATGTGCTGGGAATTGAATTCAAGGCTCTGCAAGATAGTATGTACTCAACTACTGTACCAGATCTCAATTGGTGGTACTGGGAAGAATAACCTGTGGGAGAGTATTAGATTATGAGAATGGAGCCCTCATAGACAAGACTAAGTCTCCCAGAGAACTCTTTATGCTGCTATCATGAGAGGGCACAATGTCAAGATGGTCATCTTCAACCCTAGAAGAAAGATCTTACTAGAATCTGACGGTGTTGACATGGCCATCTGGAACTTCTAGTTTCTAGAACTGTGAGAAATAAACACTGATTAACTTTCTCTGTTTGTTTTGTTTTTCAGACAAATGAAGAGAAAACAATGTCTGCCAACCTAAAATATCTTTCCTTGGGAATTTTGGTGTTTCAGACTACCAGTTTGGTTCTAACAATGCGTTATTCTAGGACTTTGAAAGAGGAGGGTCCTCGTTACCTGTCTTCTACAGCAGTAGTTGTGGCTGAAGTTTTGAAGATAATGGCCTGCATCTTTCTAGTCTACAAAGACAGTAGTAGGTATCTAGGGTATTTTTTTGCTTTTAATTTATTTGATTTTATATTATATGTGTATGTAAATATATCTGTAACTGAACATTTAATCTCTTGCATTATTTAATTTCTCTAGACATTATTTAAATTCTCTAAACATTTCAGTATTAAAAAAGATATTAAAACAGAGCCCAGGGAGAGGACTCAGCTGGTAAAATGCTTGTTATGCAAGTGTGAGGACCAGAGTTTGGATTCTCAGCACCCACATAACTAGCTGGGTGTGGCAGTGTGAGCTTGTCATTTAGTACTGGGAGGACCCCAGGAGCCTATTTGACAAGCTTGAGGTTCAGTGAGAGACCTTGAAAAATAAGGTAAAGAGCCACTGAGGAAGACAGCCAACATCAACTCACCACCCCCTCTCCCTCCCTCCCTCCCTCCCTCCCTCCCTCCCTGTCTCTTGGGAGCTCTCTCCTCTCTCTCTCTCTCTCTCTCTCTCTCTCTCTCTCTCTCTCTCTCTCTCTCTCTCTCTCTCTCTCTCTCTCTCTCTCTCTCTCTCTCTGTCTCACACATACACACACAATTGAATTAGTACCAATTTTACTTGGTTGGTACTAAAGGTATTCTGGTGTTTTTTGTTTGTTTTGTTTTGTTTTTTATTTATTTGTTCGTTGGTTTTTGAGATAGAATTTCTCTGTGTAGTTCTGGCTGTTCTGGAACTTGCTCTGTAGACTAGGCTGGCCTTAAACTCTGTGAGATCCTTACAGATCGGCTTGCATCTGCCTCTTGAGTGCTGGAATTAAAGGCGAGCGACACACCTTGTGACACTAAAGCCATTCTGTTCAGTCTGTAACATGATCCATGCTAGTTAATGCTATGCATATGAATCCAATTGCATTCATAGTTTATTAATTTGAGAAAAAGTAACTTCTCAAATTTTTTGTTCAAATTATATATAGAGAGTTCACAATAAGTTTTTTACTAAAGACTTTTTCTAGTTCCATTGACTAATGCAACAGTGAGTCATTCATGCAGTGCATTTAATAGAGTTTCACTGGGATGTAATTTATGAATTGTACCGTTGTTCTTTGGTGGTCCAGGTTGAGTGTTGGTCTTTGCATGTCCTAAGCATATGCTCAGCACTTGCTCTACCACTGGGGTATGTCCCAGCCTCAATTTAGCCTTTGCAGGCAGATTTTGGGGGTATTCAGTTGTTAATTTTTTTCTTGAGACAGTGACTTGTTATGTCATTCAAGCTGGCCTTGACTTCTTGATCATCCTTCGTAGTCTTCTGTGTGCTAGATTGAGAGGTGTGTGTTATCTGACTTTAATTTTTAAGCTGTGATGTGTGTGCATGCACATGTGTGTGCAAATGTGTATGATCACATGTATGTGAAGTTTTGCCGTTGTTGGCAAACCATGTTGGAACCAACAATGGTTAATGCTGCAATAGCTGTACAATGTAGTTTTACATTCACAATGTTGTACATCTGTCACTATTTCCAAAACTTTCTCAATCCACTGAGTAGAAAGTCTATGACTGTTAAGGAGTAATTCCCCACTCACCTTTTTTGCTTCTGAATTTACCTATTCTAGATATGTCATATAAGATGGATTATATGATGCTGTTCTCTTTTGTCTGGCTTAGTTCACTAGCATAATATTCTCAAAGCTTATGTTTCAGAACTCTGCTTTTTATACTATTCCACTGTATATTATACTATATCTTGTTTTCTTAGTCATATGTTGGTAGACACTGATTATTTATACCTTTTGAATATCATGTTGGAGCCAACAGTGGTTAATGCTGCCATAGCTGTACAAGTATCTGTTGGAATTTCTGCTTTCATTTTGGGGGATACATACCCTCCCTCCCCCAAAGCAGAATTGCTGGGTCATTGTCATCTGGTTGTTATTCATTTACCTTTTAAAAGAAATGTACTGCATGTATGTATGTGGTGGATGTGCATGTACCATGACATGTGTATGCAGGTCAAAGGACAACTTGTGAGATTCTGTTTTGTTCTAATACCATGTGAGTCCCAAGGATTGAATGTAGGTCATTAGATTTGGTGGCAGGTGCCATTACCCACGGAGTCATCTTGCTAGAAATCTTCATTTACTTTTTAAGGAATTATCAAACTTTTCCCACAGTATTTGTACCATTCTGTTTTATTTTATTATTTTTTCACTACCTTTTATTCATTGTGAGGGCACATGTATGAGCGTGTGCCATTGTGCCAGTGTGGAAGTCAGAGGACTTACATACAGGAGTTACTTCTTTCTTCTACCGTGTGGATCCTGCAGCTTGAGCTCAGCAAGCACTTTACCCACCTACTGGGTCATCTTGCTGGTTTCTATTTTATATTTTTGCTGACTGTGCATGAACTTTGCTTTTTCTCACCACTTCTTTTTCCCCATCATGCTGTTTCTTCCTCCTCCCTCTCTCTGTCTCGGGTTCTGTGTCTCTCTCTTGTGTGTGTTCAAGCCTACAGCCTCATGTACACCAGACAAATGGCTGTTCTCTGAGTTGTGCTCCAGTCCCTGCCCACCCCTCATACCCATTCTAGTGGGTATGAAGATGTGTTCATTGTGCTTTTGACTTGCACATCTCTAATTATTAGTGATGCTGAACATTTGACACAACTTGGCTAATAGATTATATCTGTGAAGGCAAGGAAACATGACACATACAGTTTTAAGGATGATTTGTAGGTTTTTTTTTAGATTAAGATGCTGTGCATGTTGGTAGAACAGAAAAAGATATAGAGAAGGTAGATTTGGAGATAAATCAAATGACTTCTTTTGGGTGTATGTTATGTTGGAGATACCTGCAAAGTACTTAAAGCCAAGGATGAGACCAAATAATATGTACATTAGAGGATAAAAAGGCCGAAAACCATAGGGCGTTAGTGGCGCACGCCTTTAATCCCAGCACTTGGGAGGCAGAGGCAGATGGATCTCTGTGAGTTCCAGGCCAGCCTGGTCTCCAGAGTAAGTTCCAGGACAGCCTCCAAAACGATACAGAGAAACCCTGTCTCGAAAAACCAAGAAAAAAACAAAAACAAAAACAAAACAAAAAAAAACAAAAACAAAAACAAAAAAAAAGAAGACCGAAAACCTAGATTCAGAGGTGTGATAAAAAAGCTGACTATGCAGATGCTACCAGCAGGATAGAAAGCCATGACAATATAACAGGAAAGCAGGTTAGCTTTTGTTGCTAAGGTCTAGATAGTACAAGTACCTACTGCATTAAGATTGGAGCCCAGGAGACCTTTCACATGAATAGTTGCATTGTAGCTAGATGTACTGAAACCAGCTTTTGGTGAGCTGAAGCATGATGAGGTTCACAGTACATCAATGTGAAGGCTAGGGAAGTCGTTTAGTTCATATTTCATATCCTAGTTGCTTAGCATTAGTAAAGTCTTAGTTCCATCTCTAGCATTGTGTAAAGGTGGGCCTGGTGGAACATGCTTGTAATACTATCTGGCACTTGGGAGTTGAGGCAGGAAGATCAGAAGTTTGAGGTCATCCTTGGCTACATAACAAGTTCGAAGTTAGTCTGGGCTCCATGACATCCTGTTGCAAAAGAACAAACCAATTTCAGGTAGCAGAAATATTGACATTGAAATCAAAACCAAGCTGAGCAGGGTTGCACATTTATAGCCCTGCTACTTGGGAGTTTGGGGTGGAAGGATCATGAGTTTGAGGCCTGCCTGATCTACATCGTAAGACTCTATTGGGGGTAAGAAGAAAAAAATGAAGGAAAAGAGCAGACATGGTGGCGCACGTAAATCATCCTAGTATTTTGGAGACTGAAGAAAGAGAATTTCAGATCCAGGGCTACATAACAAGACCTGCTTCAATGAACCAAACTAAACCATTGTGACCTCGGTACTGTGAATGATCTCAAACAACTATAAAAGCAAACTAAGACATAGGAGAGTGTGGTTTAGGGGTGCAGGGATGCATTTTAGGAGACATACCTTAAACTGAAAAAAATGTATCAAACCAAGTGAGGAAACAAGCCATATACATAACCAGCAACAAGTACCCAGAATTATAGAGAAGTATAGCACAGTAAGAAAGAGACAGTGAGTCATTAGAAAAGATATAGATGGATAATTCTCAGAGGAGGGAACCTAACTGGCTGGGTTGAGTATGTACAGCTTAGTGGCAGATGAAAAATGAAGGCATTTTATTAGATCTTGACTCATGCTACACGAGACAAGTTGAGCTAGTAGTTCAGCTTTCTGTTGTTTATAGCAGCCCTACTCCCCAGATCATTTCCCTTCTTTTTATGATTAATGTCTTCACAATTATTAATTCACGGATGCTAAGGAATAAATAAAATTCAGAGTTTTATAAAGTTACTACAATAAAAGAATGCTTGTTTGATTAATAATTTGAACTTTTGGTTATTACAAATGCATTTGTATATGTATATATACTTACATAGTCGTTTCCTTTGTTATCTCTCTCTCTCTCTCTCTCTCTCTCACACACACACACACACACACACACACACACACACACACACACACACACATAAACACACACACAGAGATTTGTTTGTTTGTTTTACGAGACAGGGTTTCTCTGTATTGTTTTGGAGGCTGTTGGACCAGCCCCGCCTCGAACTCACAGAGATCCGCCTGCCTCTGCCTCCCGAGTGCTGGAATTAAAGGCGTGCACCACCAATGCCCGGCCATTTTCCTGTTTTTAAAGATGTATTTTAGCCATATATGATGGTGCATGCCTTAATCCCAACATTAAGGAGGCAGAGGCAGGTGAATGCATGAGTCTGAGGTTAGCCTGGTCTACAGAGTGAGTTTAAGGACAGCAGGGCTACACAGAGAAACCCTGTCTCAAACAACAACAACAACAAAAAGCTTTATTTTAAAATTTTAATTTTGAGTATGTGTGTTTGTGTCTGTCTGTCTGTCTTTGCACCTGAGTGCAGGTGCTCCCAAAGATCAGAGGTGTCAGATCCACTTGAAGCTGGAGTTACAGGTGTCTTTGAGTCACCCAATCTGGAGACTGGGAATCAAACTCTGGTCCTCTACAAGAGCAATACTTTCTCCTAATTTCTGAGCTATCTCTTCCATACCCACTGTTCTATTTTTAAAGTGAGAAAACTGAGGCCTATAGAGAAGGAGCTCATTACTTCTTCAGAGATACTCTGACTGATTTTCCCCCATTTTGTTTATTCTAGAGTGTAGTGTGAGAACACTGAATCGAGTACTTCATGATGAAATTCTTAATAAGCCCATGGAAACACTTAAGCTTGCTATTCCATCAGGGATATATACTCTTCAGAATAATTTACTCTATGTCGCACTGTCAAACCTAGATGCAGCCACTTACCAGGTACCTAAGATATATTTCTAATCGTCCTTTTACAAAGCAAACAAAAAAAAATCCAAACATTAATAATACTGCTGTTTTCTTTTTTAGGTTACATATCAGTTGAAAATACTTACAACAGCGTTATTTTCTGTGTCTATGCTTGGTAAAAAATTAGGTGTGTACCAGTGGCTCTCTCTAGTAATTCTGATGGCAGGAGTTGCTTTTGTGCAGGTAACTATTCAAGATAAGTATGCCTTTCATTTCTGTCACAGTTTTAAAACCTGACTTATTTTGCATGGAGAATATGGTTCCATTACTCGTTCAAGCAAGTAAATGCTGACAGATAGTTTTTATGGCTCCCTGTAAGCAAATACTGCATTGAGAGTATGTGATATAAATAAATAAACACATGAATGAATTTTTCATACTAAAGAACTCAACAGTTGGGCTGTGGCATAGCTTTCTGGCAGGGGGCTTGCTTTGGTCCTCAGTATCACACACAGAGTTATGTTTTGTAGCCCTGGCTGATCTGGGTCTTCCTCTGCTATGAGTCTGTCCTCAAACTCTGATAACTCTCCTAACTGCCTTCTGAGTACTGAGATTACAGGCATGGCATGTGCCACTATGCCTGACTTTTCTTTTGATTTTTAAATTTATTTGTATGTGTCTGTCTGTGAGTGTATGCATATATGTATAGAGGCAAGACTAGAGGGCATTGGGTATCCTCTATCACTCTCTGCGAGTTCTCTTAAGGCAGAGCCTCTGCCTGAACCTTTTCATGGGTAGGGAAGCCAGCAAGCCCCAGTGAGCTTCCTGTTTCTGCTGCCTTCTGAGCTGACCTTACAAGTATGCACAGGACACATAACCTGTTATGTGGGTTTTCAGACTATGGGACATAAACAGAGATACATTCAGATGTAATAAGTAGATAGATGACTTCAACACCTAACTCTCATCAATAGGTAGATAATTAACAAAGGTAATCAACAGACTTGAGATTTAAACCATACAATAGACTCGTTATTGCACAGCACACACCCTTAACTGGTGAGCTAGCTCTAAAGATATATATCTCCATCTTTAAATTTTTTTAAAACTTTACATGTATGTTTGTAAGTCTGCACGAATTTATACTATGTAAATGCAGGAGCCCATGGGAACCAGAACGTGTCAGAACCCCTGGAACTGGAGTTCCAAATAGTTGTGAGCTGAAATGTGGGTGCCGGGAACTAAGCCCAGATCCTTTGCAAGAGCATCAAGTGCTCTTAAACGACTGTGCTATCTCCCTAGCTCCTATATTTTGTTTTTTTTCTAGGGAAGGTCTCACCATGTAGCTTTGAGCTCACCATCATCTGCTTCAGACTTAAGAGTACTGGGCTTATAGGTATGAACCAGAAAACTTGACAAGAGAGAGAGAAAAGAAGGAAGGAACAATCTAAGAAATTAAGACATGGCACAATGAAACTATATCTCAAAAACAAAACTAGAACAAAAGATAGCATATAAAAGAAAGAAGCTAAAGTTTTATGAGAACTGTGGAACCTCTGAGATGATTTGTGAACCTCTGATCCCTTTAACATCTACAGTCTTTATTGATACTGTTGTTTCTAACTCTCAGAACTTTCTAGTGATTGCTTATTCTTATTCTTCACTGAGTCATTGTCCCCAATTTTTACGGTCCTTTTTTATTCTGTGTGTATATATGCATATGGATTGTGTGTGTGTGTGTGTGTGTGTGTGTGTGTGTGTGTGTGTGTACTTGCTAGCAACATAAGATAGTAGAGACCTAGACTGTTTCTATCCTCACATAAAGCATACTGGGTAGTTACATGGGAGAGGGCCAAGGGCAAAAGGGGATAGTTTTTAAGAATCAACTAATTAGTCAGTTTTTAAGAATCAACGAATTAGTCCTCACTCTCATGTTGCAGTGAAGGCAAATTGAGTAGGAAGTGAAAGATGTTTAAGGGGGCTGGAGAGATGACTCAGCAGTTTAGAACACTGACTGCTCTTCCACAGGACCCGGGTTCAGTTTCTAGCATCCACACGGTGGCTCACAAATGTGTGACTGTAGTTCCAGGGGACCCAACACGCTTACACAGGTATATACACAGGCAAAAACACCAATGCACATGAAGGTGAAAATAAATACTTTTTTGAAACATTTTTTGTTAGTGCTGGGATTAAAGGTGTGCGTCACCACGGCCTGGCTTGAAACATTGTTTAAACCGGTATGGTGGCACACACCTATAATCCCCTCACTTGGGAGACTGAAGCAGGAGGATTGCTTTGAGTTAAAGCTAGGCTGACCATGTTAATATACTCCCCCACCCCCACTCCCAAAAACCCATTTAACATTGAAAAGTTTCTGGTAACTATGAAAAGTATTATTTTAACACTATGGGACATAAACAGAGATACATTCAGATGTAATAAGTAGATAGATGACTTCAACATCTAACTCTCATCAATAGGTAGATAATTAACAAAGGTAATCAACAGACTTGAGATTTAAACCATACAATAGACCAAACATATTTGTCTGGTAGAAATACAGAATATTCTATCTAAAGGTAAGGAATACAGATTCTTAGATGTGAATTTTCTCCAAAATCAATCACAATTTAGGTTAAAAAAAAACAAATGTGAAAGGCAGAGAATAAATTAAATAAAGCCTCCCTCTAGCACCCCCCCATAAAAAACAAACCTGTGGGAAAAATTAACATGTGGGTAATAAAACTGAGGAATATTTCAGTTACTGCTGTATAGAACCACAAAAGACCATGCATAGCCAAATCAGTCCTAAGTGAAAATAGCAATACTAGTCATGCATGGTTGTTCATGCTTATAATCTTAGCACTTAGTACTCTGAGACGACAGGAGAATTGCCATGAGTTTTGAGGCCATCTTGGGCTACCTTGTGAATTCTAGGCTAGTGTAGGATACAGTGTGAGATCCTGCCTCTACCTGCCCTCCATCCCGTCCACAAAGCCATGCTGGAGGAGTCACAGTACCTGATTTCAAATTATGCTTTAGAGCAGTGATAGTAAAAACAGCGTGGTACTGGCACAAAAACAGTCTGAGGTCAATGGATGAGAAGAGAGGTATCAGAAATAAACTCAAGCAGTTATAGCCACTTGATTTTTGATTTTGATTTTTGGAGAACAGATGCATATGCATCCACAGACAAGACTAAGACTAGCCCACTCTGTCTCAACCAGTGCAGAACTCTGTCCCAAATGGATTGAAGACTTTAACCTAAACCTTGAGCCCTTGGAGCCTTTAAAAGAGAACAGGGACAGCACTTAAGAGATAGCTAATGGCATGGGCCTTTTGCTAGATCCCAATACCAGGAAACAGTAGCAAGAATTGACAGATATGATTGCATGAAATGTAAAAGCTGCTTGACAAAGAAAACAACAGATGGAAGAGACTCCTTTGGAGGAGTTGTTGTTTACTAGTTCTTCATCAGTCGGGATTAATATCCAGTTATATAAAGAATTCAATAACCAACCAACCAAAAGTCCCAAGACTATCAATAATCAGACAAATGAACATAGCATATAGTTCTCAAAAGAAGAAATACAAATAGCTAATAAATGTACCTAAAATGCTCAGCATCTGTGTTGTTTTGTTTTGAGGCAGGATTTCTCTGGGTTGCCTTAGGTATCCTGGAATCTGTAGACCAGGCTGCCTGGAACTCACAGAGATCCGCCTGCCTCTGCCTCTCCAGTGCTGGGATTAAAGGTGTGCGCCACCAATGCCCGGCTGGAAATCAATCTTTTATACACCTCTGGTTAGAATATAAATGAGAGTAGCCAGTTGGAAAATTCCTCCATGGGAAGATATTAATTTTACGAGAGAGAGAGAGAGAGAGAGAGAGAGAGAAATCTAGATTGAAAAAATGATATGAAAGTAGAAAGGGACTAGTTTGAAAAAGGAGACCAGTGGGGACCCACAGACAATGGGTAACAATATTTAAAAGGTGTCAGTTGATACACCATGGTCAGTAATGTGCAAATCATATGGGTACCGTGCCTGGTACAGTAACTTATAGTCTTTCATTTTCTGTGTTTTAGATTTATTTATTATGTCTACAGTGTTTTGTCTGCAGGCCAGAAATGGACACCAGATCTCATTATAGATGGTTGTGAGCCACCATGTGGTTGCTGATAATTGAACTCAGGACCTCTGGAAGAGCAGCCTATGCTCGTAACCTTTGAGCCATCTCTCAAGCCCCCAGTCTTTCATTTGATGGAATATATTTTCCTTGTAGTGTTTGTGGTTCCTGTCCCACCAGCTTGTCCTTCTACTATGCTTGATTTAGCTTATCTTCTTCATTTGTGTGTGCTTTTGCTGGAGCGGCACCGTGGTGTGCTTGTGGAGGTCAGGGGACAGCTTATAAGAGTTGGTTCTCACGGAACTCTACTTTTTTTCTCTAGTCCTCTGTTTCTAATTGCTCACATGGCCCGGTTAGTGGATACACATACATGAAGTCCTATTCTGCTAGCTTCTGTTGTAGTCTTTATGTTATTCCTTCTGCCTCATGTGCTAGGAACATGCTGAATATTAACTTTCTGGGAGATAGGAGCCTGAGTTGACCTAGCCAACTTTCCTATGTGACCTGCCTATGCTGGCATTTGACATCTCACTGTCTTTTATCACTATGATTCTCCAAGTTTTCTTTCATACCTGGCTCACTTGTACGTCTTTCTATCCATTAACTGCTACTTCATAGATACAGATGTTTAAAAAATAAAAAAGACAAGTAGTTTTATAGAGAAACATGAGTAATAAATAATATAAAACTCTAAAAAAAAAAAAGAGTTGGTTCTCTCCATCCACCATGTGGATCCCAAGGATTAGACTCAGGTTGTCAGTCTTGGCTGCAAGTGTCCCTACCCACTGAGCCTTGTCAATGCCCTCTTCAGTGTTGTTTTTATTTTTATGTAGTGGCCTTCAGATTCTCAAGAGCTGGCCTCTAAGGAACTTTCAACTGGCTCACAGTTTGTAGGCCTCATGGCAGTTCTCACAGCATGTTTTTCAAGTGGCTTTGCTGGAGTTTATTTTGAGAAAATCTTAAAAGAAACAAAACAATCAGTATGGATAAGAAACATTCAACTTGGTAAGTTTTAAAGGCTTTCTAATAATGTATTTCTTTTTTTATTCCCATTTATTTTACATACCGACCAGTTTTTTCTCCTTCCTCCCCTCCTGTTCCCTTCCCTCACCTCCCATCTTACCACCTCTGACCCCCCATCCACTTCTTGTCTTCATTAAGAAAGGGGCGGGACTCCAATGGGCATTCACAAAGCATGACACACTAAGTTGAGGCAGCTCCTCCCATGCATCAAGGCTGGACTAGGCAACCCAGAATTGTGAATAGGTTCCCAAAAGCCAGTTCAAGTGTGAGGGACAGGTCCTCATCCCACTGCTGGGAGCTTGACAAACAGGCCAAGCTACACAACTGTCACACACATGCCGAGGGCCTAGGTCAGTCCCGTGCAGGCTCCCTGACTGTTGGCCCAGAGTCCATCAGCTCCCATGAGCTCAGATAAGCTGTTTTCATGGGTTTCCCAGTCATGATCTTGATTCCCCCTTGGCTCATACAATCCCTCCTCACTCATTTCAACAGGACTCCTGAAGCTTGGCCCAATGCTTGGCAATGGATTTCTGCATCTGCTTCCATCAGTTATTGGATGAAGGCTCTCTGATGACAATTAGGGTAGTCACCAATCTGATTACAGAAGAAGGCCAGTTCAGTCACCCTCTCCATTATTACTAGGAGTCTTACTGGGGTCACCCAAATGTACCCCTCCAGTCTCTTTAGTTACACTCCCCCTTTGTTCCAACCCCCAACCTAATCACTTATGTTCTTTATACTCCACCACCTCCCAGCCCCAACCCTGCCCCCAGGAGATCTCTTCTATTTTTTTTCCCTTTGGCTTTTCAAGACAGCGTTTCTCCATGTAACACTGGCTGTCTTGGAACTTGCTCTGTAGACCAGGCTGGCCTCTAAGTCACAGAGATTGACCTGCCTCTGCTTCCTGAGTTCTGGGATTACAGGCATGTGCCACCACCGCCTGGCTGTGTGAAATATTTTAAAGTATTCAAATTTCATCAAAAAGAAATACTTAAGTTGTGCAGGCTCCTAGCCCCAGTACTTGGTAGACAGGCAAGAGGAACAAGAAGAGCTCCAGCCCAGCTCATGTTACATGCTGAATTGTAGGACAGTCTCCAGTGCAAACCAGGACCCTGCCAGTAGGAGCAGGGGTTGGAGGGGGAGACAGGGTTGTCAACAAAAAAATGTTTCTCAGGAAAACTGCCATATAACCTATGTTTTACTTTCTTTTAGGTTTCTTTGGGAGTATATTTGGATTAATGGGTGTATATGTTTATGATGGAGAATTGGTATCAAAGAATGGATTTTTTCAGGGATATAATCAACTGACGTGGATAGTTGTTGTTCTGCAGGTAAAGAATATTGCTTCAGTACAGGGAAATAAAGTTGCTACTGGTGTGCTGGTATTTAAGGGTAGGGTCCTTCCTATTTTCATCATATTTACTTTATTCAGGGAAGTTAAAATACAGCTGTTCCTAATGCCCAATGAAAACTGACTTTGAAAAGGGGTCATGAATAAAACTCCATGGTATTTAATTCAATGCTATGAAAATGCAAGTGTTTAATTTTTGGTGTTGTTATTATATTAGTGTTTTGTCTGCATGTATGTATGTTCACCAAATATGTGCTTGGTGCCCATGTTTGTTAGGAGAAGGGTCAGATCCCCTGGAACTAGAGTTACAAATGGTTGTGTGCCACTAAAGTATGTGCTGGTAACCAAACTCAGGTCCTATGGAAGAGCAGCTACTGCTCTTAATCGATGAATCTTCTTTCAAGAATTAAATAGTTACATTACATAGTGGCATGCACCTTTAATCCCAGCACTCTGGAGGCAGAGGCAAGTGGATCTCTGTGAATTCAAGGCCAGCCTGGTCTACAGAGCAAACTCTAGGACAGCCAAGATTACATAGATACCCTGTCTCAAAAAAAAAAAAATTAGTCAAAAGTAAGAGTAAGCCTGGCGGTGGTGGCACACATCTTTAATTCCAGGATAGCCAGGGCTGCACAGAGAAACCTGGCCTCAAAAAAAATTGTAGGAGGGGTATTTCTATTTTTATAAAAGGAGGAAATGACACAGAGGAGAAATTTGGAGAAAATTTGAAATGAAGCTGTGGTAAACAGAGAATTTACATGATATATTTTATCTAGTTACAAGGAAGCCAACCTTTTAGAGAGAGCTAAAAGATAAAGTTTTTTTTAATTTTTAGAGAATATATATTTAATTTTGGTTTTTGAGACAAAGTCTCTCTACATAGCTCTGGCTGGAACTCACTCTAAGACCAGGCTGACCTCAAAGTCAGGGATCCGCCTGCCTCTGCCTCCTGAGTGCTGGGATTAAAGGTGTGCACCACCACCATCACCACCATCACCACCACCATCATCACCATCAACAACACCACCACCACCTATCCAAGAGCAACATTAAAGCAACTTTAAAAATAAAAATAAAAAAGAAGTTGATATAACTGGTATAAAGGATTCTACAGGGAATAGATGAATAACAGTATTTCCCCAAAATATGGATTCAAACATAATTTATAGTAAGCCCAATGGGCATAACTCGTAGCTTTTATAAATTAGACTTCCATCATTAAAGAAAGACATTTAGAGTGGGTCCCTTGATTTGGAAGCAGGTATATAGGGTCTGGTAGAAGAAAAACCCAGACCAGACAAATAATAAACACAAAAGTGTCTATTATCTGAAAAATTTTTTGTTTTAATTAATGGTGGGAGATTTGGGACTTTTGCATATACATAATGAGATACCTTGTGACTGTGACTCAATTCTAAACAAAATTTTGCTTTCTGTATGTACATACACGTAGCCTGGAAGTAATGTTAATGCAGTTTAGAGTGCACCTGCATTGTATGACTGACTTATCACATGAGGCAGGTGCAGACTTTTCCATTTATGTGTGCTTCATGGCAGTGCTCAAAGAAGTGCTGGGCTTTGGAACATTTTGGATTTTTGCAGGATTTTGAATTTTTGTATAGCAAAGTCCAATATGTGTGTGTTGCTTGGATTGAACGCAGTGCCCTCACACCTACTAGGCAAGTACTTTACTACTGAGCTACTCACCACTCACTAAGTTTGTTTTTTTGTTGTTTTACTTATTTAGTTATATATGTATATGTGTGTGCCTGCATGCATATGTGTACACTGTGTACATGCAATGTCTGCAGAGGTCAGAAGAGGCATTAGAACCCCTGGAACTGAAGTTACAGATAGTGAGCTGTCTGACATGGGTGCTTGAGAATGATTTGGTAGAAGGTTCTTTATATACTGTGGAGATAGCTCAGTGGTAGAGAACTTACCTACCATGCACTTACCTATACATGAACTTTGGTGTTCAGTATACAGTACTGCAAAAATACAATCCAAACCATGCACCCTGACAGCCAGAAGAGGTAGATCAGAATGGAGAGAAAATTAAAGAAGACAAAGGGAGAAGACTGTTGGAAAGGTAGTAAAAAAGTGTCTTTTATTCAACTTAAATCCTGTATACATTTGTCCTTAAGCTGTCCAAACACGTGTTTAATTATTGAATTTGGCGAAAAAAGACTTTTTGTAATGTGATCAAATTCTGTTACAGCAAACTGTAGATTGCTTTGATGGTTATATTGAGGGCTAGAAGACAAAACTGGAAATGTGTTGTTTTCTGTTCATATGAATCATTTGCTAGGATATAGTTACATTTGTAGACAGAAGCCTTAAAGCTTCCCTGAGAAATAAAATCTTATATTCATTTAAAAAACACTGTCTTATAACTTTTACAGGCGCTTGGAGGCCTTGTAATAGCTGCTGTCATTAAGTATGCAGACAATATTTTAAAAGGATTTGCCACCTCTTTATCCATAATATTGTCAACAGTTATATCCTATTTTTGGTTGCAAGATTTTGTGCCAACCAGGTAAATATTCCTTTCTATTTATTTATTTTTCTTTCCATTCTTACTTTTTCCTGTGTGTCTTGTTGTTAGTATTACCATGATTGCATTTAGATTTGCTTATTCATGTCCAAAAGTATATTAAATAGCCACTCTGTTCTAGCAATCACTCTTGGAGTCTGGAAAAAAGAAACATATGAATAAGATGGTTATATTCAAGAAAGTCACAGTGACTAGAAAACCAGACACAAGAGAAATTATGGCATGAGTATCAATGAAAGTATATATCAGCTCATTAAAGAGGGGGCTCAAATCATTGAAATAATCATAGTATGATAGGTTTTCTGTTTATAATTAATGAAGAGTACATAACTGAGAAGAGTAACAAATATGTAAATAATGTGTTAATTAATCACAATGTGACAAACATTAGGGTAGCTCTCTCTTGGGGAGTGAGTCTTGGACAGTAGACCTGAATCATTATCAATAAACCCTTTTTAAGAGGAAGGGAATTGTGGTTAAGAACTAGTGTCTGCCATGACAACATCATGGAAAAGTACATGGAGTCCAGGGGTCAGGTTTATAGAATGAATGGGAAGAGTGTGGAGGATGATGTTGAATGGACCACACTGGCACCTGACTTTAGCCCCAATGGGACCTGTTGACCAGCTTGCCTACACAGTGAAACCCTGTAACAAGTAAAGCAAAGCCGAGCCTCTGTTTTTATAGGAAGGGTAAAGACTGGTAATTCCTGTCCTTTTAGATTTTTTTTTAGGTTGAGGGTAATGACTTCAAACCATTAATAGAAACCTTAAAGCCAAGACTAACCCATGCCTCCGGCCGCATTTAAAAATGTGTAATAACAAATTATGATTGCTAGCCTAGATTATGTCCAGTTGCTATGAAGTAAATTGTATCTCTACATATATCAGACCAAGAAAGAGGAAACATCCTGTAAATATTGGGCCTGAGCTTTGGTTATTATTACCTTGGATTTTGAACTAAATTCACCTAAGTTCAGCATGAAAGGATGAACTTTTCTTTTTCCATTTTTTAAAGCTTTGGGTATTTCATTACTGGATGAATCCCATACAGAATGCACGTTAGGTGAGGGTACTGCACTGGAAACAGAAACTGTGCAGTAGATGAGAGTACAAGCTCAAAGCCAGTGACTGAATCCCATCCCCTACTTATTTGGGACTTTTGGGCAAGTTTTTAAAGTCCTTAAACCCTTTCCCCAAAGGTAAAAGCATTTAGCCAAGCACCTGGACATAGAATGTACTCAGCGTTTATTAGTTACTGGAATATTTCTTCCCCAAATTGCAATTGTTTTATATTACATATATTGAAAGAACTTAATTTGCATTTAATCTGACTTTTTCTTTTCTTTTTCTTCATCCTATTTAGTGTCTTTTTCCTTGGAGCCATCCTTGTAATCGCAGCTACTTTCTTATACGGTTATGATCCCAAACCTGCAGGAAATCCCATTAAAGCATAGTCATGTACTATCTTTAACTGGTTTTTCACGATGGTGCCCTAGGAATCTCAACATTAATCTTGCACAGAGGACTTCTGCAGGTTCTATGAAGATATCATCATGCTAAATCTGATCATACTGTTCAAATGATTTGAAAATGTATAGGCTTCAGGATGAAACGTGTATATCAGCTAGAAACCCAAGCTTGGAAGTGTGTCTAGGGAGTAGTGTTAGAGGGATATGGATAGGAGGCCTGAAGTCGGAGCTCATAACAACTTCACCCTTTTGGTTGCTGCAGAACAGTCCAGTGCAGCCTTTGCGAGAGCACACAAATGCAAATGCCAATGTTTGCAAGGCAGATCTACTTGCTTACCACATGTTCTTAATCTTACTCTGTCTGTACAGATATATCAAATTACACGGACTATTTGAAGTCAGAAGATTATAATTGCCTATAAAGCTGTGAACAAACAAATATAAAACCATTTCCATGTATCTGGGATTTTTGTATTCATGCAGAAGATTGCTAAGCAAAGGATTGCTAAATGTTATTTGTTCAGCTACATAAAACTTGATGAAGTAGTCTGGGTTTGATTCATATTTAAGTTTAGTATAGGGAGAATCTATTTCTCCATGTATAGCTTTAGACCATTTACTGCTTTGAGATAGCTGTTATGTTCTTCATATACTAAAATAGCCAGTGACTTTGACACTAATGAAGTTTTACCCATCATTTTCCAGTTGTATTTCTTTCTAATATATAAGAGAAATTCTTATTATTACCTTAAATTAAATTGTGTGTGCTGCCATTAAAACTTTTTAATGAATTTAAAGGGATTAGGTACTCATTTAATAACTGAAAACAAAATAATGATTACTGTCCAGTCTCCATGTGGAGAAATCTGAACTATGAAGTATAGACTACATATAATTTTGAAATGGAGAATTTTGTTATTCTGCAGTAGGAATTTCTTTTATTCTGCAACTGTTGACAGAGGCAACAATAAAAAAAATAGTACTAGTTATATCAGTGGACCAAGAACAAAGCTGACTTTCTTACAGACATTCTCTACTGTCATATTATTACTTTTTTTTTTAAAGGCAAGGTTTCCTCATGTAGATCAGGCTGGCCTCGAACTCACAGAGATTTACCAGTCTCTGCCTCCTGATTGCTGGAATTAAGGGTATGGACCACCCTGCCCAGCTCAGTACATTAAGTAGCACTATAATTTAAGCTCAAAGGCTATTTAGAAGTTTTTAGGTCTTAAAAGCCCATTCCCCTAGCAATACTCTGATCATATGTCAGAAGAGGTGGTGGCATTCTGAGTTCCCTTTCTATGTCCCCATGAGTGCTGCTGGGCGGGGGCAACCACTTGCTTTAAAATAGTAGATTTTGTTTCTTATAGCACTGGCATTGAGGATACAAATTATGAGTTATTTAATAAGCTGATTCAAAGGAGAGACTATATTAGAAATAATAAAGTGAAATGGGAGACAAAAATGTATTCTATATTTGGAATATAATTTATTTAATTATTGACTATATGCAGAATTACCTATTGAATATAAGATGTATTTTACTTTATTTTTTCATTTATATTGTATATATTTTAAAAGTTTGTTGTAATAGATACAAACCTATAAGAAGATGACTATTTTTTAGGTAGTTCTAACAGATTTTGTAACATGGAGTTTGACTCAAAAGTACTACTGCTAAGAACTGTAAGGTAGGTACCCTTGGCTAACTTGGACTGGCTGTTATGATCTTGTTAGTGCACATGTACTCTCAATAGTGTACATGCCTAGCCAAGTCCATTCAGTTTCAAAGTACTTAAAATTACAGAGTATTTAAAGCTATTGCACCAGCGATGACAGAGTGATACCAGGTTTTCTGGATGCCAGATTTATGGTTTTCAGTGATTGAATAACTTTTGGAGATTGAATAACTCCATTTGGAGCATGGTGTTCGGCCACCACAACATTCAAGCTATGTCCTAAAGCCTACAACTAAGTACAGCCTAGATCTTGCAAATATATAAAATTCATGGATACAGATTGATGTTCGGCTCACATAAGTATTGTGTGGGCAGTTGTGCTAATACCATGTAGATTCACAATTAATGGTTACTTAGATCTGTCTACCCCTGTCTTAACCCCACAAAAATATATACAAGTAAGTTATTGGTATTAAGATTGTTAAAGTAATAATGCATTTCAGGTGTCTGGAAATCTTTTATTAGGTGTCATTTATATTTTTCTTTTCTAGTCAGTCTAAAAATGTTATTTGGCTGAATGTATAGTTTAAAAATTTATAAGGAAAAAAATTACATTTGGGGGAAAAATGGGCTTGTAGCCTAGATTGTGTCATATATATTGATACTGAAATTTTGTGTAATGTGCTTTGTGTTTTAATGATGTTCAATGGTGTAATTTTGTCATGCTTTTATAATAACGCTTGGATTATTTAAATTTGATACTTTAAAAAGTGTACTTGTTGTTGCTCAGCTATTTTCCCTAATACAGAATGTGTGAATTCTTGGAGAAAGAATAGCAACAAGAGCTGCATTAAAGTTAGGCGTAGCCCATTGACAGAGTTTGGCTCACCAGCAAGCCCTGCAGTGCAGTATAGCAGCTCTGTACTGAATGCTTTTCAAGCTGGAAGTTAACTATTATAATAGAATATGTAGTTTAAAAATGTAGAACTTCAAGGTTTACACCAGTTTCTATGGAATGCCACAGAATTTCATATGAAGAAAAGGCAATGGGATATTTAAACAAGAGTCCATTAGGAAATTCCAAAAGGAAATTGACACTCTGCTCTGAACACTTTAGAATGCTTACTCTTCTTACAAATCAAGTTAGTAGACTTTAAATGTCATTACACAATCATTTGACTGAGGTCTTGTCTTTTCTTTTCTTTTTGAGGCAGGGTCTTACTCTGTAGCCTTGGCTGGCCTGGAACTTGCTATGTAGCCCAGGCTGGCCAGCAAATCACAAAGATCTGCCTGCCTCTGTCTTTCAAGTGCTGGGCTTTAAGGTGTGTGCTAGCACCCCCATTTGAGTTTTGTTTATAAAGAAAGGCTTTGGCATCACTCATTCTATTTAAACATTCATTGTAAAAATATTTGACTTCTATAGCTGTATCTTTACATTGAATTTATAAAAAGTATTTATGTTGTATTGAAAGTCATCTCAAGAATCTCCAAGATATTTAAAGTAGTTATAGGGCCAAAGAAAATGCACCTTTACCACAATCTGGTCCTATGTGCCTTGCTTTACCAAATAAATACCTGACTTTTATGGAGAGTATTTCTGTAATTTACAACTTTAAACACATACTTGAAATTGGGATTTTTTAAAAGAATAACGGAATAACTATAATTGTTTCAACATTTGCTCTTTAAATCCATGATCTAGCAAACTGATACTAAGTATCCTGTCAAAGCATCCGTGAATAGCACTAGTTTAAGTGACTTATGACACCTGCACGGTGATTCCAGTTTGAAACTTTAGCAACTGTATATAAATGTCTGTCTGTTGTTTCTTTTCTTGTAAGACATAATTTGCTGTGATTTAAAATATTTTAAAAGTGATTTCTACCCTAAATTGGTCTATGTCTGTACATCATTTACATAAAGTGATTCTTTGGGTTTGGGAATGTGATTTGTATTTTAAATTTTTTACGAATATATTTCAAAGGAATGTATAAACTGGTCTTTTATTAAGTGTTTTTTTAAAATGATAATTCCTCATGTTGTTTTTTGGTATTCATTATTACCTATATTTAATAGATAAGGGGAATAGATTATTTTCATAAATAACTATATTTTCCTGCTTTCCCTTTTTTACCTGTGTCTGATTTAATCTGTGGATTACTTTCTTGTTTTTATATTTCAGGAATAACTTGCTCATCTTCATCCCTTGGTAACTTGATGTCACATGTAATTCTGCTTCCTTTTCTTTGTTTTACCAGAGTGGTTAGAATTTCTCTGCCTATATAATGATCTCAGCTCAAAGGATTTTGTTTGAAATAAAATACTTCTTTGCTGCCGGCCAGGTTCAGTAGTTACTCAGGACCTTTCCTTCACTGCCTGAGTGTGATGGCTTCTGTTGTGGCATCCACATTTATCCCCATTTCTACTCTGATGTAGCCACACACGGAATACTTCAAGAGCTCAAAAGGAAATATCTCAGCATTTTACAAAGGTATTTTTGCTAAGTTCCCATGAGAAGCACTACTTGAAACTCCAATGTTACTTTTTGTGTTAGTGTTTCTTTTGAGACTGGAGACGTAGCTCAATGGTTAAGAGCACTTACTGCTCTCCCCCTGGGACCTACATTTCATTCCCAGCGTCCACATTAGGAGGCTCACCACCATCTAAAACTCCAGCTCCAGGGATCAGAGGCCTCTGTTCTCCACCAGCTCTGTTATGTGCACATACCGACATGCAGACGCACACCTACACATAATTTAAACCCATAAAACCAGGCGTGATGGCCCACGCCTTTATTCCCAGGACTTGGGAGGCAGAGGCAGGTGGAGCTCTGTGAGTTTAAGGCCCAGTCTACTTTGTGAGATCCTATCAAATAACTAAGTAAAAACAAAGGAATAAATAAAAACAAAGTTTGCCAGGCATGGTGGCATGCAGAAGCAGGCAGTTACCTTAAGTTTGAGGCTGTGATGGTCCACATAGGGAGTTACAGCACAGCCATGGTGCAGCCCTATGATCCAAGCATTCTGGAGACTGAGGCAATAGGTTACTTGAGGTCAGTGTGGGCTACAGCAAGTCTGAGGGTCAGCCTGCATCTCACAGTGGACCCCTGTCTGATCTCCCTCCCTGTTTTTCTCTTTTTCCTGTCTCTTTTTTTCTTTTCCTCTCTTCTTCCTTCCCTTTTTACTTTCTTTTTAATTATATCTTTGAGAGTTTCTTTTCCCATTTAACTGTTATTTGTCTCCATTTTCCTTATCAGTTAAATTTGATTCTGTATTAAATATTTTGGTTTTGTGTTACATTTGCTACTTCATTATCTTAATCACGATGCAATGGACTGTACCCATGTAGATGTGAAAGTTTCATAGACTCTATCTGTGAACTCACAAAGATAGTATTTTGGGGTTTTTTTGTTTTGTTTTGTTTGATTTTTCGTTGTTGTTGTTGCTGTTTTAATTAAAGATTTATTTATTATGTATACAGCTTTCTGCCTGCAGGCTAGAAAAGGGCACCAGATCTGATTATGGATGGATGTGAGCCACCATGTGGTGGCTAAGAATTGAACTCTGGAAGAGCAGCCAGTGCTCTTAACCAGTGAGCCATTTCTCCAGCCCCCAAAGATAGTATTTTTTAAAAAACTCCTTTTGTTGTTGACTTTAGTTTTGAGACAGTGTCTCATGGTCAATCCTGAGTTATCTTAAAACTATGTAGCTAAAGGTGACTTAGAGTATTTGCTGCTGCTGCTATAGTCTCCTGGACACTGGTCTTTCCCAACCACACCTGGCAGAGAATTTAAAAGAATTTTTTAAATTAATTTTACTTTTTATTTTTATTTTATATGCATGGATTTGCCTGAATGAAGATCTGTGTGCCATTTTCATTCCTGGTGCCCAAGGAGGCCAAAAGAAGGTATTGGACCCCAAGGAGCTGAATTTCCATATGGATGGTTATGAGCTGTAATGTGGGTTCTTGGAGTTGAAGCCCAATCCTCTGGGAGAGCAGTCAGTGCTCTTAACCATTGAGCCATCTCTCCAGCCCCCTTAAACTACATTTTAAAGCATTTGGGGTGTGTGTGTGGGGGTTGTCATTGTGTCAATGTGGAAGTCAGAGGACAATTTGTGAGAGTAAATTTGGATTCTGGGATCAAATTTAGATCATCAGGCTTGTCAGTAAGCACCTTTACCAGCTGAGACATCTCACCTGCCCCCAGTAAGCATTTTTAAGATGTTTTAATTCTGTATATGACGTATGTCTGTGCATGGGTAAGTGTACATGAGTGTGGGAGCCAGTGGAGGCCAGAATACTGTGTCATATACTATGAAGTTAGAATTTCTGGTGGTTGTAAGCTGCCAGATGAGGTAGGTTACTAGAAGCCAAACTCAGGTCTTCTCAGGAATAGCTTAGTGCTCTTAACCACTGAGCCATGTCTCTAGCCCCATTTTTTAAAACTAGCTTTTCATTTTGAAACAGACATAAAAGCTGAAAAATCAGCATACCCCAGACTTAACAACTAGCAGCTTTAAGAGCTTCGCCTCTGTTAGGACACGATCTCTAAAGGTTCAGTGCGTATGTCTCCAAAACAACCTCTTCCTCGATTCCTCCATCATCACACTTAGGAAAACTCAACACAGATGTTATCAACTTCATACCAGAATACCAGTTGTGTTTGTTTGTTTGTTGTGGATTTTTGTTTGTTTGTTTCTTTTTTTTGAGAAAGGGTTTTTCTGTGTAGCCTTGGCTGTCCTAGAACTCAGTCTGTAGATAGACCACACTGGCCTCGAACTGACAGAGCTGCTCCTGCCTCTGCCTCTGGAGTGCTTGAATTAAAGGTGTGCGCCTCCCCCAGTCTTACTGATTTTTGGTATTGAACATGGATACAATTGAAGTTTGTGTTTTCTATCTAGTCTAAAACACAGTTCCCCAGCAGGACTTTTGAAGACTTAAGAACTCTTGTACTACTTCTTGTGTGGATTCCTTTGTTTGACTTGGTCCCTTTATTTTATTATTATTATTTTATCTTGAAGACAGGTCATATACTAAGTTAGCTCTGACTTAATGAGTCCTTTTTGTTTTTGTTTTGAGACAGGGTTTCTCTGTATTGTTTTGGAGCCTGTCCTGGAACTTGCTCAGTAGACCAGGCTGGCCTTGAACTCACAGAAATCCTCCTGCCTCTGCCTCCCGAGTGCTGGGATTAAAGGCGTGCGCCACCAATGCCCGGCCCCTGACTTAATGTCTTAGGCAAGGATGTTTTACTATTTTTTTCTTTTAAAGATGGGGTCTTTTTATGTTTCACTATATTGAAACTCATTATATAGACCAGGCTGGCCTGGAACTCAAAGAGTTCCACCTACCTCTGTTTTTGAGTTCTGGCATAAAAAGTTGTGTACCACCATGCTCACCTACAATTCATCTTTTAATGCTTTGCATTCCAATCAGTATTTCCAACTGAATTTGGGCTGTTTTTAGAAAAGATACATTGTAGCCTAGGCTAGCCTGGAGCTCTCAGAGCAGCCAAGGTAGGCCTTAAGCTTGTGTTCCTTTAGCCTCAGCCCACTGAATGGTGGGATTACAGACTTTAGAATTTTTTTTTTTTTTCGAGACAGGGTTTCTCTGTATTGTTTTGGAGACTGTCCTGGAACTCACTCTGTAGACCAGGCTGGTCTCGAACTCACAGAGATCCACCTGCCTCTGCCTCCCGAGTGCTGGGATTAAAGGCGTGCGCCACCAACGCCCGGCCAGACTGTAGAATTTAATATCATGTTTTTAGTTTATATCTGACTATCCGCTTACAGTGAGACAATTTGGCTAATAGTAACATACTTGTATCTTATTCTGAGTCTAAATGCTACATTGCCAATATTCTAATGGCAAACACACTCTGAAATTCAAAATTTATTTGCATTTCTATTATTAGGATATAGCAGACCAACTACAGATGTATATTTAAAATATGTATTTAAAAGTAAATGAAAGGTCAGGCATGGTAGCACAACTTTTGATCCCAGGACTCAGGTAGAGGCAGGAGGATCTTTGTTAGCAATAAGGGGGCCTGGATCGACATAACCAGTCTGGCCAGCCAGACCTACAATGAGACCCTGTTTCAGGAGAAAATAAATAGTTAATGGAATTCAGGTCTTCTCTGCATAGGTTCACTAATTTTTATTTGTATCTAGTCTTGTAAATTTAAGCTTTTATTGTTGAACATATAAACCATTTTACCTGGTTCAAAGGTTAAAAATATGAGTGAAAAATCGTGACTGTTCACCTCCATTCCCAAGCACCTTCTGTGAGGAATAATTTTCCCCAGTTTATAATTGTTTCTTTCTCAAAGGCGAACATATGTGTGTCACTATATTTACTGTGGTTCTTTTCCTACACAAACGTGTTCTCTGTTCTTTAAGGCTTTCTTACAAAAAAGGCATTTGTCCATTTTTAGTGATTAACTTGACACCCAGTCACTTGGCTTCTGGAGCTCATTTTGTTGGTGGTGGTCTAAACTTCTACTTGATTTGTTCACGTTGACACTCACTGAATTGTCTATGTGCCAGAATTCAGTGAACACTCTCACCACCCACCTCCCATTCTATCCTGTCAGATCTTTTTAGTTGTAGCATCTCTTTTTTCCAAGACAGGGTTTCTCTATATAACAACCCAAGCTGTCCTGGAACTTGCTCTGTAGACCAGGCTGGCCTTGAACTCACAAAGTCAGGCTGTCTAAGTCAGCTCAAGGCTTGATTGGACCTAGAGGATCTACTCCAAGATGATCCAGAAAACTTCATAGGTGATTTCAGCTCCTCTAGTATCATGACATAGCAAGGGACACCCCCTGACAGAGTGAATGAAAATCTTGGCAAACACACCCAGTGCCTTTTGTGACCTAGCCTCTGAAGTCAGCCCTGCCACTTCTGCTTCAATCTGTTAAAATGGAGGGCGTCACTAACAAGGCCACAAGCCAGGAGAGGGAGCCTAGTCCACTTCTGGGGAGGAATATGGTAGCTGAATATATCTTAGAACCACCACATCCAGGCTCACTGTTTGCACATTTTGCTTTGTCACCAGCTTCCCTTCAATGAAAAAGTTTGAAAGGTCGATGGCACCCGTTGTGCTCTTTCATGGCCTAATACTGAAGGTATACTTAAGAAAAATGTTTTCAAAATTGCCAAAATCAAAATTTTTGCCGGGCATGGTGACACGTGCCTTGGATCACAGTATAGGAGGCAGTCGGGAAGATATCTTGAGTTTGAGGCAAGCCTGATCTACATAATGAGCCCCAGTCTCAAATAAAGTTAGCATTGTGGTAATACTTTGTATTTCATATTCTACTTGTGTCCATGCTCTTTTTAGTAATCTTGTAGTCAAACTGATTTCTTCAAACAAAAGACTTCCAAGCATATCTTGTTTAGATTGGCGTGGGGGAGGGGAGATAAAATGTTCTAGGACTAGGGTGTTGTTTAAGTAAGCATGACCTAGCTGAGCATCAGATCAACAGCTGAAAGGAACAAACAAAAACAAAACAACAAAAACCCCTCTAACTGCTAGTTTCGGTGGGGAAGCAGTTGACACAGTTGCTTATCAGTTTGGGACATCTTTTTCTTTTTCTTTTCTTTTTTTTTTTTTTCTTTTTGGTTTTATGAGACAGGGTTTCTCTGTATTGTTTTGGAGGCTGTCGGTCCAGCCCGGCCTTGAACTCACAGAGATCCGCCTGCCTCTGCCTATGCCTCCCGAGTGCTGGGATTAAAGGCGTGTGCCACCACCGCCCGGCCAGTTTGGGACATCTTGTTAGAGATTCTAAGAAACTGTCAGATTTGAGCAGGTAATAACTTTTTGAAACTTGATTTCCTTCATCTGCGAAGGAGAAACAGCTTCCCCACTGCTCAGCACCTTAGAATGACAGCTAGCTAGTCCAGGGATCGGGCTCCACCCGGCCCCAGGACTCCTCCCTGCTCTCTCTGCTGGTGTAGCGGTTTGAGAGGCGTGGCCGCACTGCGGGGGCGTGGCCGCGTCATGGGGGCGGGGCGGGCGACTCAGCCCATCGCACGATGTGACGCGCCGCCGGAGGCAGGCCGGGCCCTCAAGATGGCGGCGTTCGCCCGGAGCGGCTCGGCCCGGCAGTAGTGGCGGGACCGCACTCGCCGCTGGGGCCGCCCGCCCCCTGAGTGGCTGCTGCAGCTCCGGGAGTCGAGGATGGTAAAATGACCCAGGGGAAGAAAAAGAAACGGGCCGCGAACCGCAGTATCATGCTGGCCAAGAAGATCATCATTAAGGACGGAGGCACGGTGAGTCTTGGTTCGGCGCCGCAGGGCGGCCCCGGCGCGGGCCCAGCTCGCTCTTCCCCCTGCTTCCGCCTTCGCCGGCCGGGAGCACCCGGCGCGCCCGCCCTGCCGGCGCTGCCGCCGTCTCCACCTGCGGCCTCCGCGGCCTGGCGTCTTGGGAAGCCGCCCGCACCTGCGGCGGGTCTCGGCGTCTCGGGAGCCTGCGGCCTCGGCCCACGTGCACCGGCCGCGGGAGGAGGCGTCGGCCCCTCCGTAGCTCTGCCAGGCCCAGCGCGGCGCGGCGCGCGGGGAGGCCGGGCAGCCCTGCGCTCCGTATGCTGTGGCGGGTGGCCGCCGCCGCCGCGGCCCGCTGGGCCAGGGTACGTGCGTTGTCCCATCGTGGTCGCCGGGAGCCGGACTGGCGGCTCCGAACTGCCCTGGGCTCGGTGACCCTGTCGTGGGGTGGGCTCGCTTTGGCTCCCGGCGTCGGAAGCCTGACCTTACTACCTGGGGCCTAACACATACCCTCCTTTAGAGAAGTCGTCACCTTGAGCCTCAAAATAACAGTCATTAATTTGTCATGGCGTGAGGACCAGAGAAGACTCTTTGAAAGGCAGGCGGGCTAAGGCTAAAAATGTGCCTTTTAGACAGTCGTTATTCGCAGGAAACTTTATGCAGTGTGCAGTGGGTTACCAGAATTGGAGGTAGGATTTGTAATTGGCAAACGAGCGTACACTTTTTGTTGTACTGAGATTTTCTGCTGCTCACACACTGATCTTTGCTGAATCCTTTGGTATCACGTTCGGAAATAGAATGGAAAAAATAAGCTGTGTCTCTTTCCCGTGAAGTTGCAGACTTGGTTCTTTTCATCCATTTGTTGTAATTTAATGGAGCCTCGATCAATGCTAGCAAAGCACTAAAAATGTAAGTAGGCCACCACTGAGGATTTGCTGAATTCAGTTTGAAATAAATGACAACTTTCTTTTGCCATTTCAGATCATGGCCTAGTCCAACTGTCAAAAATTTAGGAAGCTTGGGACATATGGAACGATTTCAGAGTGTGTTCGGTTAACTGTCAGGTTTATTAGTTGTCATAACTTTGACATTTATTGACAAAAGAAAGTTCGATGTTTCCCAGATCCTTGTTACTGTACCAGATTAAAATATTACTTTGATCTGAAAAATTCAAGTTAGCTGTTTTGACCAAGTTGGTAGGAACTATATTGGGAGAAAAGGAGAGTGTTGTCAGCTATAGGAAGACAATTTTTGTTTTTGTTTTGTTTTGAGACAGTGTTTCTTTGTGTAACTTTGGTTGTCCCGGAACTCTGCTCTGTAGACCAGGCTGGCTTTGAACTCAGGTCTGCTGGTCTCTGCCTCCTAAGCGCTGGGAAGTAAAGGTGTGCCACAACCGCTAGACAAAAACCAAAATGTTAATGAAGCCAGATGATATTTAAGATCAGCATTCTTTGCAAAAGACAAGAATGAAAGATTAAGAAACACCTTTTAAATTGTATTTTTATTGCCTATTTGATGGATTTTTGTTTGGTTGGCTCTGTAAAGGTTTTTTGTTGTTTTTGTTGTTGTTGTTTTAATGAGATACTGGGGATCAAACTCATAACCTATGTCAGGCCTACAGCGTATTCATTCCAAATTCTTTTATTTTGTTTTTTGAGACAGGGTTTCTCTGTATTGTTTTGGAGGCTGTCCTGGAACTCACTCTGTAGACCAGGCTGGCCTTGAACTCACAGAAATCCTCCTGCCTCTGCCTCCCGAGTGCTGGGATTAAAGGTGTGCACCACCAACACCCGGCTCATTCCAAAATCTTAGTTTTAGAAGAGATCTCATGTAGCTCAGAATGATTTCAATTTTAGATCCTCCCACTTCTGCCTTCCAAGTGCTGGGATTATAGGTACGTGCTACCAGGCCTGGCAAGATGAGAGTCTTGTTTGTTTTTTTAAATCTTTGTGCTATGTATAAAGATACAGCACTATTTATAAAGATACAGCAATTTACAGCTTGCTTTCGTATACAAAATACTACTTTTCATTAGTAACAATGTAATCTTATGGAACACTAAATCAATGACAACTTTTCTTGAGGGCCGAGGTCTTAGAGAATTATCCTTTCCCATTATACTGTCCTTTGTTTTCCTCTCCATTTTTCTTTAAAAAAAAAAAAAGATTATGTGGAGGGCGGTGGTGGTACATGTCCTTAATCCTAGCACTTGGGAGGCAGAGGCAGGTGAATCTCTGTGAGTTCACAAGGCCAGCCTGGTCTACAATGCAGATTCCAGGACAGCCAGTGCCACTCAAAGAGATAAGAAGAACAAAGGAAAAAAAAAAAGATTATTTAAAGTTTTTATGTATATGGGTAATTTTGCCTGATTGTATGTATATGCTTAACATGCATGCCTGGTGCCTGAGGAGGTCAGAAGAGAGGGGTCACATCCTCTGGAACTTGAGTTACAGATGGTTTTTCACTGCCGTCTGAGTGCAGAGATCAGAACATGGGTCCTCTGCAAAGAGCACAAGTGCTCATAATGGTTGCGCCATCTCCAGTTTGCATTCTTAAGAACAGTGGTACTGTCTCTAGAGTAAGCCTTGTTTTCATCGTTGAATCCCACAGGGTGTGGGTCGGTGGGTGGGTGGGTGGGTGGGTGGGGTGGGTGGGTGGGTGGGGTGGGTGGGTGGGTGGGGTGGGTGGGTGGGTGGGTTGGGTGGGTGGGTGGGTTGGGTGGGTGGGTGGGTTGGGTGGGTGGGTGGGTTGGGTGGGTTGGGTGGATGGATGGATGGATATACTTTCTCATACATATGAAAGTTTTAAGATGGCACTGCTTTTCTACCTCTACATGTAAGTTAGACTCCTGTTGTGAACATTAAGATTTATTTTTATTTGACATGTGGATGTTTTGCCTGCTTGTATGTCTCACGATATGAGTGCAGTGACTTTGGATGCCAGAAGAGGCCATCAGATCCCTTGGAACTGGGATTATTGTTGTAGTTAGCCATTATGTGGGTGCTAGAGATGAAACCAGGGTCCTCTGGAAGAGCTGCTAGAAGGTGATCTTAACCACTGGGTCATCTTTCCAGTCCTCCCCCACTTTACCTCACCTTGGCTCTGTCTGTCTGTCTGTCCGTCTTTCTTTTTTGTTTTGTTTTGTTTTTCGAGACAGGGTTTCTCTGTGTTGCTTTGGAGCCTGTCCTGGAACTCTTAGACCAGGCTGGCTTCAAACTCACAGAAATCCTCCTGCCTCTGCCTCCCGAGTGCTGGGATTAAAGGTGTGTGCCACCACTGCTCGATTCTTTTTTAGTTTTTTAAGGGGAAAATTAACTTGGTTTTTACATTGTGTATTTTGTTGTGAATTGTAGAGTGTTGTTACTGAGGTTACAGTTTCAGCCTTTAAAGACGTTTTACCATTGAATTCAGTCAGTGGCCTGTAGATATCTGGGACTAAGTGGTCTCTCTGATAATCTTTGAGCATAGGTGATCAATGATTGGTCTGAGTCTCTTTTTTTCTTTTTAAGGTTAATGTTCTAAGTTTGTTCAACTGATTTTAATATTGTTGAAACCAAAAGTAACTAGTGATTTGGCAAAAATTAGAGTAGATTTCTAGGTATCAGCTGAAGAAATGGATCCTTCTGAATGAACGAGGTTAGTCATAACTTACTTGTGCTAGGTAATGAACTCATGACCTCACATGTGCTAGGCAAGTGTGCTACCATTAAGCAGCACCCTAATGGTGTGTTACTAATTTATTTCCCCCTTGAAGTTGTATTCAGTTTGCTCTGAGGTCTGGATAAAACTTTGTTGCGGCTTTAAGTAGTGTAGAACAAAGGTTAAATCACATTAAGTTGTGTGATGGTATTTATGAGTTTTGTTGAAGTTGCTGAGGATGAAATGAACCTAGGTTTTCACGAATGCTAAGCAAGCACTTTACAGCCGAACCTCACTCTCCAGTGTGTATCAGGAGTTTTAACTGGATCAGTTCACTCTGAAGGTGTTTGCAGAATTTTCTTGGTATATTTTTCTGGGCAGATTTTTTTTTTTTTTTTTTTTTTTTTTGGTTTTTATGAGACAGGGTTTCTCTGTATTGTTTTGGAGGCTATCGGGCTCACTTTGTAGTTCAGGCTGGCCTCAAGCTCAGAGATCCTCCTGCCTCTGCCTCCCCAGTTCAAAGGTGTGCACTGTACTGCCTGTCCTTGATAGTTGTTCTTTATGGCTGAAAAGTGTGTGTGTGTGTGTGTGTGTTACAGCATTTTCTCTATCCACTCCTGTTAAGAGCTATCTAGGTTCCTATAACTAACTACTGTAAGCAGTGTTGCACTGATAAGCTGATTTGGACCTCTGGGTAATACCAAGGAGTGGTAAACCTGGTCTTGTGACTGGTCTGTTTTTAATGTTTTGAGAAGCCTCCATACTGATGTCCATAGTAGTTGGACAGTGCCTTACACTCCCACCATCAGTGGATAAGGATTCCCTTTTGGTGGCCCCCTAGCTAGCATCTGTTTTGGTTTGTTTCTGTTCATGAGTGTCAGTTTGGTTGAGGTGAGATAGAATTTCAGTGTAGTTTAAATTTAAATTTCTCTACTGATTCCTGAGATTTTACCTCTTTTATGTGTTTATTGAATATTATGTTAATTTCATTTGCCCAGTTATGACTTGGGTTGTTTGATTTATGTAGTAATCTTTCTTGTGGACTATCTTTGGATTGCCAGCCCCCCAAATAATGACACAGAGACTTGTTAATTATGAAAGTTTGGTCTTTAGTTTAGGCTTGTCTCAACTAGCTCTTATTACTTAAATTAACCTATTTATATTAATCCTCTCTTCTATCTGTTTTTGGTTTTTTTTTTTTTTGTTTTTTTTTTGAGATAGGGTTTCTCTGTAGCTTTGGAGGTTGTCCTGGAACTCCCAGACCAGGCTGGCCTCAAACTCACAGAGATCATCTGCCTCTGCCTACCGAATGCTGAATTTAAGGCGTGCGCCACCAATGCCTGGCATTTGAATTGATTTTTGTGCAAGGTGAGATCTAGGGATCTAGCTTCATTCTTGTAGATTTGGAAATCCAACACCATCTGTTAGAAGAGGCAGTCCTTTCTCCAGCACATGTTTTTATGCATCTGTTAGAAGTTAGGTGGCTGTAACTGTATGGGTTTATTTCTGGGCTCTCATTTCCATGCCTGTTTTGTGACAATACCTTGTTGTTTTTGTTAACTATATCTCTGTCATATAGTTTGAGATCAGGTATTGTTATGCCCTGTATTGGTCTTTCTCATTTGAGGAATGGCATTGGGATTTTAATGGGGATTGTGTTGAATATGTAGATGGATTTATTATAGAATGGTCATTTTCACAATATCAATTCTAATCCATGAACGTGAGATGTCATTCTATTTCTAGTGTCCACTTAGATTACTTCAATGTTTTCAAGTTTTTGTTATAGATTTCTTTACTTATGTTTACCCCAAGGCATTTATTTTTATGTGTATAGGTGTTTTCCTACATGTATGTCTGTGTACCACATTCCTGCCTGGTGTCCTCAGAGGCCAGAAGAGAGCATTGGATCTCCTGAGATCAGGATTTCAGGTGGTTGTGAGCTGCTGTGGGTGCTGGGAATTAAACCTGAATCTTCTGTAAGAGCAGCTAGTGATCTTACTTGCAGAGTCATCTCTCCAACCCCTATAGATTTATTTATCTTCAGACAATAGTGAATGGGATTGTTTTCTTGCTTTTTCAGAACATTATTATTTTGGAAGGTTATTAATTTTTGTATGTTGATCAAAGTGTTTATAAGCACTAAGAAATTTTCCGTGAGGGTCTAATTTAAAGAATTATACATCTGCAAATAAGAATATTTAATGTTTTCCTTTTTTTGTTTGTTTGTTTGTTTTTCGAGACAGGGTTTCTCTGTATTGTTTTAGAGGCTGTCCTGGAACTCACTCTGTAGACTAGGCTGGCCTCGAACTCACAGAGATCCACCTGCCTCTGCCTCCCGAGTGCTGGGATTAAAGGTGTGTGCCACCAACGCCCGGCTGTTTTCCTTTTCTATTTGTATCCCTTTTGCTTATCTTACTACTGTAGCTGAGACTTCAAGCACTCACTATATTGAAGAAATGAAGGTTTTCTTTTTCTTTTTTTGAGTTTTTTCCCTGTTTAGTACTCAGATTTAAGAGTAGGTCTGTTTAAGAACAGCATAAGTAATTGTAGAGTCAATTACTGTATGTTAAATTATGTCTGTGTAATCTACTGGCCAACATTTCACCAATGAAAGTAATAATGGCACAGTTGAATTTGTTTTTGAGGGATCTGTATGTATCAGTAAAAATTTTAGCTCTAAGTTTTACTGCATATAAAGATATGGTGACCATGTTAAAGTCTCTAAGGTTAAGATGTAAAGCTGAGAATGGGGCATTCATCTCAAGCCAGAGCACTGTTGAGGAGGTGAGGCAAGAGGACCGGGAAGGAAAGGCCTAGTGTGCGCTACACAGCAAATTCCAGGTTAGCAAAAGACAGGAAAGAGGATGGTAGGATTAAAGTCAACTTGTGATATTTCAGAATACATCCTCTTATTGTTATGTTAAATCATTATCGTTTGTGATGTAAATTAACTATAAGGCTCCTGTTAAAATATGAGCTACAGTTATTCAATTGAGTTATATATTTTGCTGAAATTTTATTTAGACTTATTATTTAGACTAATTTATGTTTACTGTGTGTATGTTTATATGCTTGCATGTATGTCTGTTTGCTATGTGCTCAGGTAACTTCAGAGGCCAGAGAAGGCACTGGATTCCCAGAACTGGAATTACAGAGTTACAGATGGTTGTGCACCTTGTGTGGGCTCTGCGACTATACCCAGGTTGTCTGTGACTGTAACCCATGTCCTCTGTAACTGTAACCCAGTTCCTGTGTAACTGTAACCCATGTTCTCTGGGACTGTAACCCAGGTCCTCTGGGACTGTAACCCAGGTCCTCTGGGACTGTAACCCAGGTGATCTGTGACTATAACCCAGGTGATCTGTGACTATAACCCATGTCCTCTGGGACTATAACCCAGGTGATCTACGAGTAGAAACAAGGTCTTCTGTGACTATAACCCAGGTCCTCTGGAAGAGAAGCAGGCGCTCTTAGTCACTGGCTAATCTCCCCAGCCCAGGTTTACGTGTTTTTGCAAGATCTTCATGGGTTCTTTTAAACACAGGCATGTGTACCACAGTACCTCTGGAGCTTATGCTTCAGCATCTGCTTTAGATTAACAAACAGTTTTCTCAGATTAGGTATTTGTTCAAACAAATCTCATTAGGAGTACTGCTTATTAATATAGTAATCATGGACTCTGCCAGAAGTTGCAGATTATTGTTGTATAACTTGTTTGTAGCTGCTGAAAGTTTGGAGTTTGAGTAAAACAAATAGCTTTTCTGAAGTAGTAGTCTGACATCTGAAATACATATGACTTAAAGTTTTCAATTATTTAAGAGCACAAGTTGTCATTAGTGTGGTTTCAAGTTGGAAGTGTCAGTAAAAATATGACTTAAGGGCTGGTGGTATAGCTTGGCGGTAGATCATTGTCCAGTGTGTGCAGGGCTCAGAGGTTGAGGCTAAGCCTCCAAAACCAAGAGTTGTGCTTTTAGCTAGGGTGCATCAACATCCCTGAAATTGATTGTCTTTAGAAAGCAGATGTTGTTAATCTTCATAGTGGGATGACTTTCTCAAGGTGTAGACGCAGTTAGGAGTTCCAGTCTGTGAAATATTTTTGGCTAGAGTCTAATTTTAAAATAAGGAGTGGCATTGTAATACGAAGACAAGCCCTGAAGCCATCCTAGATATTGAAGATAACTTGGATTTAGTTAGCTGTTTGTAAATTTTAATCTTTCTTAATGAGTTCACTTTGTAGGCATTCCAGTAACATGACAGTGTTGCTTAACTTGATGGTGTAACCACACCCTGCCCACTAAGAGTAGAAAGGTGTACATTAGATAAGTCCCTTTAAAAACTTTTTCCACTTGAGACTCTTTTCTCCTGAGGAATTTTTATGTAACCCTGGAAATATAAAAGAAATGTACAGATTAAACACTTAATGAGGTTTTCGTTTTCCATAATTAATCCATTACCTTCCTCTGAAAGCAAAAGCAGTACAGTTCATAACACAGTTGAGACTCTGAGTTGAGGTCCTGGAGGCAGTGTCATCCAGGCTACTACTAAACTTTTGTTGTTAGCCCTTGAGCTTACATGGCTGGCTGGGGAGCTGTGACTTGCAGCCACTACCCAGTATTGTGAGAGTGTTGTACTATGTATCACAAACCCTGGAAAGAAGTCAAAATTTGAAGTCTGGATTCTTCTGAATGTATATTGCCTTTGTTCTGTTGTAAAGTTGAAAACAGTCCTCCAACCACTGAAGATGGGAAAAAAAAGGTTTAAATAGTAAGTTGAGCCATTGTTAGTCCAGGACTAAGTGTAGGCTAGCACCTAGCAACCACATGACAGTTGTCAGTAGGGATTAAGTCATAGGTATTAAATATTATATATTAGCCACTCTGCTATATATATGCCTTAGAATACAAAAAGAAAAAAATTGATTTGTCTTTCCTAGGCTGTGAACTTTGAGAACTGGGAGTGCCTTGCTTTTATAGTCATAGAACGTCTTCATAGAATATACACTATGATGTTTGCTTAACAAATGAGATCTTACATAAATTGGTTCCCAGCTATGGTCCTTCAACACCCTTCCTCCAGATTTCCGGTTCCTCTGATTTCATGCTTGGAATGGGGGTGTAGGTCCTTAAATTCTGTGGGTATGGGAGATATGTAGATTGTTTTAATGGTGACTCTGACAGTATCAAGAGCAGTGCCACATTTTGGCCTGAACAAAATCCAAGCACTTTCCATACTTTTGCATAAGACTGTTAGGTTTGTTTGAAAGCCTCAGTGGTGAAATATGTTTGCATGCAAACCCTCATCTGAAATATTGAAGTTGGTTGAAGAATCCAAACAGCAGTTTAGACTGGCTATCCCCATGCTATGTAGTACATGCTTGTATGTTCTTAGTGTTGACTATCATTATTGTTAGTGATTCAGGAGATCACTGTTGCTCTCTTAACTTTTGAAAATGTCTTTCTACAGCCTCAAGGAATAGGCTCCCCTAGTGTTTATCATGCGGTTATTGTCATCTTTTTGGAGTTTTTTGCTTGGGGACTACTGACAGCACCCACATTGGTGGTAAGTAATCTTTAGTGTACATACCACTTTTTCTGTGACAGAAAAGATGGCCTGTTTTCCTTTCCATGGTTAACCAATGCTAACAGGTCATATCTCCAGAAGTGGCCTATACTTAGTGCTTTAGTATCTTCCAGCCTATACATAACCTTAGCTGGGGTGGTGGCTCAGGTGTGTGAATGGACCTGTTGTTGGATGTCTTCAAGCAGAGGATTAATCACAACTGTTGAGTAGAGAGGAGCAAATTTTCACACTGATAGGTTAGGAAAGGAGAAATTTAGAGCCCATTTTACTCAACATAATTAGAGGTAAGTTGTGTAACTGTTTTCCCAAGACAAGCTTCTTTTCATTTGACCTCAAGATCTACAAAGACACATGTGATGTTACCTACATTTTCCTAGATTTGGAGTCGTAGAAGACTGATTTACTGAGTTAGGGAGCTCAGGTGATGGTTAACCTCCTCCTATCAGTGCTGGAAAAGGAAATAGAATGAGGTTCCCATCTATGGTGGAGTTTGTATCTTGAAAGGAGTAATTAGTTTAAGTGTGTAGTCTACAGAATCTGAGTAGAATTTTTTTTAATTGGACGTATGGGTGTTTTACCTAACTGTATGTGTGCCACATGCATGCCTGGTGCCCGTGGAGGCATTCGATTACTGGAAGTGGATTGACAGATGGTTGTGAGCTGCCATGTGCATGCTGGGAATCTTATTCAGGGTCACCTATAGAACAGCCAGTGAATGCTGCTAACCATTGTCTCTCCAGCCCAGTAGAAGAGGACTTTAAAGCACTTTGCTCACAAGCTTGATCATGTATATGCAGGAGGCTTCAAAGATTGTTCATGGAAAAATTAAATGACCAAATAAGGAGACTGCAATAGTCTAAAAATGTTTACAGTCCATATCTGGCAGATTTATCTACACCTACATAACAGTTGCTTTTTGTGCACAAAATATTGATGTGTTTCACACTGTTATTTTGAATACACAGGCCATAATCATCTTCAAATCATTGTTTTTTGTTTATAATAAGCTGTCATTTATTTAAAATTAGAATAGTTCTCTCGGTAATGTACTTAGAGTTATAAGAATGCCAATTTGGGGGCTGGAGAGATGGCTCAGTGGTCAAGAACACTAGCTGGTCCTCTTATAGGTCCTGAGTTCAATTCCCAGCAACCACGTGGTGTTTCACAACCAACTGTAATAAGATCTGATGCCCTCTTCCGGCCTGCAGGGATACGTGCAGATAGAACACTGTGTATATCATAAATAAATCTTTAAAAAAAAGAATGGCAGTTTGGTGCATTTTGATTAAGACCCTTTTCCTTCTAAAAATTACAACTAATTTACCTAAATGTATCATTAGTTCGTCACACAAGCTAGGTCAGTGCTCCATGGTTTATGAGCTGGTGTATAACATCTTGAGGACTTCTACAGAATCCCTGCTTCAGTTTCTTGGGTCTTTATTGTAACTAACAGAGGGATATCTTCAGAAGCTGGAGATAGGGCTCAGTGGTTAAGAAAACTTGTTCCTCATCCACAGGACCTTAGTTTAGTTCCTAGCACCTATGTTGGGCAGTTCAAAACCACCTGCAATTCCAACTTCAAGGGACCCAACATCTCTTCTGGCTTTCATAGATACCCCAAGCTTGTGACAAACACATACGCCTAAATAAAAACTGGTTAAAAGAAAAAGAACTCAAGCTAGCATTCCCTCCCTACCCTATCCTCCCACCCTACTCTACCCTCTCTTCTTTCCTTCTTTCTTTCCATACTGGATGTTGGTGTAGGGTCTCATGCGTGCTAATCAAATGCCCTACATCCTTCAGTTGTTACTTTGCTATTTTGAAGTCAGATAATTATTATTATCCCAACAAACAAGAGAGCTGCCTACGTATGTGTAGTAGGTTGCAAAGCAGTGTTGCTGACTAGATGCTGGTAGTATCTGCCTTCCTACTCACCTCCAAGTTGTGATGAAACAAAAAGCTGCTCGATTGGGATCTGCTGGTTCAAAATCTTGAATATTTAAACATAAACATAATTTTTCTTATCAGTGAGCTTCTTTAGTTTACATTCTACTTGTTTTTGTCATCTTTCACTTCATCTTTCCTTCTATCCCTCTACCAGGTATCAAACCCAGGGCCTTGAATCCAGTCTTCTCTAAGTGTCTCAGTTTTATTACAATGAGTATGCGTTCTGAGATCTTGTTGTTGGCAAAAAAAGGAACTAAAGGAAAGGGAAGATTTCTAGTTCTTGTAAGATGTCAGGTACACGCAATAGTGTTCCTTCCCCTCATGGCCATTCCCCATTGTTTTTACAGAGGCAGGCAGCACTGAGAGGAAGGAACCTTGGGTTCCGGGTCAAGGGAGAGCTCAGTTGCTCCATCTATAAGATTCCACAGCACCAGGCTAATCTGGAAATTCACATGAATAAAACTAGATTGTATTAGAAAAGGTGGTTTGATTTGGGCAGTCGTGGCACATGCCTTTGATCCCAGCACTTGGGAGGCAGAGGCAGGTAGATCTCTTAGTCTGATACCAGCCTGGTCTATAGAGCGTGTTCCATAAAAGCTACACAAAAACCCTTTCTTGAAAAACCAAGTAGGGGGTTTTTGAAAATGTTGATGTAGAAATTTTACCAAGACTAAAATATGTCGTGCTTTTTATTCTTTAAGGTATTGCATGAAACCTTCCCTAAACATACATTTTTGATGAATGGCCTAATTCAAGGAGTAAAGGTATGATCGTGTGTATGTACATGTGCATATGTATATACATACATACTTTCATATATATATGTATACTCATTGCCTAATCCCTGAGGTTAAGTTTTTATAACTAGGTAGTATATAATTTGAGGTATTAATTCTTTTTGACTCTGGGTTTTATATAAGATTTGACTCAGATGTAGGAAACTATATATAATCATTTTGTATTTCCTATCTTACAATAGATTTCAGTGCTCTTATAACCATACAGATTTAAGCAATAAGGATAGCTATGAGAAAGAAAAAATTTAGTGCCAAACTCTACAATCTTCTTATAAACAAATAGCTTACTTACCAGTATGCTAGTTTTCTAGAATTGCTGGTTTAGTTTCTGTAATTGGAACTACATTATCACTTCATAGTTAATGCCCAGGCAGAAATAAGTTACTGTTTATGGAAAACTCAATAATTTATTTTTCTAGAAGTAAAGTTGCTTTAAAATTTGTTGTTGTAGCAAAGTGGATCATTTTTGTCTCAGGCATAAACAGTACACTTCTTTAATTTGAACTTGTAGGGTTTGTTGTCATTCCTCAGTGCCCCACTTATTGGTGCTCTTTCTGATGTTTGGGGCCGGAAATCCTTCTTGCTGCTAACAGTGTTCTTCACCTGTGCCCCCATTCCTCTAATGAAGATCAGCCCCTGGTATGTACATGCTCAGTTCTGCGTGCAACTGTGTAACTATTTCTGTTAGCGGGTGCTTGCTCGTGCGCTCTCTCTCTCTCTCCCTCTCTCTTCCTCTCTCTCTCTCTCTCCCTCTCTCTTCCTCTCTCTCTCGCTCTCTCTCTCTCGCTCTCTCTCTCTCGCTCTCTCTCTCGCTCTCTTTCTCGCTCTCTCTCCCTCTCTACCTCCCTCTCTCCTCTCTTCTCTGTCCCCTGTGTGTGTGTGTGTCTACACTCACCCATCTGGGTTCATGTGGAGTCTTTTTTTTTTTTTTTTTTTTGGTTTTTTTCGAGACAGGGTTTCTCTGTGGCTTTGGAGGCTGGTCTCGAACTCACAGAGATCCGCCTGCCTCTGCCTCCCGAGTGCTGGGATTATTAAAGGCGTGCGCCACCAACGCCCGGCCCATGTGGAGTCATTTTTAGTAAAATAACTTGCCTTTAAAAATATCTTGTGTGTGTGTGTACACACTGCCAGTCTGGGTTCATGTGTCAGTTATTTCTCTACCTTGTGTTTTGAGACAGAGCCTTTCACTGAATCTTAGCGCATGCTCTTTTTTCTACATCTACATACTCACGGATCTGCATGTCTCCGTGCTCCAGGACTGGGGTTGTAGATGCTCAGCTCTTTTCATTTTTATATAAGTGCTAGAAATGCACACTCAGTTCTTATGCTTGTGCGGCAAGCTAGTTCCCACGGAGTCACCTTCCCAGCCCTTGTTTAGTCTTCATAGTGCCTGTCTTGTTTTCTTGGACCCTGACATTCAGGCTTCTTCCTTGTAAAGAGTTTGTTTGACTAACAATTGAAGAGCCCAAAACAGCTGAAGGTAAACATGCAACTCTGTATAGGCTCACTGTAAACATGCAGTGGCTTGTCAGTTTTTGTTGTCATTTTTTTTCCTGGATTTTGTTTTTATACAGTACTTGGATGGAAAATCACAATGAGTGAGGCTTATTAGTTTTTACCTTGTTGCTATTCATATGCTTTCATAGTAGCTGGCCTAGGATTTGTAGATGTGTTAATTCTTGCATTGTCCTAGAAAGTTCTTGGCTGAAATGAGTCGCTCTTACTCTAACTAGTAGACATTAAGTAATGGTTGCTGTTCTAATCACTTTTTTACTTGTCGTTTATTCTTAGGTGGTACTTTGCTGTTATCTCTGTTTCTGGGGTTTTTGCAGTGACATTCTCTGTGGTATTTGCATATGTAGCAGATATAACTCAAGAACATGAAAGAAGTATGGCTTATGGGCTGGTATGTATACTTATTTCTTCCAGCAGTGTTTTTGTCTGCTGCAAAATGCCTTGTATTGTGTCCATTTCTGCAAGAAGTGCTAATTTATAGTCACTCATTAGATTGCATTTAAAAGTCTTTTTAAAGTTGTTATGGTACATTAATCTCAGAAGGAGACTGACATTAATTAATTAACCTAGGCTAATTAAACAAGACTACATCAAAGCCTAGAGCAGTATAAGCTTTGATAGTTACCATTCAGGAGTATCTATAAGTGGTAACAGAATTTAAATGATTATATATCTTGTCAGATTTTTTTTGAATCCTAAAAATAAGGAGATAAATTACTAACTACTCATTTAATAGCTCCCTGAATTAATCTAAAATGTAAGAGGCTAACATCTAGGTCAGGGTTCAGTAAGCCTTTTCTGTGGCTTTGTGAGCCACGTACAGTCTGTATCCCATTGTGTGGCCTATGTTAGTGTGTGTTGACAAGTTCAAGAATGTGCTAACCAGACCTGGAGAGACGGCTCAGCAGGTAAGCGAGCTTACTACCATGATTGATGACTTGGGCTTGATCTCCAGAACCCACGTGGTAGGAAAGAACCAACGCCTACAGGTTTTCCTCTGACCTCCACATGTGTGCTGTGCTGCACCCACCCTGTACACACCCTATGAATTGAAGAAAAGAGTCTGGCACCGTCTTAGTCATGTGGCTCATAGGCAGTTGGTTGCCAATACCTGAATAGGTGTAGTGACTAATTGCAGTACAGTCTGCTCTCCTCTCAAATCTAGGAATAAAATGGCTCCCTTAACCATGCTAATGTCCTGTCATTTAACGAACCAGAAGTAGAACAGGGATGGATTTCAGCAAATACAAAATACATATGTGATAAGTAAGGACTGGGTATTATACCTGATTGAGTCTTAGTTCCATGAAAGAGTGATTCTGATTCAAAAGTACTGCAAAAAAAAATTGTTGTTGGGAAGCTTTGGTACAGGAGGTATGGGGAGTACATAGGGAGGAAACTCATGAAAGTACTAATGGTTTTTAGTTATAGGGTTAAACCTTTAGAAAGGTAATGAGGCTGATGATAGCCATGATTAAAAAACAAACAATAACCCTAGCTTTATTAAAGTATACTTAAAATTCATGCATTTTGTTTATATAGTCAGTGAATTTTAGTAATTTTGTAGAATTATCCATCACCATAATATAGTTTGAGGTTAAGGTTATATGAAAAATAACTAGGTTCTCCCAAGCCAAAGCGCTTTTATTTTAGATAGGTCCTTCCTATGCCCAGACTGGCTTACTTCTGTCTTTGTTCTGGGATTATAGGCAAAAGCCACTGCACAAGGATACTCAGAGGTTTTTTGTTTGTTGTTTTTTTTCCCAGACAGGGTTTCTCTGTATTGTTTTGGAGGCTGTCCTGGAACTCGCTCAGTAGACCAGTCTGGTCTTGAACTCACAGAGATCCACCTGCCTCTGCCTCCTGAGTGCTGGCATTAAAGGCGTGTGCCACCAACGCCCGGCTTACTCAGAAGTTTTAATTAAGAATTTCCCAAGCCTAGTATGGTCATGCATACCTTTAATCCTGGGATTCCAGAGGCAGCCTGGTCTACATAGCAATTTCCAGGCCAACCAGAACTACATAGAGAGACCCTTTGAAAAGAAAAAACAGCAACAAATTTTACAGTCTGGTCACTTAGTTTTGGCAAAGGTCAAATAAAGAATTTCTGGCCTTTAAAATCATAACCCAGCAAATGATGGTGACATGGAATAATATGGATCTAGAGAAAGGGAAAGGTGATCTTTGTGGTCCTTTCTCTTTCTGCCAGAAAGAGATGGTCACAGGGTAGAATTGGCAGGGTAAAAGACAAGTGGACCCTGGTTGGGCCTTTGTTCACTGCTTTGCAAGCATAAGCTCGTCTGATTTGCACAGTGAAAGTAAGTGCCCTTTGCCCCACACAAGTGCTGCACTCTGCTCCTACTGTGCTTGGGTCCCTAATGGCATACTATCTGTCTGGTTTTAGATCTCCATCGACCCAGAGAGCGCTTTCAGACCTATTTATCATCTGTCCTCACTCCACCCTGAGCCCAGACAGCAATCTGTATACTCTGTCTTTGTGCTTTTGCCTTTGGTAGACATTTCATACAAATTGCATAGTATAAGACAGTCTTTATGTCTAGGATCTTTCACTTAGTGCGTCTTAAGGTTTAGCAGACCCAGTTGCTGTGCACTGTTTCTTTGTTTGGGCCAAACTACATTAAGCACCTCTTGATAGGTGCTTAAATTAAGAGAGAAAGCTTTTTCAAGTTTAAATTGTGAGAGACTTGGGCCCTTTTAGATTTCATTTTATGTGTGTGGTGCTTTGACTGGTGATAAGAAGGGGTGATCTGTGTTTGAGTCCTGGGCCCCACCCACATAGTCAAAAATTAGAGAACTGTGACAAAGTGTTCTCTGACCTCTGTTTATGTGCACAAGCACACATAAATAAATGAGTGTGTGTATAAGTAAATGTTAAAAAATTAAAGCCTGTATCCATTTTAACCTTTATCATAAAGTTGCAAATAAACTATTGATTAACTACATTCAAAAGTCAAAATGGCACAGAAACAGTAAAATTCCCAGGTTGATTTCTTCTGTCTGTGTCCTCTGAGTGCTGGAGAGTGAATGCAGGGCCTTTCACAAAGTAGGCAGCTAGGTTTAATTTCTAGTTCCTTCTGAAGAGTGTGCTTTTGGTTAGGCATTATCTGCTTTCACATCTGCTGATTTGCAGCTCATTGGTGTGGGAAAGCAGCTGTGTCTGGGGTGATCCGGGTTCTATAATCTTTATCTCTGCTTGTCCCTACTTCCTCAGAGGTTGAGAGAGGATCTCAGTGCCCAGTATTTTTGCTATTTCTAATCCTGCTGTTCAGTCTTTAAGTTTGATTCAGATAGTCCTGAATGTGTATCATAATCATTTAATTTTGATGAGAGAAGTCACAACGAAATTGAATCTCCTTGTAGCAGAGAGTGATTTTGACTGAATTGAAAGTGCAAGGGATTGATGCTGTATTAAGGACTAGTGTAGCTGACAAGAAAGGTATTCAGTGTAGCGCTCTGGGTTCCTCACTTTGCCTCAGCCAAATCGGCTTTTAGTTTCTTGTCGGTTTGCAGGTCTGTTCTCCTATGGTTTGTCTGTAGGATGTACACACACAAGGCCCCGAAGTTTAAAAGAAACTTGAGAGGGTAGGTCATCTCTTTAGACAAGATCAGGTGTGCTGATCTTCGGCAGGGGAGTACAGAAGAGTGCAGTCTCAGCTGGCTTGTAAAGGAGGATGGCGGATGGGTGCTGGCAGGGGACACACCCAGATAATTCCCCACTATATTTTTCATTGCAGGTTTCAGCCACGTTTGCTGCCAGCTTAGTCACCAGCCCCGCGATTGGAGCTTACCTTGGGCGAGTGTACGGGGACAGCTTAGTGGTGGTCCTCGCTACAGCAATAGCTTTGTTAGACATCTGTTTTATCCTCGTGGCTGTGCCAGAATCGTTGCCTGAGAAAATGCGGCCAGCGTCTTGGGGAGCTCCCATTTCATGGGAGCAAGCTGACCCCTTTGCTGTAAGTTTCTCCTTAGGAAAAGAGTGAATATCTGATTCAGTGGAGTGTGAATACTTCTGTCTGGTTGGTTTTCTGGGAAAGCAGCCTAAGGCTTACTTAGGTTTTTTATAATCAGGGTCTCAATGTGTAGCCAAAGCTGGCCCATTCTTTGAGGTCAACCTGCATTAGTCTCCTGAGTTCTGCAGTTCTAAGTATGAACCAACATACAAGGCTGAAGATATTTTATTTGTTAACATTTTGAAATATTTTTTAAACTAGTTTGGGGAGGATGAAGTAAAGAGAAAGCTAGTGAGTTTTTAATGTAAGTGTACCTTGGTGTTTCTCCTATTCTAGTCTTTAAAAAAAGTGGGCCAAGATTCCATAGTGCTGCTGATCTGTATCACGGTGTTTCTCTCCTACCTACCAGAGGCAGGCCAGTACTCCAGCTTCTTCTTATACCTCAGACAGGTAAGTCTTCCCACCGTAGACTTGCCATGTTTAGTGCCGTAAGAACAGTATTTCCTTTTCAGGCAGCCCTACTCATCTGTAAAATGAATGCTTGTCCTGCTTTGCTTTCTACTGCTGGGATAAAACACTCTTGCCAAAAGCAACTTGGGGAGGGAAGTCTTTATTTGCCTTATCCTTCCACGTTACAGTCCGTCATTGAAGCAGACACCATGGGAGAATGCTGCCTGTTGGCTTGCTCCTTTCTCATACCTCCCAGAACCACCTTGCCCTAGGGTGGCCCCACGTACAGAGTACTAGCCCCTCCTACATCGGGCATTTATCAAGAAAGTTTCCCACAGACTTGCCTAGAGGACAGTCTGATGGAGACATCTTCTCAAATACGGTTTTTTCTTCCCGCATACTCTTAATTGGTGTCAAGTTGACCAAAAAAAAAAATCCTAACAAACAGTACTATTGTATAAACAATAGCCAACCTTTTTTTTTTATAGACAGGATTCCTCCATGTAGTAGCCAACAAGCATTTAACCTCCTTTCAGAGTTCCTATTTCTGCTTCCAATCTTTGGTACTGGGGTAAAACCCAATACCTCATGTTGCAGTTATTTGTAAAGTAATTTTGGGTGCTTGATAGCCAAATAAAAGGGATCTGTTAAATATAAAAAAGTATTTTTCATATAAGTCATTTTTTGACTAATCCTCTGTGTATAAGTAAATAAAATTAGAATTAAGAGTTGTTGGTAAGCATTTTTTTCTAGCTGTTTAATATTAATGTACCGTAGTTACATGAACGTAATTTGTTATTTGTAATTTTTTCATTAATTGTACTTGTTTTGGAAACCTTCTAGATAATGAAATTTTCCCCAGAAAGTGTTGCAGCCTTTATAGCAGTCCTTGGCATTCTGTCCATTATTGCACAGGTGAGTTTCTGTTAGAGTGATTTCATAGAGGGCAGCCCATCCAAAGGAGGCCCCTATGGTGATGACATGTTGGGGGAATCTCTTTGTTTTATAGATGGGTTCTTTGTATGTCGTCCTGACTCTTCTGGGAACATCACTGTGTAGACCAGGCTGACCTCAAACTCACAAAGATCCTCCTGCTTCTACCTCCCAAGTGCTGGAATTAAAGGGCTGTGCGACCATGCCTGACAAGACACAAATCTTGTCAAAGTTCAAAAACTTACATTAGCATAGCTAGTAATTGATGAGATTTTTAGGATGGATATACATTAGTAAATAATGTGATGTATAACAAGAGTGACAGTTTATTGATTTATATCAGAGTTCCTTGATCTGTGAGGTCACTGATCAACAAATGTTCACTGAATGTCTGTAGTACAACTGTTGATCCCTGCTGTTTAGAGTTTATGTTCTAGGGGATGAAACATGGTGTAGGTAAATTGTTGGAAACATCAGTTACAATGGAAACTTCAAAGAAAGGGGAGAAGTGGTAGAGAAACTTGGTGAAGGCTTTATTTTATTAGTATGGGAATTTCGCAAGTGCTTGGTGTACACGGTGGCATTTGGTCAAGAATATGCAGAATAAGCTATAGAAATAGCTGCAGAAAGAGGATGCTAAGTGGCTGAATGATGGAAATAATGTCCCAAGGGTGAGAGTGCTTGGGGTACGAGTGAGAAAGTAGAGGTCTCTTTGGTACTGCTGGTGTGGATAAGGGGAAGAAGGCTAGCAATTAATCCAAGGTTTTCTAGGAAACCCTTGGTAAGCCCACAGGTAAACAGTGATTGTTGATGTGGAGGGTCTTTTAGTCTTGTTCTCACCGCGAGTCAGCCTTGGTAATTGTACAAAGGATATGACCCCAGGAAGGGAGGAGACCTGTGTTTCTGGAATCTGTTTCCGACTTGAATGACTCCTCACAGACTTAAAACTTTTTTCCCCCCCTTGCAAGTCTGTAAACAGGCTAGCAATGCACAAGGAGAGGTTTTATTGGGGGGGGGGCGGGCGGGGGGATGGGCCCAGGACCTGAAAGCATTTATTGGTCCCTCGTGGCTTTCTTAAATTGAGAAACAGGAATTCTGTACATCAACAAGTACTAGTTGACTGAGTTGAATGAAGGGCTTTGAGGTGCTGCTTTATAAGCAAGTTTTGGTGGTAGCTGTGATCTGTGTTTGTAAAGCCTCAGCTTCCTTAGCCTCACATTCCAAAGAGTGCATGCCTCTGCCCACAGCTGGCTCTTCAACCCTCTGTCATCTGCCTATGGGGCCTTTCTCCTGTGTACCTACCTGAGACTGCGGGGATTGCATTGGGGTGAATCTGTTTCTTGGCAGTGCTTTTCCTCTGGGGTGCAGCTGTGATGAGAGTTTGTATTCTGCCCTGTGAACCTCTAGAACAGTGGTTTTCAACCTGTGGTTTATGATGCCTTTGGGGATCGCATATCAGACATCCTGCATATCAGATATTTACATTATGATTCGTAACAGTAGCAAAATTACAGTTAAGAAGTAGCAATGAAATAATTTTAGGGTTGGAGTCACCACAACATGAGGAAGTGATTAAAGGGTCACACTAGGAAAATTGAGAACCATTGTTCTAGAGCCTTAAAAGGAAGCAGGACTTTTGAAGATGTAAGTGCTGTGTTTGGGAATAGATAGTCTTCAGTACACTTGCCCAAATTCTTTAAACTTTGCATCCTCATTCTTCCCAGAAATTGGATGCCACAGTATATGCAAAGGGGCGTAGTAAAGAAACTACTGAGATGACTGCTCCATTAGCATGACTGTCTTTAAGAGAGAACAGCCGAAAGCATCTGGAAGAGTCCAGAGCAGAGAAACAGACTGGACATGACCAGGGCTAGGGAAGTGGGAATAGCAAGAGATAGCCAGAGAGGGAGAAGAAAATAGTGGTTATAAGGGGGATAAGTAGTTAGGGGTGAGGAGGGAAGGGTCAGGAACCTTACAAGGATTCTTGTGATTAGGGATTGATAGGGCACCACAGTATATGTCAATGGTGAACCATGTGTGCCTTCTGCCAGAGGCAAGGGAAATGACTCCTTTTGGCAGACATAACATTTTCACAAGTGCCCGAAGAATGTGGGCTTTTATCTAATGACCATAAATCCTTTTTATAGTGCAGTTTAAATTGAGCCAAGATTGTCATTTATGGACATGTGGCTTGCCTGAGACCTAACACAGAGTCTTGAGTATACTCAGAAGTTTTCTTTTGATTAACTAAAGTCTGTCTCTGATACATTCTATAAGGAAAGCAGAAATTCTTGCATTCTGGTCCTTCCAATATGTAAGTTGTCTGTAATACTGTCAACCATACCCCATCCATAAGCAATAGGAAGTGTTATGTATTGCCTTAAAGGGAAATAACATAACAAAATCTTATTAGGGGAAATAAAAATTGACATTTTCACATACTTGTTAGGCCGAGAAATAGTAGCTTTGCCCAGATGTTATTAGTGAGTTGAACTTCTGGCAGACGGCTGCTCAGAGACTTTTGTAGAGTTGCTACCGCAAGAATCTAACCCCACGAGGTGACAGGCCTGGAGACTCGGCTCTGCCTGTGTGCTCTTCACTCTTACGAGAGCTGGGTCCTCAGGTCCTCTAGGAGCTTGGTCTGGTGGTAGTGGGTTATCATCTAAAACTCCTTCTAGGACCCTTTTGGAGGCAAGGACTCATTCTGTTTCTTGTTAGCATAGAACTTAACTGTAGCCTAGGCTGGCCTCCCGACTCAGCCTCAGATTACAGACCGGAGTCACCGTATCTAGACATAAAAGCAGCTTTACTTACTTTTTACTGGCATGTTTGTTACCAACCCTCATAAAATATTAAATAACTAAATTTCAGCTTATACTTTGTAATTATTTGGTGTGTGAGAAAGTAATGAGAGTGATTATTGGTACCACTTCTGCAGACTTATTTGCTATTTTGTGTGGTGTGTTCAACATTAGATAGCAGACTTATTTGTGATGTCCCAATCCATGCTGAATTATATTTTGGTTTGAAATAGAGAAATGTCCACATCTGTTCACAAAGCTGTTTATTAAATGTTTCCTATGTGCCAGGGACAGCTCTCAGCACTTTTTAACTACCTTATTTCATCCAGTGTTGAATTCTGAAATTGCCGCTGTTAGCTTCATTTGGCAAAAGAAAGCCGAAGTAGGTTATCCAGGGTCTCAAAGATCATGGTCCAGCCCTTTTCAGTCTATACTCTTAAATAAAATTTTTCCAAATTATACTTAGTAAACTCTTACACGTTTCATAGAATCTTCATGGTTTCAACAGCACGTTTAGATGAAGTTGTAGGTGATCACTGGGCTATTGAATAGCATTGAGGTCTGTCTTAGTTACTTTATTGCTGTGATAAGATACCATGACCAAGCCAATTTACAGAAGAAGGAGTTTAATTCTGGGGTTCACTGAGTTAATGACTATCTTGGCAGGGAGCATGGCAGCCGGCTGGTAGGCATGATGGTGGAGCAGTAGCTAAGAACTTACATGTGGTCCACAGGCAGGAGGCAGAGTGTGGTTGTGGCCTTTTAAAATCCCAAAGCCCACCCCAGTGACATTACCTCCTCCAAGGTCATACCTGGTACTTCCCAAACAGTCTACCGACTGGGGACCAAGCATTGAAAACAGGTGATCAGATGGGGCTACTCTCATCCAAACCACTTGGCCTGGAGGCTTCATTGTGCTGTTACATAGTGGGTGGAGTTCTTGGTCAGTTCTTGCAAGTGTGCTAAGTGGACAGAAAGCTGGACTCAAGTGTTGTAGCTCTGACTGGATGTGTTAGCCTGAGCTCTGAGTTAGGATAGTTACTGGTGAAAAACCACACTGTGTAAAAGCTACTTAATCACAGTGAAAGAAACCACCACCACCCCCTTTTTTTTGCCCAGTGAGATAGATAAGTGGGTCAAGATACTTGCCACCAAGCCTGAATACATGAGGCCAATCTCTGGGACCCTTATGTGGAAGGAGAGAACCAATTCCTGTAAATAAATAAGTGCAATTAAAAAAAACCTAATAATCATATGTGTGTTTGTCTTCTAGACCATAGTCTTGAGTTTACTCATGAGGTCAATTGGAAATAAGAATACCATCTTATTGGGTCTGGGATTTCAAATATTGCAGCTGGCATGGTATGGCTTTGGTTCAGAACCTTGGTAGGTATAAATATTGTAATGTTCATTTTAATTTTTTGGTTTTTGTTTGAAAATTTCATTTACTTATATAATGTATTTTGATCAAGTTAACCCTTTACTACCTGACTCCCAATCCTCTTCCAACTCCCCAGCATCTTTCTCCCAACCTCATAGATACTTGTTTGTGGTATGTGTGAATTTAACCCAGAATCCAATTAGAACTATCCATGTAAGCATAGCACAATGTTGGGCATGGGCAGTCTAACCCCATAAAATTTTTTTTGTGCATTTTTTGTTTTTGAGACATACTCCTTTTTTCTTCTTCTTTTTAAGCTAAGGCTGCCTAAGCCTTACAAGTGCCTGGACTACAGGTGTGCACAACCATGCCCAGGCTTGCCCCTTTCTTCCTTCTCAGCTAAGCCATTGGCTTGTGCATAGTATAGTTTCCCACATACGCTTATATATCCTAGGTAGGCTGGCTAAATAGTGGCAGGCTTTTTGTTTGTTGTTTTTTTACATGAGATTATTAAGTTACTGAGTCTGTAAGGTGCATTTAATCTGTCTGTTACCACGAAACAGCACAGGATTCTGTGACAACAAAGACAGCCTTATATCTTTTGTTCTTCTAGTTGGGGAAGGGCATGAGTTGTCATATTCCTCACTGGCAGCTTGAGATGAGAGTGAGCACAGTCCACTTACTTCCATCCTGGCTTCATGATCAAGCTCAGCTTTTCTTACAGGCTAGTTTCCTGCAGGCTGGTGTTGATGGTTGGGGTGGGCTGCCCACCTCTTTGGGCTTATTGTGTTTTAGTGGGTGATGTTTTCCAGTCCAGCCTTTGCAGAGGTACAAATGTAAAGTATTTCTTTCAATCAAGAAGCCAGGAACTCCAGCTTACTTACCCTTTATACTTTTGAGATTTATATTTAGCCATTGATCTTTTAATCTTAGTTTTGGTTTTTTGAGGCAGGGTTTCTCTGTTGCTTTGGAGCCTATCCAGAACTTATTTTGTAGACCAGGCTGGCCTCTGCCTCCTGAATGCTGGGATTAAAGGTGTGTGCAACCACCACCTGCCTCAGTCAGTGAACTGTAAACTGAAACACAAATCCGTGGGAACTTTGAGTGATTGCTGGCTTCAATGTTTAAATATACTTGATGTCTCTTGGTATTTTATGTATAATTTTCAACATAGCCTCTCAACTTCCTATAGAATGTGCTACGTACATCATGGTTTGGAACTTGACAACCCAATTTTACAACAGAATACCACACATCTTTGTGAACAAGTGGTTACTGTTTCCAGAGTACACAGGGGCATACATTTACATGACTTGCCTATAGCCAACTAGAGGAACAGAGAAAGCGCACTTCTCTTTTCTGTCCCACAGCCATTGCACAGTCAGGGTGACTTGGTTTGATTTGACAGGTAAAATAGAGAAGCAGTATTAAATTTTTGTTTTGTTGCCTTGATTACAGGATGATGTGGGCTGCTGGGGCAGTTGCAGCCATGTCTAGCATTACCTTTCCAGCTGTTAGTGCCCTTGTTTCACGAACTGCTGATGCTGATCAACAGGGTGAGTTGATAGGAACTCCAAAGTAGTCTTCCAAGTTTGCTACCTGTGCTAAAGCAGCATCTGAGATACTAATTTCCGGTTCCTGCTAGTCACTTTTAAATATTGAATGTTTGGCTGTTAGTGGCATTTACATCATTGTGACAAATAACTGACCAAAACAGCTTAAAGGATTTATACTGGTTATAGAGTTATTTTATTTTTTAATGATTTACTTTTAATGTGCATTGGTATTTTGCCTACATGCATGTCTGTGTGATGTCAGATAGAGTTATAGACAGTTGTGAGCTGTGGGTGTCAGGAATTGAACCTTGGTCCTTTGAGTAGTCAGTGCTTTTAACCTTTGAGCCATCTCTCCAACTCTGGTTATAGAGTTTTTAAAGGATTCAGTCTATGGTTGCTTGGCCCTCATTGTTTGTGGGACGAGTAGGAGAAATATGTCAGCAGGGGCATGTTGTAGAAGCTACTCACAGAGAGTAGATAGCAAGAACCAGGGACAAGATATATTTCCAAGAACTTATGCCTGTGTTTCTGGTTCTAGGGCATCCCCAGTAGGGACTGAAATTCAACACATTAGCCTGTGAGGGAGTGCACATTCATGACCTGATTTACTAATAAAGTTTCACTGTCATTTTGCTATTGTGATAGGTACCTTAGGGTTGGTTCATTGTAACCCTTTAAAATGCTGTAGCTTCAGTTATCTGTAGCTACAAAACATGAGTAAACATAAAAGGGTTTGTGGTAGGAACGTTTAGTTGTTGGCATGCTAACAGATGAAAAGGGTCCTGTACCTGCTCTGAGAGAAAGTGTAGAACAGTAGCAGTGGTCACTCAGTAAAACGGTCACTTAGGAAGGAAAGCCCTGCAGTAGAAACAAGTTGCATTTTTATTTAGCAAGACGATGCTAAAGAAATTGAAATCAAACTCAGTATATATTTGACTTCTCAGTAGCTTTTAATGCTTACCATTAGATTAAGTTGCTAGTACTGGTAACAATTGCAATTTAGATTTAACGTTTGCAGTTTTTTAGAGTAGGAACAAGGATAATATGCTAAATGATTTCTTTAAACATGCAGGTGTTGTTCAAGGGATGATAACAGGAATCCGAGGATTGTGCAATGGTCTGGGACCAGCCCTTTATGGGTTCATTTTCTACATATTCCATGTGGAGCTTAAAGAGCTGCCGATCACAGGCTCAGACCTGGGGGCAAACACAAGCCCTCAGCACCACTTTGAACAGGTAATTCTTCATTTGCGTGTTAAAATGCTCTGTTTCTTTGGCTGGACTGCAGGGTGGTTTTGAAAACAAAAGCTTTAATGCAAAACTGTTTCTGGTTTTTTGAGACAGAGCCTCACTACCGTTCCAGCCAGGCTGGAACTCATTGTGTGGCCCATGCTGATCTTTCCGCCTCAGCCTTCTGAATACCGACTGACAGTGTGCATGAGCCATGATGCCCATCTGAAGTTCTTAATTTCCTTTTAGGTTAGATGAAACTCCAAATGGATTCGGGATATAGCCCTGCTTTAGAGTACAGGCCCTAGATTCAGCCCCCACGTAGTTAAAGTAATCTTTAAAGTCCTAGAGACTATTCTTCTGAGTATTCCCTTGCAAAATTGTCTGTGCGTATTTCCTCTAAGAATGCAAAGCCTGCTTTGTCAATTTGTATGTAGTGGCATGTTAGCCATTTCTCCATTCCATACTACTGCCTTTCTTCTGGCCTCTATAGTGTCACAGTTGTCACCCATCCATCTCTCTAGATGGAGTCGGTTATGTACGTTTGTTGATGTGCTTGCTTTATTTCCCTTACAACTGAAATTACCAACGCCAAGCCACATGAGCCATTGAGCCAATACAAACAGCTCTTTGGGTTCCCCCAGCCAAGCCTATTTCCAAATTAAAAAAAAAACAAGACTGTGTGGGTCACATACACAAAACTGACAGTGCAGGGCTTTGTATCAGAATAAATGTTATTTAAGGTTGAAATAAAAATGTTTACCTGTTTTAGTTTTTGTGGTTAGCAATACTGTGTTTCTGAAACTGAAGAAAGGTATTGGTTCTCCAGGTGTTACATGTATAGCTTTGCTTACTCTGAGATACTGTCTGCCTCTGGGAATAGCAGATTGAGTGGAGGTACACAAAACACCTGTCTTCAGGTTCCGTGCTAAAAGCAGTGCACAGTTGTTCAAGTTACTTTGCTAGGTTTTGTGTGCAGGACTTTACAGTAAGAACTTATAACTGTTGCTTTAATCAAGTCATCGGTTTAGAAAAAAATCTGAGCACCAGGTGATGGTCAAACAGGAGAATCTATGTGAGTTGCAGGCCACCGGGCCAGCCAGAGCTGTTACAGAAAAACCCTGTTTCAAACAAAACAAAACAAAAAAAAATCTGAAGAATTCTTGGGGAGGGAGTGGGGTTATCTGTTCAAAAACCCTAACTATTGTTTCTTCTTCAGAATTCCATCATCCCTGGGCCCCCCTTTCTCTTTGGAGCCTGTTCAGTACTGCTGGCTCTGCTCGTTGCCTTGTTTATTCCGGAACATACTAATTTAAGTTTAAGGTCCAGCAGTTGGAGAAAGCACTGTGGTGGTCACAGCCATCCTCACAGTACACAAGCGCCAGGAGAGGCCAAAGAACCTTTACTCCAGGACACAAATGTGTGATGATTGAAATCAGGAAGACTTTTCTATCAGCACCCAGGTCTTAGTTTTCACCTATAGTTCTGGATGTACATTCCATTTCCATCTACAGTGTACTTTAAGATTGTCTTAAGAAATATCTGCATGAACTCCGTGGGAACTAAAGAAAGAACCGGACAGTTTTCCAAAGATGTTACAATTTCTTTCTAAAAGAAACCTTTTGTTTATTAGCACCAATCTATTGCCACTAAACTGTTTTATTATACATCTTTAATTAAAGGCTATATATGTAACTCCGCTGTTAGCACGTCTCTGCTACCATTTCCTTAAGGTGTTGAGCTTTTACCTCTGTTTGTGCTGACTCAGTGATACGGTAGGTAATATGGTTGTGGACCTGCTCACTTTAACATTGTAAAAGCCTGAGTCAGATTTTAATATTGTAAAATCTTGGGTCAAATAATTCAAAGCCTTAATGCAGATGCACTAGAATAAAGAAATGGTAAAGAATTGTTTGAATTTAAAACAACAAAAACTTGTGAAAATTGTAGAAAACCAGAATCATGTTCCAAGCCTGTTTGCCATAATTTTATTTAAAACATTATTCACTACTGTTTTAAGTATGGAAATATCAGCCACTTAGAATTTAAATTGGGGTGGTCAGAGCCTATACATCCATGTTCTGCTTCTTATACCACTATTCTTTTGATGTTTCCATAATCATAAGGACCTCAACACTTGAATACATAATCTAAAAATTATATAGTAAAGCTGGTAGCCTTGAAAATGTCAATGTGATATCTGTATGTAGATAAATATATATAGTGGCCTTTCAGGACTGTCACAGTAACACTTTATTTACAGAGCTAATGTTTGTCCTAAATTTTCAGGACCCTAGAAGAGAGCTTTATACAATTACTGATGTGAATTTCTCTAAAGTGTATATTTTTGTGTCCAGTTATATTATTTAAAAAAGTGTTACTTTGTAAAAATTGTACATAAAGTATTGTATAGTTTACACTGTTTTCATCTTGTGTGTGGTTACTGCCTAATGCTTTTTAAACTTGGAGCATTCACTATGATTAAATAAGGTCTCAAGATGTAAATATTCTGTTAATAAAATTAAATATTTTAATGATTTTTTTCTTTTTAAAGAAGTCTTGATCTGTGAGTCCCTGTAAGGCCTGTTTGGGCTTTATTTGCTATCATAAGCATTTTTATGGAAACAAGTCTTAACCTCCTCTACAGTCCATTTGTTTGCCCTCACAAAAAAATCCTGAAGATAAAATGCACCGTTTACAAAGCCAACTGGAAACACTTGATTTCCTAAGCACAGACGATGCAAGTCAGTCTTTTATTTTCTAAACATGCTTCTGGCATATAAGACTCTTTAGTTTGTACTTTATTAACAGAGGTCACAGTTTTTAAAACAGCATTAACAGCAACATTTTATTAACACATGTACAGTTATATACCATAAGACAATTTCAAACAAAAGTTGAAGAGGTAGAGCAAAGAATTAGCGTGGTCTATGTGCATTTACACTTAGCACAAAGACACTTTTATAGCCCCTGTGAAAATGTGCTGTCCTGTCTTGGAAATTTGTGTTTATAAATAGTAAGGGTGGGGGTATCTTTTCTAAAAAGCTATATATGTTATATATACCTTCCAAAGCCTGCCACAACCTCTTATGTATATTACACAGTATTTACAACAGTCCCACATTGCCAAGAGACTTCTTTCCAGAATTAAGTGCTCTCGAGTAATTGTAACAATATTCTTAACCATCACTGGACTTCTAATTACACCCCTGTTGAAGCTAGCTGGCAGCTGCCAGCATCTTAAAAGTGAGGTTAAAGATCCCTGTCTTCTGTGGCCCTAGTAAAGTTGACACATCACTACCCTGAAGTTGTATAAATGTTTTGCCTGCATGAATAACAATACACCATGTGCATGCCTAATGCACTCAGAGACCAGAGGAGGGCAACAGGTAGACAGCTGTGAGCTGCCATGTGGGCGCTGGGAATAGAACCCAGGTCCTCTGGAAGAGCAGGCATCAACTACTGTGCTATTTCTTTTTAAAACTATCACATGATTATTAGCATTTTACAAATAAGATTTGGGGTTTTATGAAGATTTTAATTTCTTTTGGTAGTTGTCAACAAGAAAACAAAATGGGATGCTTAAGGTTAAACATTCAGGAAATTTGGTGTTTGTCTGTCTGTCAATCATGGGTATTTATTTGCACAAGAGTGTGGTGTGTGTGTTGAGGACAGTGGATCATCAGGCTTTTTTAACATCTATCTAGCCTCTATGGTGAAAAAAATTTTTTTGGAAACTATTTAATTTCCAAGTAATAGTTCCTGGAAGTTTTAGTAGAGATAAAGGAACTTGTAGATTCCAATAGTTAATTTTTCTTCTTAATTAACAGAGTGTAAATTTCAATTCTACAAAACTACCATGAATATTCATGATGCCATTACACTGAAGGTTTTTTGTGCTCTAAGCTCAGCCCAAATGACTAAAGCACTTTAGCCATGTAAACACAATGTCCAAATTACTTTTATATAAATTATTTCACAGGTCAAATGTTTCAGGGAAAATAATTTACTTACTATGAATAAATAATTCATGTCATCAATTTAAAGTGCTTAAGAGCGCCACTGGGTATATCAAACTCCAGGGCAGAGTCCATACCCAAGAGTGGTTGGCTAGCACAAAATGGACTCCACTGTTTTGGTCTGGTATTTTTTGTTTTACTGTTTTTTCTTTTTGGGAGAGAACGAACATGAAATTGGGTGGATAGGGATGTGTAGACCATCTGGGAGGAGATAGGAAGGGAAAGAATAAGTCCAAATACATTGTATAACTCAGGCATGGTGCTGGTACACACCATTAGTGCCAGAATTGGAAGACAGGCAGGCAGATCTCATGAGTTCAAGCCTGGCCTACAGAGTGAGTTCCAGGACATCAAAGGCAACATTTTAAAAAAAAACCCTGTCTTAAAAAAAAAAATAAACAAGAAACTCCTGTCTCAAAAAACTAGTACGTATAAAAAATGAAAAAGAAAAACCCAAACAACCAACTCAAAAGTATAAGGACTTCAGTGTCAAGATCAAATCACAAGCGGAAGCTATTTCTCAGGTGGCAAAATGATAGTATGAGCACAAGCTTTCTTCAACCTGTTACTATTACCTTGCAGGGTGGATTTTTCATTAGGGTTTTTCTCATTTATACCAACTGGTTAATCTGATAAAATTCAGTGATATTTTTTTAACATTCTGCTTACAGAATAAAAAACACCATTTACTCAGAATCTAACAGTCTCCCAAGTTTGTAAATGGCAGTAATATTTCAAAGGCTCTAAATGATGTAAGAGGAATGAGGAAGGTTGGTTTTGTTATTGATGGGTTGTTAAGTCACTTGAATTTCTAAACTGTCAGTAAGAAATGAAAGGTGTTGGATTAACTAGTTGGTAACTGCCCAGGGAAATATGCTGAAGAAGAAGAGGGGAGGATTGTGGGTTTGGAAGATGTCTGTAGTGCTCCCAGCATGCCCTCTTTCTGATGGTCTGCAAAGGAAGACAAAACACAACCGGTTACTACTTCAGTCTTAGACACATTTAATGAAACTACCATCCCAGTACAGACGTCTCCTCACCTGAGGTACTAAATAGATTCTGGCTGAGCCCACGTAAAGGAATGCTATCTTCTCTTTTCTTCAAGTATTTGGATTCCAGTCCTAAATTTTCACTACTTCAAAAAAAAAAGTCATTTTTAAATCTTAAATTTCATTTTATCGTTCATTTTCTATGAATGTGTGTTGATTGTCCCTAGTCAACACATTCAAAATGGTCTAAAATACAATAGTACAAATTTTTTTGACCACCACATGATGCCACAGTTGTCAAACTCTTGACCCCATTTGATGGATGTCTCAGGTGAAACAGGTGCACCAAAAACAACAGCAAAAGCCCAAGTACAGAGTATGCCTGCAGGCTGTGTGGAGGAGAAACATCAACCTTTTCTTTCAGGCTTAGGTCCCATCCTAAGATAACTAAGTATGTGTGTGCAAATATTTCAAAATTCTGAAGCTTCAAAAATCTGAAGTATCACTGGTCTCAAATGTTTTGTATAAAGGACACTTAACCTGTGTACTCTTCACTCTGTTTAAACAAGTTAATGTATCTATATATAATACATTCCTTCTAAAAAAGATTAAACTTTATACTAAGAAGTGGGATAAGGACTATATGAGAAATGAAAACTCTTAAGTACCATAAGATTTTACATCATGGCAAACACACAAAGGGAGATAGGAAAATACAGGAGAAACCGGCTTATATGCTGAGAATATTATCTTTGAGTTAACAAAAAGTACTATTAGAACAAAAAACATGACACACGATGGAAGAAAAATACATAATTGTTTTGAGAATATCAATCTAAAAAATTCTGTGCATGTTGTTTATTTTTATGTATATGGGTGTTTTGCTTGCATTTATGTATGTGCACATGTGTACAATGCCTTTGAAGGCCAGAAGAAGGCTTCAGATGTCCCGGAGTTACAAAGGGTTATGGGCAGTGATGTGGCTGTGGGAACCAAACCCAAGTCCTCTGGAAGAACACCACTGAACCACCTCTGTAGCCCTCTCTTTCTGAGACAAGGCCTTGGCTTTTGCACATAGATCTGCCCATCTCTGCCATTTGAATGGCGGAATTAAAGGCATGTGCCACTATGCCTAGCTTTAAAAAAGATTTCTATGTACACATTCACATATTTACAAGACAATCCTATTTTTAAAAAACTTATCATACATCTAAGGGGATCCTATAATTTAAAACCATGTACAAGAGAAATGACATTTCCATAGCAAAGAGTAACTCACTGAGTACTTACTTTTCCTTATCAGATGAATAAGGCCTGCTAATAGCTGTTCCTGGCTGAGCATCTAGCAATGTGCTTGGTTTTGTAAGTTGCAAATTAAACTGAACCTGCGGAGAGAACAGAGCTCATGAACTCAGCACTGAGGCATTTCCTTGCTGAGCTGTGTTGTTAGGTTTACTTCTTGATAAGAAGTTTGCTTATATTTCACAGCACATTCTTTTGATATGTATAAAGAACCTGACTTACCCTCACAAAAAGTTCACATGACAAGTGAGATGAAGAATACAAGTGATTCTTTAACATGAACACTAGTGCATTCGGGTTAATGACAGAACTGAAACTACCCAAGGTTTGGTGGGCATGGATCCCTCCTGCTGGAAGGATCAAAAGTTCGAAGAAAGCTTGGGCTACATAGCAAGGCTCTGTCTCAAAAAAAGCAAAAAGCAAAATACCACAACAATAGTTTTACATTGTGTATTCTGAAAACCAAGCCTTTTAAAGGACTTTCAAAGACTGCTACACTTACTTAAAAATTCTAAGTTATTTGAATTTAAATTCTTTGGGGGGTGGGTGGCGTTGAGACAGGGTTTCTCCGGCTTTGGAGGCTGTTCTGGAACTAGCTCTTGTAGACCAGGCTAGCCTCAAACTCACAGAGATCCACCTGCTTCTGCCTCCCAAGTGCTGGGATTAAGGGTATGTGCCACCACTGCCCGGCTTTGAATCAAAATTAAAAAATAAAATAATACCAAAAAACAAGCAATACCAAGGAATAAAAATTAACTAAAGAAGTACAAAACTACCATCTAACTTGAGAGCACTGAAGAAAGAAATTAAAACATGAAAGTATTAAACAAGTTAATATACTTAAGATATCCATTCTACTCAAATTCATTGCCAAACTCAACAAATTTCCCATCAAAATTCCAAATACACTCTTCCAAGAAACAGAAAAAAAAATCCTAAAATGTATACAAAAGCACAAAAAACCCAGCAGAGAATGCAATCTTGAGCCAAGAGCAGAGCTGGAGGCATCATTCCACTTGATCCCAAGGCCACAGTAACCAAAACAGCATCATACTAGCACAAGAGGAGACGCACATACTGATGAAACACAAGGCAAAACCCAGAGATCAGCCCAAGAAGCCACAGTCAACTAGCTCTTGCAAAGGTGCCAGAGACATACATTAGAGAAAGGACTGCCTTGTCAGGACATGGTGCCGGGAATGTGGATACCTACTTGCCAAAGACTGAATCTTGTCTTGTATAAAAGTCAAATGTAAGACCAGCAACTCTGGAACTACTAAAGGAAAAACACTTTCAGACAGTGAACAGGCAATGATTTCTGGACAGAACCACAAGAGCATGGGAAAGAAAAGCAAAACTTGACAAAGAGAACTACATAAATTTTCTCCAGGCAAAAGAAACAATCAGAATCACGTGTTCAGTAGAACTCATGCTTAGAATTCAGGAACCAAAAAATTTATCAAAACAAGGAATCTAATTTAAAATATGCAAATAAATAGATACTTTTTCAAAGAAATAAAAATAGCCATGTGGATGCTGGGAACTGAACCAGGAGTAGCCGATGTTCTTAACTTCTAAGTCATCTCTCCAGCATGAGTTAAAATCTTTTTTAAAGTCTCTTCACCATTTGAACAGACTTTTAGAGTCCCACAATGAACTGTCCAGCAGAATGTAGTCCTCTACTTAACAAAGAACCAGGAAAATCTAAGCAACTCAAAGACACTGCCATAGGATAACAAACACTGGATTGCAGGAACATGCTTTAAAGCCCCATTATAACCATGCTTCAAGCAGAACACTCATTAACAAATGTAAAAACCAAACAAAAAAATGGAGGGGCAGGGACGTGGTAGCACACGCCTTTAATCCCAGCACTCGGAGGCAGAGGCAGGCGGATCTCTGTGAGTTTGAGACCAGCCTGGTCTACAGAGCAAGCTCCAGGACAGGCTCAAAAGACACAGAGAAACCCTGTTTGGGGGGGGGGGGGAGTAGGGCTTGAGTGCATATAGGTCAATGATAGATCACCTGCCAGGTGAATAAACAAAGAAGTAAGGAAAGGAAAGGAAAGACGACTGCTCTAGGTATGGAGGAGGAGGAAGTTTATTGTAGATACGTGGGAGAGCATAGCCAGAGGCAGGGACATCTGGGAGAGCCCACAGTGGATACACCAGACTGAGCAAGACCATATGGGGAGAGGAGAGGAGAGGAGAGGAGAGGAGAAGGGAGAGAGAAGATACAATAGAGAGAGAAAAGAGGGGAACCAGGTGCAGCAGCCAGGAGGCCAAAGGTCCAAAAGGGAAGGGGTCAGGTAACCAAACTGTCTAGGTTATAAGGGAAGAGCCTCTGGGGGAAGGGCAGCTCAGTCCCTAGACTGGAGAGTTCAGGGTAGAGGGTGGGGTATGCCAGCCATACTCTGTAACAGGCAGGGACCGAGGGATGCTGGGAGAACCTGGTGCCAGGTTCAACTTTGATATGCAACCAGGCACCTCAGCTGTTTGTCCAGGGTTTGAAACACCTGGCATGCACAAAGCTCTAGACTCTGTCCTTGGCACTGAGAGTGGGGGAAGAAAAAAAGAAAAGGAAACAATTAAGGATTTTTTTTTTTTTTTTGGTTTTTTCGAGACAGGGATTCTCTGTGGCTTTGGAGGCTGTCCTGGAACTCGATTGGTAGTCCAGCCTGGTCTCGAACTCACAGAGATCCGCCTGCCTCTGCCTCCCAAGTGCTAGGATTAAAGGCGTGCGCCACCAAAACTGAAAAAACTGATCAGTTCTACAGTTGAACGGAGCCAACAGAGAAAATCTAATCTTAGCAGGGCACGGTGGTAAATGCAGATCTAATGTTAGCATTTGGGAAGCTGAAGGCTGAGGACATAGCTCAGTGGCAAAGTGCTTGCCTAGCAGGCAAAATAGCCACACACATAAAACAAAATAAAATGTTTGTCTTTTAAAGTTCCATGACTCAAAAGGCCATCAACAATACAAGTGGCACACACCTGCAATCCCAGCACTCAGCAGGACTAAGGCATGAGAAACGAGTTCAAGGGTAGCCCAGGCTACACAGATCTTAAATATCAGACTGCTGGTAATATACAGTAAGTGCTTTTGGGAAAGTTTGCCAGATATTTTTTGTTTGTTTGTTTTTTTAATACAAGCCCTCTGTAGTCTTGACGGTCTAGAACTTGCTATGTAGACCAGGCTGACTTCAAACTCACAGAGATCTGTCTGCCTGCTGAGTGCAGGGAATAAAGATGTATACCACAATGCTCACCCAAGCTGGCTTTGAGCTTTCTGCTTTAACCTCTGGGTTACAAGCATTTGCTGCCATGTCCACCCAGATCCTATTTTCTTTTTCAGTTTTTCAAGACAGGGTTTCTCTGTGTAGCCCTGGCTGTCCTGGAACTCACTCTGTAGTCCAGGCTGGTCTTTAAGAGATCTGCCTGCCTCTGCCTCCCAAGTACTGGGATTAAAGGCATGCGCCACCACCACCCGGCTCTATTTTCGTAAACCACTAAATTATACTGTAAATAGTAGTCATTTAGCAGTATATGAGTACAACTCACAAAGAAAGTATACTCCCTTATTGAATATTCAACTTCTGTGCTTTTCTGTTGTTTGTTTTTACTGCTAAGGGTACATAGTCGAAAAATATGGAGGTGGCGTAAATGGCTCAGCAGGTAAGGCACTTGATGCTATGGTAGAAGTCCACAATCTGTCTCAGGGCTTTTTACCTTTTCTTTCTGTGTGTTCTACTCTGTCTAGCTGCCTGGGGGCTGCCTGGCTGGCCCCGGGGTCACTCTCCCTTTCTTCCTTGTTCTCCCCCCTCTCTTTCTCTCTCTCCTTCTCTGGAGTCTAGATTTCTTCTCCTGCTTCTTCTCTCTGCCTGCCAGCCCCACCTATCCCTCTCCTGCCTAACTAACAGCCGTTTAGCTTTTTTATTAGCCCAGTCAGGTATCCTAGGCAGGTGAAACAACTGCAACATACCTTTACATAATTAAACAAATGCAGCACAGACAAATGTAATACATCTTTACATAGTTAAACTAATAGTCTGCAGTATAAACAAATGTCTAGTTAAAGAAATATTCCACAACAATCTAGGCTTTACAAACTGCAGTCATTGCACAAACACTTGGTGCTTCTATCTCCTAATACATTACCTAGCAAGTAGCAGCTGACCAAACAATCTTACTTTTAAAAAGTACAAAATATTTATATGCCAACAAGTTTCTGTAATTTCTCAGAACAGTTCATTTCACTACCTTTGGTGCTGAGATTGGATGGCTGGTGTTTTTGGCAGATACCACATGGGGAAAAGCATTCTGGAATGCAAATGCAGAGGAGACAGGATAGCCAATTCCACAGCTTGGGTAATTTAGTCTATTATCAACCTAAAAACCAAAAAAAAAAAAAAAAAAAAAGATTGGAGATGAGAAATATTTCTAAATTATAATCTGAAGTATTTGCTGACCTAGAAGGCAAAGTGTGAGCTAGTAATAATTACAATCTCATTTCTCTAGCAATATCTGTTTTCTCTAGAAGACACCACAAAATGTTGCTTTTTAATAAGCAGAGGCTGGAAGCTCTTTGGTCCACCTAGAGGGCCTTCCAGACTAGCTATGCAAGTATGGGCCGGAGAAACCACTGGGTTTGCCTTTGAGTGGAGTTAAAACAAAGACTGCCAAGGCACCTTCTTTATCTAGCCCTATGAGAGAGAAGGTATAAGAATGAGGAGCCACTGATAGTCCATTCAGAGAGAAAATATATTTGTCAGATTGAATAAAAATGAGACTATTGTCTTTTAGGAGACAAGATGAAAAAAATGCTTTGTCCTAATTTTAATACCATGGCACCATCATTAACCAATATCATGGAAGAAAGTTTCTTAAAAGAAGCCACTTGAAGTGACTAACACCAGTGTCTGGACTATAAACACGCTTTACACAGTTATTTAATAGCACTCATTAGGGAGTCAGCTGTTTATAAGTTTAGAACTCAGTCCTAGCCATTTCTTTTTGTACCCCTTTCCAACTCAGCAGCAATCTTTCCCAAGCCTTCCACAATTTATCAGAGTAGATTAAAAATTCATTTAGACATCTAAATTTAACAATCAGTGGCAATCCCTCTGGTGCACAGCTGGGATTACTGCTCCCCGTGATGGGGTCTGCAAACTATGAGGGACCACAGGGAGTCTCAGAAGTGGTAAAGGGTCTGACTGGCTGAATTTAGCAATGTCAGGGAATTTGAGGGAAAGATTAAAGAAAGTGGGACTTTACCTTGGATTGTTTACAAGCGGCCAGGGAGTAGAAACAAGTGGCTGAGTCTCTAATTATGTGTTACTGATTAAGGTAGGGGAGTGGATTAAGTGGTTAGAAAAGCCTGTCTGGCCCTTTCTGTAGCCTAGCAGACGTCTGTCTGTGTTCAGATATGATTGAAGAGTGCTCTTGCTTTGTGTCGATTCATCACGAGACCACATCTGATAATGATACTCTGTAATTGTTATGTTCAAGAGGGAGTGTGGCTCTTTAATTGTAATAGGCAAGTGCTAGTGCTGGCAGTCTTGCCATCTCCTAACCTGAGGCCACCTCCTGGGTCTCAAGAGCTGCCTTTCTTCTCCCTCCCATTCTTGAGGAAAAAGCTAGACTTGTCTCAGGATGCTCACACGCTAAGACCAACAGACCTGTTAATAAAGCTGCCTCCCCACTTTGCTTGCTGACCAAGTCAGTCAGGCTTTTCTCCAGAGTAGTTCCAAGCTTGAGTGCAACCCTGAATTTCCTGTTTGAAGTTTTCTAAACAATCTTTATTTCTGTGTGTGTTCATGTGTATTTTGTAAGTTTCAGTAATGATTTCTGTAGAAAAAGGCTTACAAAGTGTGCCCTTGACACATGCATAGAAGTATATACACACACAATCAACAGATTCACAAACACAAAGAGACATGAAGAGTGCCCCTGGAATACAGCCTCTTCGTTAAGATCATGTATGTCTAACCTGTAGCTCCAAGGGCAGAACATACTGAGTCCTACGAAATAACTGTTGGACTCCAGTAACATCACTCACATCTCATCTTAATTCTTACCACATTCAGGCTGGGAGAAATCCCACTTCTGATGGTGCTGCTACTAGAATGTGCAGGCGGAGTGGCCGAGGTGCCCAGTGTGTCTTGCTTTCTTACCAGCTGGTTTTCATTTAGTTCTTTGTTTAGCCAAGTGATTACTTAAATAGGAGAATAAAAGGCAGAACAGAACTTTATTTTAGTTTTTACTTGTTTTAAATAATTTAACATAAGTAAATGGATGATTAGTACTTTTCTCTCTGTTTTTTTCAAGCAGGTTTCACTGTTAATGCTCTTCCTGCCTACTGAGGCAGGGTCTCAGATCACAAGTGTGCAAGGCCACACCGACTACATGTGGTTTTTGCGATACTACAGCTGCTTTACAGCAGTCACACAATATAAGCCTGGATACATGTTTGGAGTAAAGATGCTTCTTTTAGTCACTGCCACATGGGACTTATCACTCTATTGCTTTCCAAAACATATAGTTCTACAACTCAAAATCTGACAGTTTTTGCTTTAGGACAGTATCTGTCAGATATTTAAAGTTCATAATTCTATGTCTCATGCCTAGTTCTTAGAAGTGAGAAAATTTTCAACGAAAGTTTGTCAGGTATGGTATCACATACCTAAATATAATCCCAGCACTCAGGAGGCAAGGAACAGGCAGAGATACACAGCAAGACCATCTCCAAAACAAACAAAATAACAATAAAAAAAGCAAACTTAAAGCAGAAATTATTTGTATATAGAATTATTTTCATTTACCTGCACTTTCACTAACTCAAATAAAAATTTCAAGTTAACACTAAAACTATAAGCCTCATTTACAGAAAAATATAACATTACTTACATTTTTCATTATTTTTTAAAAGTTGTTTACTTTCTTCAAGTTTCTGAACTGTAGTTTCTAATTGCTCTTGTAATTTGCATACCTGAAATATGTCAATTGTCACAAGTCAATAAAAGTTGAAGACGAAAGAACTGTATTATACTATTAAATAACTGATTACCACTCAAACCACAAAACGAAGCCAGGCAGTGGTGGCACACACCTTTAATCCCAGCACTCAGTAGGAGAGGCAAGCAGATCTCTGTGAGTTCAAGGCCAGCCTGGTGTGCAGAGCAAGTTCCAGAACAGCAAAGACTACACAGAGAAACGCTGGCTCCAAAATACAAAAAGCAACAACAACAAAAAAACCACACTAAGTAAAAACTATGGAATGAAATATTTAAATCTTTAAAAAGGAGTACACATACATAATTACCAATCCATTCTGCTCGTTTTGGAGTACTGATTACTAAATTTGCAAACTAAAATGGGTTATTAATGTCTACCAAATCTACTGGGTTTTTGTTTGAGGAAAAAAAGGTCAAAGCAACTGTCTTCATTTAACCTTGATGGTTTTAACATCTAGGTGGGGGAGTTCACTAGCTGTACACAAAGCAGTCACAACCCAGAAGCAGGAGACGGTGACCACCTCTTGCTCTTTGGCTCGAAGAGACTGTCCCACATCCTGCGATTCCTTTCGCTCCTTTTGTAGCATTTCCTCTTTCTCAGCCAATAGTTTTTCTTGCTGAATAGTAACTGTATTCTTCAGTTTCAATTTACCCATGAGAGTTTTAAGATCTCCTTGTAACTTCTTGATAATTTCATTTGCCTATAGAAGAACCTCATATGAATATTTGTGCAAGCCAATGAAATATTAACATTCTGCTAAACATTTCAAAGCTAACCTTCAGAAGTTCTGCTGATAACGATTTTATTGTAGCTTCAAGTTTTCCCAGTTGTACCTGATTTTTCTCACCATTTTCTTCTAAAGCCACCTAATATACAACAAAACAAAACACGAGTAAGGCACTGTGTTTATTTAGGGGAAGCATCACTATTAAATGCAATTGATTTATTTTTTAAATGTTTACAGAAGACCTTTTGTTCTTGGATTGTATCAAATGCTTCTTTTGTTCTCAGGACAAGCTGGTCTTTATCCTTGATTTCCTGTTCTAAAACTGCCACTTTTGTTTGTAGCTGGTTAATATGCTTTTCTTTCTCATGGCATTCAGCATCCAGAGTACAATTCTCTCTTCTCAGAGAAAGGACCTCTTGCTTGGCCCGCTGCAGCTCCTGAGGGTGGTTGGGAAAAGGAATTATTATGTATTGGTAAAAGGAAAATGAGTCATTTGTTATTTGAAACTAAGGTGTCTTGGGGGTCAGAAAGATGATTCAACACATGACGCACTGGCTGCCCTTCCAGAGGATGCAGGTTCAATTCCCAGCACCCACAAGGCAGCTCACACTGTTTCTAACTGTTGAGTCTCAGGGAATACGATGCCCTCTTGTGGCCTCCACAGATACCAAGCACACACGCGAAGACATACATACAGGCAAAACATCCATAACACAAAAATAAACAAAAGGTTAAAAAAACAAACAAACAAAATATTCATTGCTTAAGAAAAAAACCTTCTACTGGGTGGTTGGTAGTGGCAAATGCCTTTAATCCCAGTACTCAAGAGACAGGCAGGCAGATAGATCTCTGTGAGTTCGAGGTCAGCCTGGTCTACAAAGTGAGTTCTAAGCCAGACAAGGCTACGCTACACAGAGAAACCCTGTCTCGAAAAACCAAAAAACCAACCAAACAAACAAACAAAAACTTTCTCAGATGTCTTAAACACCAAGAACGTCTCCAAAGACAGGTGCAATGGTGACTGTCTTCACAGTACTCAGGCTGAGGAGTCAATATAATCTCGAGGCTAGCCTGGGCTACATAAAGCTTATCTTAAGCCAAAAAGCAGTCTTTAGCAATTTTGAGGTTCTAGTGTGTTTTTTAAAAGGTCATGAAAATCTCTCCAGTGGTGTGTATGAGTTATAGACCTGGACACAACATTAAAAATATACTTTGGATTCAATTATACAAAGGAGAAAACAAAGCAATTCTGACTTATGAAATATATCACAACTTCTTTGTATTTATTTTTATGTGTATGATTGTTTTGCCCACGTGTACGTGTATGCTCCACATGCATACCTGGTGCTTGTGAAGGTCAGAAGATGATGTCAGATTTGGAACTGTAGTTAGGGATGGGTACTCTGCAATAGCAACAAGTACTCAAACACTGGGCCATCTCTCTAGCCCCATACTGTGTAATTTTATTATCTACATCTCATAATAGATTGAAACTATTTTCCACATCAACAAATAATAAAATTTCTGAATTTCTCTTTTGATTATATTTAAAGCAAGAAAAACAAAAATAGATTTCAAAGAAAAATCTAGACTAAATCACTTCTCAATAAGATAATAGCAACCTAGATGTAACTGACCTAAGTTCAGTAAGTAACACCTAGGGAATTGTGTTAACAAATGTTTAAGGTAATTTCATAGTGCATACCAATAACCACTGGAGCAAAGTTTGATATCAGACAGACTTGACTTCAGAGTAGAATACACGTACACTTCTTCCAGTGTCATTATTTATTTATTGGTTGTGTTTTTTGTTTTTGTTTTTGTTTTTTGTTTTTTTTTTTGAGACAGGATGTCTCTGTATTGCTTTGGAGCCTGTCCTGGAAATCACTTTGTAGACCAGGCTGGCTTCGAACTCATAGAGACCCGCCTGCCTCTGCGTCTTGAGTGCTGGGATTAAAGGTGTGTGCCACCAACGCCTTGCAGTGTGCACTCATTTTAAAACACACATGCACACACAAATAAATGAAAATTTGTTTGTTTGGTTGGTTGGGTTTTTTTTGTTTTGTTTTGTTTTTTGGTTTTTAGAGACAGGGTTTCTCTGTGGTTTTGGAGGCTGTCTTGGAACTAGCTCTTATAGACCAGGCAGGCCTCGAACACACAGAGATCTGCCTGCCTCTGCCTCCCTAGTGCTGGGATTAAAAGCGTGCGACAAATAAATGAAATTTTAAACAATCTTTAATGCAGGTTCCTGGGAAGGAGCTGACATGAGATCACCCTTCAAAAAAGCTGTGTTGGGAAACAAGAGGTAGAGCAGCACAGAAGTCTGAGGGGAGCGAGGCTGGGACAAGACAGTTGCCAGGGACAGCAGTACAGGGGCCTTGACACGATACAGATGATGTGGGATGTACTCCTGTATGCTGTGAATATGTGTTGCTTTTATTGGTTGATGAATAAAGCTATTTTGGCCAGTGACAGGGCAGAATATAGCTAGGTGGGTAATCCAAACAGAGATACAGAGAAAAAGAAGGCAGAGTCAGAGAGTCGCCATGTAGCAGCCAGGGAAGCAAGATATGAGGTAACAAGGTAAAATATAGAATAATAGAAATGGGTTAATTTAATTGTGAGAGCTAGTTAGTACTATGTCTGAGCCATTGGCCAAGCAACTGTAATTAACATTAAGCCTCAGAGTGATTATCTTATAAAAAGCAGAAGGACCAGCAAATGGGAGAGAAACCGATCCAATAAACTTCCAACTACAGTCAGACCCTTTAGTTCTCAAGAACAAAGCAGGTTCTGACTCTTAATGATTTTCAAGGGGTGAGCAAACTTCACACTATGTGACCTAGTTTGACCTGCCTTATGTGTCAAAGAGCAGGAAGCAGAGAGGACCAAGAACTTATCTTACAGCTACAAGTGGGAGGGGTCCAAGACCACACACAGCACAGCAAGCTGATCCGTTCTATCCCACAGACAGAACAGCACATTCATGGCCTGATAGCTGTTAGAAAAGGCCTGCACTCTTACATAAGTCCCCCAAGAACTTCAAAAACCCTAGCATGTTGACAGCACACAGTAATATCCAATAAATGATAATCACTTTAGGACATTAATGCCTACAGTTTTACTTCACGTAATTATGAAACTGAACACTCGAGATGAAACAAGGTTCTCCCGGCAGGAGTTATACTCAACAGGTATTCTGCAAATCTTGGAAGAAACCATTTGGTGTTATGGCTTAAACATGAAATGCCCCCACAGGCTTGATCTCTAGCTGAATGGACTCCATTGGGAGGTTGTGGAAACATGGAAATGGGACTTACCGGAGGAAGTTAAGTTACAGGGATCGTGTCCTCAGAGCTATATTGTGTCATGTCCCTATGTTGTCACAGTTCCCCACCCAACTCCTGTTGACTGTGAAATGAACAGTCCCTTAGCCACATAGCATCAAGTTCAAAAACAGCCAGAAGGAAGCCTCTAAAAGAGTAAGCCAAAATAAATCTCCTCCCTTAAGTTGTTGATACCAATATCCTGTCACTGCTACAAAGATAATTAACACAATGAGGTTATACAAAAATCAACATAATTAAGACTGTTCATGGGGGCTGGAGATGGCTCTATGGTTTAGAGCATTCGATGCTCTTCCAGAGGACCCAGGTTCAATTTCCTGCACCCACATGGCAGCTCAAAACTAACTCCAGTTCTAGGGGATCTGACCCCTTAACACCAATGCACATAAAATAAATTAGTTAAAAAAAAAGACTTGATGAACTGGCCCATTTGGGGGTTTAAATAGACAAAATGATATAGCATTATAATCCAGCCATTAACCTACTAAGGTACCATGCGTGAAGTCAGAAATGTTGCACTACCTACCACCCAAAGGGATAGCGTGTAAATGTACACACACATCTATTGTCAATGCAGAGTGCTTCAAGGATCTAGACATAAAATGACTGGAGCTTTAGCTTCTAAACACTAGTGAAATAGAAGTTTGGTGATCTCCAATGTTAGATAGACAATAAATGCCACATGCCTTTAACCTGAGCACTAGGGGGCAGAGGCAGGTGAGTTCAAGACGAGCCTGGTCTACAGAATTCCAGGACAGTCAGGGCTAAACAGAGAAACCATGTCTCAAAACAAAACAAAAGACAGCAAATAAAAATCAGAAATAGTGGTACTTGGCTGAACTCAGGAGTCTGATACCAACCTGGGGAACACAGAAAACCCTGTCTCAAAAAAAAAAAAACAAAACTGAAAATAACTTCTACTAATGCTAAGTAGAAACTATCATTAGTGTCAGGGCATCCACAAATGTGCTGTGGCAAACACCAGCACTATTTAAACTTCTCTCTTATGCAGAGTATGAAGCTCACTGCAGAGCACTGGCCAAGTATGCAGGGGGCCTGGCTTAAATCCCAGCAATGCAAAACAAACACTCCTGGGTCCTTGAAAGAAAGACAGGCAAATAACGGGTTAAAATTCTCTTTCTTCCCCTTGTGGGCTGTAGGATCTTAAGCAAATGACAACAAAATTCTTTGCTGTAGCCCAATTATTTCTACAATGAGAATAATGGCACTTAACTACAGGGTTAATTTCTGCAAGTTACTTCCATAGTCTTGACCCTACACATGCTCGGCAAGCATTAGCTATTGTCTAGCAGTGGTACTCTCATTGGCCATTCAACTTCATACAGCTGCTAGCCTAAGTCTGTCAACAGTACACCTGTGAGGCACGGCCACTACACTAATATTAAAAATACACTGAAAGCATCTGGGAGATGCTCTTTTATTCAATATTAACTCAAACTCCAAACTAAAATACCCAGTGTATAGTAAAATAGCATTGTTCCTAATTTAAATTTTAAAAAAAGTTTAAAAAGCTAAAAAAAGTCTCATCTCAGTTTCTTCTTGAATTAGCATTTTCATCCCATCTGCTATTCCTATTTTCTTTGCATTGAGATGACTATTACAGAGATCTGTGCAGAGCAGCCAAGGGAGCACCAGTACTCAGCAGTGCAGGACCCGAAGTGAGACCAGTGACAACCTCAGTGGTCCACACTGACGGGGAAGCAGCTGTACTCTACCTCTTCCACACCCGCAAGCTTCGCTTTCAGTTCCCTGGCCGTGGCGTCTCCTTTATACTTCTTCTCGGTGAGGTCTTTGTTGGCTGCCTCTAATTCAGACAACCTGTTCTGAAGCTGGTGGATGTTTCGCTGATGGAGGGCTTCCAGCTCCTTTTTCTGTTGTTCATGCTGCTGCTGGTGCTGAACCTGTGCCTATTACAGAACGATATGTCAAAGAGGAAGGAACAGAAACATAAATAGGAAAGATCCCATGAGAAACAATCATAATTTCTTCATCATTTTCAGATTCCCCTGCTTAGAAAGTCTATTTCAATTACAGATTTCATGAAGGAACAAGTAAAGTAAACTAAGGCATATTTAACACTACTGTCTTGTTGGTAATTTCCCAATGCTCAGGAAGTATAAACTCGAGGATCAGAACTCCAGTCATTCTCTGCTACACTGCAAGATCAAGGCTAGTCTATCTGAAAAATGAAACAAAACAAAACAAAACAAAAAACAAAAACCAGAGTAGTCAGAGTGGTGGAGGCAGAGTGACAGTCTCACTTTTACTTCAACAAATGGTGCTGGCAGAACTGGATCTGAGCAGAGTAAAAATATAGAAGATCCCCAGTCACAAATATTGTTTAATTAGAGTATGGAAGAAAAAAGAAAAGTCGGGGCCCAGGTGTGGCAGTACACACATTTAATACTGCATTCAGAAGGTAAAGGCAAGCAAATCTCTGAGTTTCAAGATAGTCAGGGTTGTATATACAGAGAGAGAAAGAGAGGTATGCGTGATACTCTGCTGTAACACTCTGCCATTAGTATGTAGAGCTCAGTCATGCAGAACTCGTCATTTGAGTATCATTTACCCTTATGGCTCATTCCTGTACCATGCAGTTTTATCTATATTGTGATATGGAGATTTTTCTTGCCATTATTCTCTAAACAACACTGTACAACAACTGTTTGCATGGCATATATATTAGACATTATATGTAATCCAGAGATGATTTGAAGTGTAAATAAACACAAGTTATATGTAAATAGTATGCCACTTTATAGAAGGGACTTTTGAGCCTCTGTATCCTTCAGTACCCTGAGAGAGAGCCCCTGAAATTACTTCCTTAGAGATACTGAGTGACAACTATACCTGACAAAAAAATGTCATGTTAGGATATACAAATAATTCCTAAAAATAAGTAAGAAAAATACTAATAGGCTGATTTAATAGCGGTCATGTTGAATGGGCACTGCATAATCAAGCTGGTCAATATGCATATGAAAAAAGTCCATGATTATGTGATAGTGTTATCAACCCACAGAGTGGCAGTATAAACCTTCACGGAAAAACAGGCAGTTCCTGCTATTAGAACCCAGCCATTTCAACAGTAAATCATGCTCATGAATAGGGAGTGTACACCTGCACAAAGAAATGTAGTATGTTGTTCATATCAGTTTAATATATAATAACATAATATCACAAATAATTCAAGGTCAGTCAAGAAGAAAACAAGTAAATCATGGTCTAGTCAAAGAATAGAATACTATACAATAATAAAAGACAATACAACTGGAGCCGTTATGCTGAGGGAAGGAAATGATATAAGAACGTACTATTTGTTTCAATGTACGTTGAGAACAAACATAACCAAGCAATGATGGCAGCAGTCAGAAAAATGACTCCACTTGGTAATCTGAATGAAAATGGCCCCATAGGCTTATAGGGAGTGGCATTATTTGAAAGGATTAGGAGGTGTGGCATTGTTGCAGAAAGTGTGTTATTGGGGGTGGTCTTTGTGGTTTCTGATGCTCAAGCCAGGCCCAGTGGTTCACTATGTCTTCCTGCTGCCTGTGGATCCAGATGTAGAACTCTCAGCTACCTCTCCAGAACCATGTTGTCTGCCTGCATGCCACCACGCTGACAATGGACTGAACCTCTGAACTGTAAGCCAGCCCCAATTAAATGTTTTCCTTTATAACACGTGCTGTGGTCTTGGTGTCTCTTCACAGCATAGAAACTCTAAGACACCCCATAAAACTAGCAAACAGTCTGGGAAAGTACATAAGGCAGCCTTGAAGGGTGACACAATATTCTAAATTTTAATTTGCGTTAAAGCTATACTTATTTAAAAAATCCAATAATATCCTTAACAGCAAATAACTATCATGATGTACATTAAAATTTTATTATTAAAGCTATAAAATAGAAGGTAAGAAATCTCACTACAAAAGAGCAAATGGAGTAAAGGTCAAAAAGTAATCCACAGAAGAAATGCAAATGACAAAAAACATGTGAATATATGCTCAGTTTCACACAAAGATCTAACAAGAATTCATCTTTAGTGCACATCAGGTGGCAAATACAAAGATGACTAATAGTATTAGGAGCACAGGGAATTAAAGGCTTTTGGGATTCCGAGGTGACATAATCTTTTAGGTGATGAGTACATATCAATGAAATTTTATATAGATGTATTACAGTGTGAACAGAAAGCTCACTGATTGCCAAAACCACAAAACATTTAAATGTCTCCCAGTTTGGTAAGTAGTTAATTTTAAGTTGCATCTGAATGACAAATAATAGCTGTATAGTACAAAAAGGAGTATTTGAATTGATAGAGAATGATATCATGTGAAGTTTAAAAAAATTATAATAATATCTAGTAAAATTTTATTAGCATAGAATAAAACCCCAAATGTACTCTATAATTATAACTTGCATTGCTACAAATTTATAAAGAAATATTTGTAAATTGTATATCACTCATATATATATACATATATATATATATATATATATATATATATACAGAGAAGTCTAGAAAAAGATATCAAATTATCTACACTGAGTTGAGACTCAATATGATGACCTTAAGGGAGAACAAACAGGTCATCCTTGAGGGGAAAGGTTGATGGCTGGGAAGTCAAGCAGCATAAAATGCCTAAGATGACTATATAACCTTTGAATAGTAAGACTTTGAAAAATAAGCTTTTAATTTTTATGCCTAAGATGACTATATAACCTTTGAATAGTAAGACTTTGAAAAATAAGCTTTTAATTTTTATGCCTAAGATGACTATATAACCTTTGAATAGTAAGACTTTGAAAAATAAGCTTTTAATTTGTATTTTATGTACTTGTTAGATGTTTGAAAATTTTAAAGCAAGTATTTATTACTTTTATAATCAATGAAATAACTAAGAATAACTTTTAAAATAACATTGTCCAATTACCTTTAATGCTCACCTGCAAGGCTTTTTCCTTCTCATTTGTTAATTCCTGAGAATGCTTATTTGCCAACGATGCTGTGTGTGAGGCCCATTCACTCCTCAATTTATCTAATTCTTGTGTTTTTTCTGATAACATCTGTATCAGAGGTTAGTACAAGGTATTAGGATAGTCTTTTGAATATGCTACATTTCAGACGAGAGCACAGAGTACTTAATATGGACACTGAAAAGAAAATTCCTGCTTTCCAATACATATTCAAAGTTTTCCACACAGAGTTAACTTAAGGAAGTCAAGATGAGAATAAAAACAATTTTAGAGCTACAATAGGCCTATAGGTGAAGCTTAAACTGTCTTTAAACTTAACTTTATCAAGCGCTTCAGCACCAAACCCTTTTCTCTGACATTAAGAAACGTGGATATACTAAGCCTCTCATAAGTTTACTTCTTATAGGTAGGTACAATAGCATGGTCCCCTCCAAGGGACCAAGCTGCACAGGAGTATTTTCTACCTACAGCCATGATGTTTAGCAAGTACTTTCACCCTAGATTTCAAAGGTGAAGGGCAAAAGTGTAGTGTTCATAAATGAAACCATGCTAAGCCCATCAAAGGATTAATTCTAATCTTAATACAGGAAAGAAGGGAAAGTTAGACGGGAACTAAAATGCCATTTTAAGGCAGACAAATAAGATGAATAAAATGAAGGGGCCAGCAAGAGCTTCCAACAAGCCTGATGACCTGAGTTTGATTCCTGGTATCCATGGCAGAAGGAGAAAAATCAGCTCCCATTAGTTGTCCTCTGATCTCCACTTATATGCCATGGTACACACATGCCTACACACACAAACAGAAGCACACATGCACACAATAAATAAATGTAATACATTTTTAAAGGAAAGAGAATAAGGGATAGATGCTAAGCACTGTATTACTTGATGATGACTTAGAAAATGTGTCGTATGTTAGGGATGGCAGAAATGTTTGGGTGGAGTTAAATATCTAAAAGAAAGCATCAACTTAAGATAATTAGCTAGTAGGAGAAATGGGAAAAGAGATGAGATTCCATGGCAATATACTTTGAAAGAAGATACACAAAGGCTTGGGTTAATTCAAGAAAGAGTTCAGAACGTCTAGATGACTTACTAAGACAAAATGAAACTTGAATTACCTCTTGTGTAATGTGCAGTTGCCTGGAAACATCATCTAGTGATTTAGTTAATGATAATTTTTCTTCCTATTTATAAAAATAAAATTACGCAGCTTACAATTTAATACAATCATCCATAGTCAAGTTATTCAGAGTGTAGCAAAATACAGCACCAGCATCATGCAAAGAGCCTGTTGGATATGCAAAAACTCAGGCCTTCTAAAACAGAACCTGCATTTTCATAAGCCCCCAGATGATCTGTGCTCCACGAGCACTTGCTATGCAATGATTTAACCATTATCTGAAAAAAAAATTTGTTGTTGTTTTTCAAGACAGAGTTTACATAGGGTTTCTCTGTGTCACCTTCGCTGTTCTGGAACCCACTCTGTAGACCAGGCTGTCCTCAAACTCACAGAGATCTGCCTGTCTCTGCCTCCCAAGTGATGGGATTAAAAGTGTGTGCCACCACCACCCAGCCCGACATTTTTTACTTAAAAGCAGCGACACTAAAGCATCCTGTTCCACATACTTTATGATATAGCATTTTACAATACTCAGAACATGTTCACACACTTACTTTCAAACATATTTGCCAGCTGACAAAATGGCAACATGGAATTTAGGTACCTAAGGTCAGAGCAAAGTAGTAAATACCCTGGACCCTAAGTTTCTTAGCTGCTGGCCTAGTTCTAGATTTACAGCTATAACAAGTAGCTAAATGAAAACCAATAAAGTTCAATATAAAAAAAGAAAGGGCAATATGGCTCCACCATGATTTATAAAGTACTTAGGTGCATAGTTTAAAAGAGTGACAAATTTAAAATCTTACCTTGCTGCATTTCAAACAGCCTGCTAGAAACTTCTTTATCTCTACATCATTTCCAGGTAAAAGCTTTAATGATAGATGAATAAGATGCTTAAAAGGGTTTGTCTCCACAACATTTAAAAATACTGGCATGTTATCCAAAAGAGCAGCTGAAGAAATAAGCTGCAGCAGAAACCTTTGAAGAGAAAAGTCACATTACAGCACAGAAAACAGAAAACAGAAACCATGCCATCGCATCATGAACGTCCCAACTCAGACCATGAAGTGGAGAAATTAAAAATCATAGGGGCTATGGAAAAAGATAAAGAGAGGTATGACAGGGTGCTGAATGAAATGCAGTCCTTGAGTTCGCTGTGGGAGAAAAAAAAAGGAAACAGAGAGAAAACAAAAACTAAAAGCAAAAACTCAGGGCTGGAGAGATGGCTCAGTGGTTAAGAGCACTGACTGCTCTTCCAGAGGACCTGGGCTCATTTCCCAGCACCCACATGGTAGGTTAGTTAGCAACTGTCTGTAACTCCACGATCTGACATCCTCACACAGGCATACATACAGAAAAAACAAAGATGCACATAAAATTAAAAACAAAACAAAACACTCAATGTACCAAAGGGATGACCAGAGTACCAGCTCCTCACTCTGACAACTTACCTTTAAATTACAGGCTATCCTTTTCTCTATAAACTTTCAGAATGATCACATAGCTTGACTCACAAGACAAAAGTTCTTTACAGAATAATTATACCTAATAAACATAAAAAAAAAGGGGGGGCCTGGGATGGAAGTGAGGTCACATGCCACTTTAATCCCAGCACCAGGGAAGTGGAGGCAGTCGGATCTTTGTGAATTAGAGGTCAGTCTGGTCTACATTAGTAAGTTCCAAAACAGCCAATGCTACATAGTAAGAACCTGTATCAAAAAAAAAGGGGGGGGGGTTGGGAATTGGTGGTACACTCCTTTAATCCCCTCTGTAAGTTTGAGGAGGCCAGTCTGATTTACAGAGTGAGAATTCCAAAACAGCCAGAACTACACAGAGAAACCCTGTTCAAAAAAAAAAAAAAATACAGAAAAACATTTTCTAATATAGCAATATTTTAAACAACAGTCAGCAGTTGTTTAAGCTGAGAAAAACTTCCAGGTGAACTTTACATGGTCAGATGCCAGCAGCACAAGACCATGAAGATAAATGCAATCACTATAAAAACAAAAATATTACTAAATAGTTCAACTAGCTTGGTGCAGGAGAGATAGCTCAGCAGTTGGAGTGCTTGATGCTCTCTCTGAAGACTTGAGTTCAGTTCTCAACACCCAGGTCGGGCAGCTCACAACTGCCAGTAGCCCTAGGAAATTTGACATTCTGCCTGGCCTCCAAAGGCCCTGCATACAGACACACAGAAATAAGAAATAAATTTTAGGCCAGGTGGTGGTGGTATACACTTTTAATCCCAGCACTTGGGAGGCAGAAGCAGGTGGATCTCTGTGGGTTTGAGACAAACCTGGTCTTCACAGTGAGTACCAGGACAGCCAGGGCTACACAGAGAAACTCTGTCTCAGAAAACCAAAATCAATCAATCAATCTTAGTAAAAAAATTTTTTTAAGTCGACTAACTTTAAAAGCTGCATCAAACCATGTAAACTAAGGGTTAAATGTTTCTTACTCAAGTCAAGATTTCTTTTATATTTTATATACATTGGTGTTTTGTCTGCATGCATATCTGTATGAGGGTGTTGGATCCCCTGAAGCTGGAGTCACAGACAGTTGTGAGCTACCATGTTGGTGCTGGGGACTGAATTTGGATCCTCTGGAAGTGTAGCCAGTACTTTTAACCACTGAGGCACTCTCCAGCCCCCAGTCAAGATTTCTTAAAATTTGGGGTTAATTTGGGGTTTAATTGAGCCTGAATCCCACTTTAAAAGAATAACCTGGGATATTTGTAATCCATGGAAACCATCTTTCACAGGGCATCCGTGCAGAGGTCTAATGCCCCGATGCTCCAAGCCTCACCTTGGCGTCTCCTTCCCATGCTCTTGCGTGCACTGCTGAAGGAGGTCTATAAATCTCTGTGGAAAAGCTAGGAAGTCCACCAGGAGACCTTGCTGCAATTTTAAACTATACAGAAAACAGAAAAACAGTTCTTCAGAAACCTAATTGCTATTTTTAGTCACCATTCATAGACTAAAATATTCTTTATATGTCATTATGATTTTTTAAAAAATCAAATTAGGCAGCTTTTGATTTGTATCAACCTTATCTAATGGGAATTGAGAAATTCATCAAATCATCAAATTTGTGAGTTGCTTAAGTGGAAGTCTGATAAGCTATAAAACATTTATCTTTTAAAATACCCTGTCATCAATTATAGGATAGTCAGTATTCCCAGAATGACTTACTGTCTAAACAGGTATATGTTTCAGAAAAGAACAGTGTAAATATACTATAATATTCAGAAAGTAATTTCTAGACTACATGTAGGGCCAGCAAATAATAGAGTACTTACCTTTGAAAATCTTCCTCAGATATAACAAGGTTATACAGGAAAAATGGATCTGTATCATCAGTAAGACGGATGACTAAATCCTAAAGAAAAGATTGGGTTTCTTAAATGTTTCTTTTATAAAAGTGAAATTATTCAACAATATCAACATCAGTTGCAAGGCAGATTGCTGTTTGCTGGCACTGCTAATTTTTACTAGTCTTGAGGGAGTGAGCATCTTAAACAGGGGCAGACATTTGGCTCCATGAGAGCGGTATGAGGTGTGTAGAAGCTGGCGAAATGCTGGAAGCTAGAGATTTTTCTATGAGGTCAGAAAGGTGTAGACAACTTTGCACTCTGTGGCACCAGGGCCAGACTCTACGATTGTATTTTCAGTTTCCCTCAAATTAACTGGTCTGGTATTTCAAAAGCAGCAAATTTAAACAGCAAAACTGACAATCATCTACTCAAGGAAGGGGGCTTTTGTGGTTCAGATAGAAGATGGGTATCAGGTGACATGTTCCCAGGGCCTCCCTCTCCAGCTGGCCACTGAAGGAACTACCCATCTGTTCGCTTTTCTAATGAGATGGGTTCCTTTCATAAAGACACTAGCCAGGTTGTTAAACTTAGAGTGAGCCAGAGCATCACACCTGACAGGTAGGTACATAAAAATGGTCAACTTCAGAGAACACTGGCACCAGGCAAACGGGCACACTGTGTGACGGGCTAGGACTACCCAAGGACCTTAACAAAGTCTACTCATTTCTAAGGAACTACTAGGGAACTAGAAACATTGAGCAATTTATTAGTGAGGCACCATATGTAAGATTAACATGAAATAATGTATATTCTTTGTTCTGGAAAATCAACGAACTGGGGGCTTGCTCTACCTCAGAGCAGCCTGTGTTCCAGGAACCTCTACTTAAATACTTCTTGAAATTCACCTCAGGTGCTACTAAAAGCCAACAAAAAGCCAAAACCTAAAGTTACTGCCAACTACAAGATGCTTACATGTTTTCAGTGAAAGCTGCAACACAGAAAACAGACGCCATCCTTAGTCCCATGGCCTATATCTTTAGTGCTGGTTTTTTGTTTGTTTGTTTGTTTAAAGACAGGGCACCAATTATGTAGCCCAGGTTGGATGCCAAAGAACTCATTCCACCTTCCTCCTCTTGAATACTGGGATTGCAGGCATGTACCACCATAGTCAATTCAATTTTGAAGTTCACATGGAATTCACACTCTAAATCAGAATGTAAAGTATGGTAATCTTTTGAATGCTCAGAGCAAACCCAGATTGTTATACCAACCCCTAATTCTTCTTGGATTTAGTAATACATGGTATAATTATATTTAAATTGCTGACTTAGATTTCACCACCCTTGGCTTGCAACAGTTACAAAACAACCCAAATTTTTAAAAAATTGATTTAACAAGAGTCATCTTTTTAAAAATATCCATAATTTTATTATTATAGTTCCAAAAACACCAGAGAGAACACAAATAGTCCACTACTACCACAAACTGAACAGTAGAATCTCATATTTGGGGAAACCGCAAAAGTCAGCATACGTGGAATATAATTGATAAGCCTCACCCAGTAAAACCACCTTAGTAATTATAGAATGACTAAGTATAGTAAGTGCAGATCTCATTTTCTTAAAACAAAACAAAATCACAACAATAATTACATCACACACGAATAATCATATTTGAAAAGGAAATAGATACCAACCTTTCTATGTACTGGATTAGAAAGTGATTGTAGTTCAATGCTCACTCTAACACTTCCTCTCCTGGAGGAAAAGACATGAAGAACTCAGAAACATTCATGTGACATCATGAGTTCACTATCCATGCATTAGTTAACATGTCCATCTCAGACCACAAGCTTCTTCACAGGTGCCCTCAAGTTTAGGAACAGATTTCAGAGTGCACACTGGGCTAGGTTCCTCTAGTAAGTAACCTAGTAATTTTTAATGGAAGCTTTAATTTTTGTCACTTTTTAAATGAAGATGCTGTGACTGACTAAATGGGGTGACTAATAGGGTGCCTATCGCTAGTATTCTGGTAAATTTAGATAGATTCTAAAGAGCATCTACCAAGAGATAGACCATCAATTTTGTAACAACTTTAAGATCTGAAAATTACCATTGCAAAGATCAAACTGACTTATAGACAGATACTATCTTAAAAAGTTACAATATTACAATGTTTACATTATTTTTAGACCCAAGGAAATGGCAATCACCAACCTGTTACATACATAAAATAGTTTAATCCCAAAACTAAATCTACATAAAATATTCTCTATGTAATATATCCACAAAAGTATTTTCAACAAGTTTACTATCTGTCTCATTCACAAGTAACTCTGTCTGAGAAAAGTGAAGCCACAACACTCCACACTCTATGCAGTATCCAACATGAACAAAGACTAAAAGTAGTAATAACTGAGGAAGGAAATAGAGATAAAATTAGTGAAGATGTTTACATATCTCAAAACTGCTAAATTCAGTAACAATGGCCTTTCTCTGATATGTGTTTGTGTATATGTAGGGAATGGTAACAAACCTGTGGTGGTTTAAATATAAATGACCCCCATAAGGTGGAAGTTTCAGAAGGATGAGGAAATGTGACCTCTGGGGAGGGGTGTGTCGCTGAGGGTGGGCTTTGAGGTTTCAAAGGACTTGGACCATTCCCAGTGTGGTCTGTCTCCTGTTTGCTCTCAGAGAGTACTTCAGACACCTGCTACCTCCACTCCGCCTGCTGCTCTGTCATCATGAACCCTAACTCTGAAATTTAAGCCTACAAGAAGCCATTTCTTCTCTATGTTACCGTAGTCATGATCTCTTATCACAGCAATAGAAAAATAACTAAAACAAAATTGAATCAGCTCAAGTTGAATGGCTTAATTCTACTTCTCTACAACAGAAGTAAAAAGGATAGATACAGCAACTGACAATGGATAGGAAAAGTAGAAACAGTTGGGCAAAATTCAACTGAGATTTTTTTAAGCTTAAATTTGCAATTTTACATTGTTTTAAAAATGGGTCATTTTAGTTCATTTGTTTGTTTTTTGGGCAGGGTCTTTTTTATGTTGTCCTGACTGTCCTGGAACTCTCTATGTAGATCAGACTGGCCTAAAACTCAGAGATCCAACTGCCTCTTCCTCCCAAGTGCTGGGATTAAAATCGTGTGCCACCAGGCCCAGACCAGCTAAATTTCTTATTGATCATTAATTGGAAACTATATCTCAGTTCATATGAGGAAGCTGAATGCATCACTCCTATATGCTAGCTGAAAGGGAGTGGCTGTCTATACAACAAACAGGAGAGCTTGTTATCCTTGCTCAAGTGTTTCTGTGGTGCTGGGGATGAAAGCCATGCATAGACAGGCATCTGCCACTGGGTTATGCTGTCACTCTAGTGCCTGGAGCAATTTATGTGAAGCAAACTGGGACAGCACTCCAACTTCCCTTATGCTTATTTTGAAAGAAAACACACCAATTTCCTAACTTGTGAGATAAATGGGCTCACATAGAGGTTTTATTTGTTTTTGTGTTTAAGTATATAGTGATGTCTGCTATAGTGGTATGATATTTAAATCAACATCTAATTTTTTATTGTGTCTTACAGCTTGGAAAGTTCTGTACTTCATAACTCCATTTAGAAACATTGAAGAATCATCAGTTCAATAAAACACACACACACACACACACACACACACACACACACATGCAAAACTAAAGAGAAATAAAATGCCCTTTACCTAAGTTTAAGAATTATTTGACTATAACTCATCACTCATATTAATAATACTGTTGCACACATTCAAGGTGCCTACAATGGATTAGATGTTAGGAGGAAACTTGAGGGAGGCCCTAAGCTAATTATATTCTCCATATTTACTTTAAAAACACAGTGGTGGCACACGCCTTTAGTCCCAGCACTCAGAGGCAGAGGCAGGCAGATCTCGGCATTCAAGGTCTACAAAGCGAGTTCCAGGACAGCTAGGACTACACATAGAAACCCTGTCTTGAAAAAACCCAAAACCACCTCTAGAAATACGTGGTAGGAAAACCCGAGACTGCAGATATATCATTTCAAACCACAAATCTTATTTTCTGTTTTAGAAAGATTCATGATATAAGAGCATTAAAACAAACAAAATCCCAATGAATACACTACTTACTTATCTGGAGGTCACACCTTAAACATTATTTGTAACCAAACAACACCCTCCAGTCAGATGGAGCCAGGTTGGCTTATTTAGTTATTTGTTTGTTTTTAAATAAAGATCTTAAATATTAGACACCAGAGTTGGATTTCAGCCCATTGCTGCTATCTAGAAGCTGTGACCTTATCCTCTCAGTGCAAAAAACAAAAGCTACTACTGTAAGCCAGGTAGCAGTTGGGTGCTAAGGATACAAACAGAAGTAAACATGGCTCATGTCTGCAAACTGAAATCAGACAAAGTTCTTACCTAGATTCCTCTGATTGTTTTAGGGCTCACAAAAAGGAAAAGAAGAGCTATCAATGTCTACTGAGTACTTACCCTTACCCTGCTGGATGAGACACATTACAAAGTCTCATTTGAACTCATCTCTTCCCTACATAATGCTACCTAATAAATGATTAATGACAATTAATTTAGGCCAGTCTGGTGACAACTAGTTTTGTAGCTGTCACCAGACTGGCCTAAAACTCACAGAGTCGCCTGCCCCTGCCCAAGTGCTTGAATTCCACCACACTTGGCCATCCTGGGCAACTTTGAAGGACCTTTATTGGGAAGGGATTTAAGCTACACCCTGTGGGGACTGGGGAATTGGCACAGTCAGTAAAGAGCCTGTGGCACAAGCATGACCATCTGAATTTGGATCCCCAGTACCCAAACAAAAGCTGGGTGTGGGATGGAGAGACAGCTCAGTGGTTGAAAGCACATATTTGTTCTCTCAGAGTCTATAGCCCAGCACCCACACCAAGCAGCCCACAATGGCCTGACTCCAGCTCCAAAAGACCTGACACTCTCCTCCCTATCCAGGCATGTATGCCCGCACCCCCCACATGCTCAAACATAAACACGCCATACATGCTAAGACACACGCACTACACATGCTAACATACACATATACACCCACATGCTAAGACACACAACATACTAAGACACATATACACACACATACACAAATACTTTTTATGTCAATGTGTTTTGCATACATGTGTAACCCTAGGGATTGGGAGAGTGTAGTGTCAGATTTCCCAGGGCCAGGCCAGCTGGTCTAGTCAATTAATTTGTAAGGTACAGTGTTCAGTTAGACCATGTCTCAAAAACTAAGGTGGAGGGTCAGCAGATGACTCGGTGGGAAAGACACTTCCACGCACCCCACCCCCAAGCCTCACAGGCTAAATTCAATCTCTGGAACCAACAAAACCCACATGGTCAGAGAAGAGCACAGACTCCTGCAAGCTGTCCTCTGACCTCCACAAGCACACTGTGGTACACACACACCCTCCTCTCCACACACATTAAATAAATATGTGTAACTTCTAAAAAGAATTTTAAGGTAGAGATCATTTTAAAAAAAGATACCAGAAGTCAACCTCAGGCTTCCACACTCATTCATACTCATATGCACATATAGACACATACGTTGCGCACACACGCACACGCACACACACACACACACACACACACACACACACACACCAGAGAGAGACAGACACACAAACACACACACCTTCAAAGTCATCAAGAGCACAGGTGGTTTAAGGATCTCTCCATTTTCTTCCAGGCAGGGTTCCTTGATAGTTGCACTATCCTCTACCCAACTGCCTTCCCACTCCTCTATACCTTTATTATAATACTTATGCAATCACACCTTACTAATAACTAAGGTTTAGGGAATATTTAATATATCAGTTACTATTTTAAGCACTTTGTATGTATTAAATCATTTCATCTTCAATAATCTATGAGGTAGGTACTATTATTCAGAATTTAAAGATGAGACAAACAAATTAATAAATTGTATGAGCTTGGGGTTGGGAGTAAAGTCCATGATAGCATATTGCAAGGAAATGACTCAATCCACAGAAATGTACACACAGTAAATAAACTGTTCAAGCGGCAGAAGTGGAATTAACTTAAACCCAGGCAATCTAATGTCAGACCTAAACCTGTAACCTGTGCTATGCTTCCTGTCCAAGGGAAATCTTAGTTCTAAGGCTGTGCATTCCCTGAGAACCACAATGAAGACTAATGTTTTGTTCTTGCTGTTTGGTGGGAACAGGAAAGAAAGTGTCACACCCTCAGCACCTAGGATAGTTCTTGGCACACAGTAGGCATTTGCAAATATTTGTTGGAGTAAACTAGTCTTGAATACTTAGCTAAAGAATCTAGGTTGTTCTTCCTAAAGGCTAGGGGTTAGCAAAATTATTCTGCAAGAGGCCAGAGAGTAAATATTTTAGACTGTGAAGACTATAGAGTTTCTGTCACAATTGTTTTCCTCTCTCCTCTCTCTCAGTCTCTGCTATTGTTGCTACTGAATGCTGCGGACAAACACACACTCTACCATAAAGACCACGGAGCTAGCTACATTCCAGCTAATACCCCCATACAATTACTCATTGAAGCCCTGTGCAGAAGCAACCACAGACAGTTGGGAACAAAGGATGGTTGTGTTCCAGTAAAATTTGATTTATGAACAGTGGGGTTGATCCTTGTCACAGGTGATAGATTCCTATCAGGTTTCTAAACAAACTTTAAAAGTTGAAATTGTGTTTTAACATGATTAACTCTGATTACAATGTAATGTGCAGGAGAAGAGTTAGGAGTGTCAAGCTTGCAATCACAAGCAATGTCCCACATTGTCCAACAGAAACAAAACAAAAGCCACAAGTGTGAGTTATATACACCATTTTAAATTGTCTAAGTTAGAAAACCCCTATCTTTGAAAGTAAAATTAATTTGAATATACACAGCCCTATATACCCTAAAAATAGCTGTAATGGATAATCAACATAAGATTGAGATTGTTTACATCCTTGTTGTTACCATGTCTTCAAAATCTAACATGAATTTTTATACTTAGAGACATCAGTTTGGATTAGCCCACATTCGATAACTATATGTGACTAATGGCCAGCATACTGGACATCACAAACTCATCAAGTAGAGGCTACGGGTTGCAGTCAGTGTACAGCATGCTAAGTGAGGGCGTTAAGCTCAATTGCCAAAGTCAACAATTAGACAATGAAAACAATCTACAGATCCCCATATACGGCTGTTCATTCTGACTGTTTTGCCAGCGGGTTCTGGACCTCACTCTAAATTGTGTGCCACGGTTTAACAATAGCGGCAACTCAAAAATACACCAGTGTCTCCGTAACTTCATGCAGCATTTCTTCACCGCTCACTGTCTACATTCATTTTCCCTCCTGATCTTCGTTGCAACCATATGGGTAGGTAGGTGTGTTAAATTAGTTTTACAAATGAGTAAACACGATTCACAGAAACCAAATAACAGCTAAAAAAAAGTCATTGGTAAAACGGGGAAAATCAGATCTAACTTCTAATCAATCTATTTGAGCCGTGATAGCATAGCATCACCTGTGAACAAAGTTGCAAGCTTGCGTTGTATCTGTGAGGTAGCCCTCTACCGCACCGCTGTACTGTTAACGCCATGAAGACCACGGGGGTCCCCAGGGGTCCAAGCAAGGTGCTTCAGGGGTTCACAGTATTTACTAAGTGAAAAGAGTTCCTGACTTTCCAGTGTTTGGGGCTGGTTAAATGCATCTTTGTTTTGTGACTGAAGTGCAGATGAGCCGAAGTATATCAATGAAATCATCTTTTGCTTTTAGTGGAAGCTCTGAAGCTTCCCTCCCGTGAGTTGGGGCGCTGGTGCCGACCCTTCCCTGACATCACCGTGAAGCTTCAGAAATGAACCGGAGAGAGGATCAGAGCTCCCACCCAGAAAGGGCAGGCTGGGCTCAGTGCCGCCCAGAGCTGCGACAATCCCCATGCTCTCGTTCCCTTCCGACTCGGCGACACACAAAGATAACCCTTAGGTCCCCGCGGGGTCCCCTGCGGCGCCCGGGTAGTGAGTCCGACGCCGCCGCGGACCGAACCCCGCCGAGCCCAGCCGCCATCTTCCCCATTGGCTCGACCCCAACCGCCACCCGCCGGCCCCGGGAGACGCGGGCCTCACCTCTCCTCACAGTCTTTGCATTTCACTTGCAAGGGCACGAGCTGCTGGAACAGAACTTGGCTCATGTCGGACCGCTGCCGCGACCGGTGTGCGGAAAAGCCCAACAGGCCAGGGCCTTTGGAGCAGCTAGAACGGAGCCCCGGTCCTGACAGTGTTTGAGTTTGGCGCTCAGCTCCCGCGGAGGAGGAGGGGAAACTATCAACAGAAGGGACGAAGGAGGTTTGGACCTCGGCAGCCACCATCAACCCCTTCCGGTTCAGGAGAGAGAAGGAGCTACGGCGTCTTTCCGGTTATTAACCTGTCCCACACCCCCCCCCCCCAAGCGGCCACGTTTGTTAAGGGAAGAGGACCAAAGGATAGTGACAGCTTTGGGCTGGGTGCCTGATGCTCGCCGGCCAAAACGACCGTGCGTTATGGAGGATCCTGCGCCGGCCTCGCGCGCGGCCGCCCTTCCAGCCGAGGGCAGGTGCGGCTACTTCGTGGAGAAGAAGCGGCGCTTCTGCAGGATGGTGGCTGCCGCGGGCAGGAGGTTCTGCGGCGAACACGCTGGAGCCGCGGAGGTCGGGTATCGCCCTGCCGGGTCTGCGGGTGCTGGGACCCGGCCTCGCCCCTCTTTGACGGGTTCCTGCTTCTGTCCCCTGGAGCCCCGAGGAGCCCTCCTGGGGAGCGCTGTGCTCTTGTCCTAAGTAATGCACCCCCTGAGCTGCGCCCTCGGGGATCTGTGTGCCCGCCCTTCCACCTTGTCCTCGTGGGAAGGGGTTGCTTTTCCAAAAGAGTGTTTGAAGGCACCAGGGCTTACTAGCTGGGCTGTAGTTACTGCGTTAGGAAGGATAGCCACGTGTGAATGCATCAGAACGAAACTCTGAATTTTTCTCATTCGGGCTTCACCAGGAAGCACCTTGTGAGCTTGTAATTATTATTCTGGCAAGAAGAAGGGGGAAAAAAATAAGGCACATAACAGTTAACTTTAAAGTTGAAAGCAGAGTGCGCTGTTGGTGTCTTGGGGCTTGGGGGACGCCCCCAGCAGACACTTGGTAATGTCATAAGACATTTTTATTGTAAGTGCAAAATATTAGTGGCTTCTAGTGAATAGAGGACAGGGGCATCGCCAAGCTACAAATCACAGGACAGTCTCATCCCCCTCTACCCCAAAAGAAAACACCTCAATAACAATGGTACATGTGCACGATATACACAGTTTCTAAACTCAAATAATGTATTTTTAAAATGCTTGTGTGGGGGAGTGCGTTGTTAGACTTTGCTAACTAGAATAGAAGCCTGCTTATTTTTTAGATAATTTTCCTGTTTGTTTTTGAGGCAGGGATTTTGCTATGTTTCCCATGTTGTCTTGAACTCCTGATCTCAGAGACTCTCCAGTCTCAGCCTCACAAGTAGCTGGCCTACACCAAAGAACCAAACTTGAAATTAAGCTTTTACATCTGTACATGAGGAGGAAATATTACACGTTATTTTTTAATACCGAATAATTTTAACTTCCCCTGAAACTCAGTGTGCATAAATTCATGAACATGCTGAAATTGATTGAAATAAACAATTGAGACAAAATGAAGAATAAATACTCGGTCAGCTCTTGCTGTGTGGCTATACTGAGCAGGACTGTGGAAACAGTTTCTATTCCCCCTGGTCCCACAGCTGTTTAGTCCCAATTAAACACACAGACACTTATATTAAGTGTTGTTATATTGCTTTTAAACGTTCAATTTTCATAATCCTTAGGAAGTAAATCATACTATTCTCACCTTTCACATGAAGCAGTGAGCCCCTGTAGGGTCATAAAGCTAGCAGCTAATAGAACTGAGAACCACACCTAAGCAGTTCTGCTGGTCTCTGGCTTTAACAATTGTACCATCGTGTTCATACATGTTCAAAGGGTCTGTAGAGTAGAACTGCCAGTGCCCTCTGTCTTCCTTTCTTTTCTCACAGTCCCTATAGCTAAGCGTATATAACTCAGAATGTTGTAACTAGCATATTGAAAAGTTGCAAGGCCAGTGAATATGACCTGTTCTAAATTATTAAAATGCCATGCCTCATTTTTCCTCTCATTTTTTTTAAGTGGGTTTTTTGTTTTTTCAAGACAGGGTTTCTCTGTGCCTTTGCTGTCCTTTGTAGACCAGAGTGACAAGAATTCACAGAGACCCACCTGCCTCTGCCTCCTGAGTGCTGGGATTAAGGGCATGCACCACCACCACCCAACCTCCCGTGTTTTATTTCTGTATTTATTGAGACAGGATCTCAGTATGTAACACTGGCTAGCCTTTGACTCAAGATCTGCCTGCCTCTTCTCTGGTGTGCTGAGATTCAAAGTTTGTTCATCCATGCCTAGCTTTTCCCCATGTCTTGACAACTTAGAGATAAATATGCATTTTAAAATCAACTACTTAATTTAAATGGGCAACATTTTCCAAAATTAAGAAGTATTCAAGTAATATATATGTTATTCATCACAATTTAGCCATTTATACCCAGTATATATGTATTTCAAAAGATCATTTTGTACATGATGAATATTACACAGTATTTTATTAATTTGAAGTAAATAGTTAACATCTTTTCTTAGTGGTGCATGGGATAACTGCACCCATTTTTAGCAGGTGTTATCTCTGAAGCAAAATTATATAAGCAAGCCAAAACAGTATTTGTTCTTTTATACTGGAGCCAGTAACAGATTTTTTTATTGCTATAAGCATGACCTCATCTGGCTTATTTTTTGTTATGTCCTTTTAAAGTTTCCTTACCATGTTTTGGGAATAGAGATGCACTGTGGTATGTCTGACATAAACTTGACATATTAATAAATGTATCCCTTTTATTTATTAGGAAGAAAATGCTCGGAAAAGAATCTTGTGTCCTTTAGATCCAAAACAGTAAGTATGGGGCCAGACAAGTGTTTTTTGTTGTCATTTGGGGAGTAGGGTGTGTGTGTGTGTGTGTGTGTGTGTATGAGAGAGGGGGGGACTAGAAACAGTAACTTCACAAGGCTCATTTAAGATTTTCTTTCTCTTTAAATTTAGCACTGTATATGAAGACCAACTAGCAAAACATTTAAAAAAATGTAACTCAAGAGAGAAGCCAAAACCTGTAAGTGTTTGCAACTTGTGGTACGTGTGTGTGTGTGTGTGTGTGTGTGTGTGTGTGTGTCTGTGTCTGTGTCTGTGTGTCTGTGTCTGTGTCTGTGTGTCTGTGTGTGTCTGTGTGTATCTGTGTGTGTGTGGTGTAGGTTGAGTTTGGCAAATGGAAGTTCTCGTTTGATAGCTATACTTTTCTTCTCTCCTTCTCCTGCCTCCTCTTTTCTTTTTCTTATTCTTGTGCTTTTTCTGCGTGTTTAGGTTTTGTCTGACTAGATTAGAGGGAGGCTTTCACTGTGTAGCCCAGGCTGACCCAAACTTGAGACCCTCCTCCCTGAGATTGCTGCTTTGTGCCACCCTGACCTGCCCAGAATTTTGTCACATTTTATTTTTGGTTGTTTACTTCTTTTGAGGTAGGGAACTGTGCTGTATTGCTCAGGCTGGTCTTAGTTCATCTCACACATTTCTTATGCTTCCCTTCCAAGTGCTAGAGTGACAAGTGTGTGCCACCACACTTGACAGCTGGTGCAGGGGGTGATGGTGCAGGAGAGATTTGGAATCAGGGTAAAAGTTTAGAATTAAGGTTGTAAAGACTAACTGCTGGCATCTTTGAGATTTAGACTCAGTATAGAAATAATGAATTTGAGCTAGCACCAGTCCATATGAGTCTTCACAGTGTTCACCCAAGCAAGGGCTAAAAACCCAGATTTCTGTTTGATAACAAAATAGAATAGGGTGAGGGTGGGCAAGTGTACAGAATAGTAAGTATGTTCATTTGCTTCAGGATATGAAGCATTTTACAATATGTACTACAAGATCCCATGTTAGGTTTCTTGTTGTTATTGTTGTTTTGGTTTTTTGAGACAGGGTTTCTCTACGTAGTAGCCCTGGTTTTCCTAGAACTTGCTCTGTAGACCAGACTGGCCTCTGCCTCTGCTGGGATTAAAGGCATGCACCACCACTGCCCAGCATCATATTGTAATCTCAGATGTATAATATAAAATTCATTTTTTCAAAGAAATTTAAAATAAGAATAGAAACGTTTTATTGATACTCACAAAGTGAAATGTTGAACACGTATAGTAATAATTTGGCCATCAGGTATCAACCTGATCAATAAAATTCATGTGTGTGAAAATATCTACAGGTAAAGAACTTGTCAGACAAAGTGTGTTCATTTTATTGGGAGTAGATAATGGAGAGCACACACCATATTTGTCACAAGCTGGTATGTGACACAGGTTTATGGATGGCAGCAGAAAATAGGAGACTCTAGGTTCAGAAACAGAGGCAAAGGCTGAAATGCCTGCAGTCAGGGGTTCTACCACCAGGCTACAGCCACAGTCTCAGAATTTTTATTATTCACCTTATAGAAGCATCAGGGGCTTCTTTCTCATGTCAATTATTGTTATCTCTCAAAGCCTATGGACTCAACTCTGGGGCTCTGCTGGGAATAGTGCATATGCAGTGACTTGTATTGAAGCTGAGGGACCCCTAATTCAGGAAATATTTTTTCCTCCTAAATTGGGGCAGTGAACAAACCTGCCTCAACTGTATTCATAGGAAGACATTTTCCTTTATTATACTGTAAAGTAAGTAAGCCTGCCATGGGATCAAGAAAGAAAGGTCTTTCCTGTCTTGTAAGGGTGCTTGGTATACCGCTGTTCTTAAAGGTCAGTCTGAAGCCCAGTGAGACTTGTAGGAAATCAAAAGGCTCAACAGAAGGGACTCCAGGAGCACTTCTTCTTGGTTTTGTTTTTTAGAGGAAAAAAAGCCAAACAGGATCTCACTGTGTAGACCTGGAGCTTACTATATAGATTAGCCTAACTTCAAACTCACAGAGATCCACCTGCCTCAGCCTCTTATCTCCTGAGTGTTGGGATCAAAGACTTGCACCACTGCACCCAACCCTCTGATGAGTCTTTCTGCAACAGATGTCCTCCACATTGACATGTCTCCCAGTCGAGAACCACTGTGCTGCATGCTATGAGCTAAAAGTATTTTAGCTGTCTATGACAGCTCACACCTGCAATCTTCACACCTGGGAGGCTTAAGCTAGAGGATTACCTTGAGTTCAAAGCCAGTTTGGGCAACATGATTCATTTTAGGTCAGTCTTGGCTACAAGTTGAGCTTCAGTGTGAGATCCTCTATCAAAGGAAATGTGAGAAGGCTGTCCTTCAAGTACCTTCCTCACCTGCGGGTCAGGTTTCAAGTGGACGAGTGTTTGTTCTGGAAAGACTTTGAGATCACTTTGCTAAAAACACAATAACCCAGGATTGCAGTGTGTGTGAAGACATGGTGGCAAAGAGGAGAAAAGAGTGGAGTGATGGCATGGGGCGAGAACCAGAGCAACGGTTGTGTGTGCGGTACACCCTCAATAGTGTGAAACCCGGTGTCCGGGCGGTTGTGTGTGCGGTGCACCCTCGATAGTGTGAAACCCGGTGTCCGGGTGGTCTTATTGTTTTTCTTGAGTTTAGCAAGTTCCTCGATTACTTATAAAATTTTTGTTTGACAAATAAAAATTATTTTGTGATAAATTAGTGCAGATAATTTTCACTTATGAAAATCCAATCTGAAACTAAGTATGGTGGTGCAGGTTTATCATCCCGCCACTAAGGAGGCAGAAGCAAGAGGATCTCTCTGAGTTTTCAGTCAGCCTGGTCTACATAGCAAATTCCAACCTAGTCAGAGCTACGTAGAGAGACCTTGCCTCAAAATAAATAAACAAACAAATAAAAATCCAGTCTACAATACAGCTTACCCTGAGTACTTTTCAGAACCCTTTTAAGGTCAGAATACAAGAAAGAACTAATACTTAGAGCTAATTTTCAATTATATTTTTATCAGTCCCTCAGCAAAACATTGTGATTAACTGCAGTTTCACCTCATCCACTCAGTTAACAATGTCCCTTGTTAAACATATCAGTAAATACTTCCTTCCTCCCACAGCTGGGCATGATGGAGTACTTCTTTAATCCCAGAGGCAGAGGCAGGTAGATACTGAGTTTGAGGACAGCCTGGTTTATAGAGCAAGTTCCAGGACAGCCAGGACTACACAGAGAAACTGTCTCAGAAAACAAAAGAGAGATCCTCATATTATCAAGATGTTAGCACATCTGTCATCTGTTTAAACAAAAGTTCGTAACAGTTAGGACTACATCGTCCATAAGAGATGCTTTAAAGCAAGATTTATAGACATCATATTGTTTCATGCTTCTGTATACATGTATACCATCCATCCAGTAGGGTAGCCACTAACTACACATGACTACTGGAATTTGAGGTAATTAAAAATTAGCCAAAGTTAAATGCAATTCTCAGCCACAGTAGCCATTATTCTACAGTTCGTGGCTACCATATCAGTCAGGGAAGATGTAGAACATTCCCATCATCGCAGAAAGTTCTACTGGACAGTGTTGACTTGATCTTCACCTAAAATTTCTGTACTTGCAGGTGGAGTAATAAAATCTCATTATATTTGTTAAAATGTCACAGGACAGTTCTATTTTCAATACTTAATATTTTAAAATAAATCAGACTTACACCATTAGAGTAGCTGTGTTTTGTCTGTTTGGGATCAGGCTGAATCCTCAATGAGTAGTGTGTGTTTATGTTTGTATATAAATGTAAATATATATAAATATAGAAAAATCTTAATTTTATTTTAATGCCATAGGCAACATTAGCACAGTCCTCAGTCTGTCCTCTAAACAGGTAAAATTTTAAGACTGTAAATGCTTCTTCATACAACTCCCTCACTAGAAGATCCATGAAGATAAAGATTTGTCTTTTCTGTTGTTTATATGGTAATCCCAGCAAACCAGTCATCATGATATTGGTGCAGTAACATTTGGTGATTGAGAAAAGGGTGGTGGTGTGGTAGGATGAAGGAAGAAACAGTTCTTCAGCTTAATTGTTGTGAACATCATATTAATAATACGTTATGATTTTGTTTTTGTCAAGGATTTCTTTATTCAAGACATAAATGCAGGATTAAAGGATGAAATGGAAATTCCTGAACAGTTAGTAAGTATGCTACTTAATACTTAACTCCAGATGGTATTCATAAGCTATCTCCTTATACATTGACCATTCCTCACTTTTGTTTGGAAAGATCTGTTGTTTGACATTAGGGTGTATTTTCTTATAGAACCACTGATGGTAGTGATTTTTAGTTCCCAGCCCAGCATATGTCCCATAGCAAACTGCAATATGTCTCTGTTGTGAGCTAACTGAGCCCAGACTTCTTGACTCTTAGGGAATGAGGGGAATTAAAGTACTGTGGCAGAGACTGAGTGGGGTCTTTACAGTTGGGCAGTTCCGATGGCTGCCTAGGAGCAAAGTCTTATCAATCAGGAAGAAGACTTAACTGCCAAGGGCCTGCACAATGTTAAGCTTCTATTCATTTTTGTTGTGGTGCTTTAAGACATGCTTTGGCTATATTATTTAGTTTTATTTTTGTATATAGGTTCCATTTTCTTCTCTATCTGAAGAGCAGTTGGAAAACTTAATTAAGAAATTGAGAAAGGCAAGTGAAGGTAAGTCTGCCTAAAGTTGCAATTCAATTATTTGAGAAGGACTAGGTGGTGTATGAATTGATACCTTCTGTTTGTTCTTCAGAGTCCCATATAGTTCATTTTTGGCTGCTTAAGTTATCATATTTGTGGTTTTTGTTTTTTTGTTTTTATTGGTTTTTTTGGCACAGGCTTGAACTCTACACTTGAAGATCACATTATGTCCCATCCAGCATTAAATGATGCCCTTAATGACCCTAAAAATGGTGATTGTGCCATCAAGCACCTAAAACAACAGGTATGTTTAGACCACAATAACTTAATCTTGGTTCATATGTTTGATACTAATATTCTGGGCTGATGAGATGACTCACCATGCCCAATGACCTGAGTTCAGTCCTCTGAACCTACCTGGTGATAGGAGAGAATCAATTCTTGTAGACTGTCCTCTGACTTCTATGGGCATACACATGTGTGTGTGTGCTCACAATAAATAAAGGTAATTTTTAAAAGCTAACATTCTAGCTAGGCATAATAGCACATGCCTTTAATCTCAGCGAACAGGAGACAGAGATAGGCAGATCTGAGTTCTAGACCTGTCTGGTCTACAGAGTGAGTTCCAGGACAGTCAGGGCTACAAAAAGAAACCTTGTCTTTAAAAAAAATTTTTTTAATGCAATAATAATTCCTTTCTGAGTATAACTACTTATTTTTAAGTGAACAAAATACTTTCATTCAAAATTATATATGAATGTAAAGTAAAAATTTCAGCATGGATATGACCCTGGATATAGATATTATTTAAAGCAAAATGAAAAAAATGTTTTAGCCTTTCAGAAATTGTCAGTGAAAACATTCTGCCTTGTGAAGAGATTACCTTGCTGTTTTTGCATTTGAGTCAAATTCTTTTGCTGTAGTTTATAAAATAATTCCATGGAGTTTTTTTGAATTTGAGTCAAATTCCTTTGCTGTAGTTTATAAAATAATCCTATGGAGTTTGCAGGCTTCTATTTTAGGTAACATTGAAAAATTAAAGTTACTTGGTCCAAGAAGATGCTTTGTTGAGTTTGGAGCGGGAAAGGGGAAATTATCTCATTGGGTTGATATTGCCTTAAAAGATGCTGAAAACGTTCACTTCCTCCTGGTAGAAAAAGTGACCACAAGATTCAAGGTAAGTAAATCCATTATAGGAGCTTAATAACCAAACGTATTTTTCTCCTGTAGGAAAAAAATGATAGGAACCTGTCTCTTTAAAATGAATTTCCTTTTTTATATATTTGATTGTAATTTTTATTGTTATTATTTGTTTGGTTCTAGTTGTACTGGTTAAACTAAAGGTACATTTTTAAATTTAAATATTGATAGTTTATGTCTGAGTTCTTAAAATTGTTTGCAGAGACAAGAAAATCTGAACAGAATCAGGCTTTAGCTAGGAATCAAGCCGCATCCTAACCTTATGTTTGCCACTGCTGACAGACTCTTTTTTTGTTAAATACTTCTTAAGCATATTCTTTTACACTGTGATAGGCACACTGTATATGCAGATAGATATTGATAAGGCAGCTGTGCTTTTACATGTGTTTAGAAAAGAAAGCTAGATGATTATGTGAGGAAAGTTTTAAAATAAGTAGAAGTCCTGCAGAATATGTATAAGTTCAAAGGAAAACGTGATAGGCTTTATTACAGGGAGGCAGTGGAGAATGACCATGATGGTGCCTGTGATCATCTTGAAAAATGAATGAACATTTGCTAAATAGGGCATGAGAAGTGTTCTGGGGAATAAGAACAGTGTTACCACATGCCTGGAATAACAAAGGAAGCATTTCTGTGTGATGGAAATACAATGTTGAGGTAGAATGTGGCACTATGAACCAGGAAAGAGAGCTGCTCTAGAAAGGGCTCGTGTTGTATGCTCTTAGCTTTGTCCTGCTCTGTGTTAGGGATGCAGTAGATTTGGTTCTTGCTTCATAGAGGCTTCCATCCATCTTTTTTGTTCTCTATGTAAGTATGTTATACTGATGAGCAGTACTCAGTGCTGCAGGAGCGTGAAGGCAGAGAACTAACCTCTGTCTCCATCGGTTGTCATGGAGGGAGTTTTTAAAATGATTTTAAAACTTTCCGTGGAGCTGTAGACCTTGGCTCAGTGGTTTAGAGTGCTTACTGCACTTCAGAAGATCTGAGTTTGGTTCCCAGCACCAGTATCAGGCAGCTCACAACTTCTATAATTCCTGCTCTAGGAGATCCAACACCATCTTCTGGCCTCCTCAGGTACCACCCACAGATGGCACATGCACACACATGTAAAAATGTGTTTTAGATGCTATCCTAGCAACACTGTAAAACTATTTCAGAAGAGTTTTAGACTAAAAATAGGAATATTGAGAATATGAAATTTTTTTAATACAAGTAAGCAATGTTCTGAGAGTAATGGCCATTCAGTGAACTATACAGAAAAAAAATGAGAAATGTTAAAATGTTAGAAGTCATAAGATTTGCTGGTTTAATATTCGTTGTTTTTGAGAGAGCGGTAATCTGGGCTGGTTTCTGCCTTAATTGGACACAAGGTATTCTTAAGAAGGAAAAACATGGGTTCTGTTCTGTATGTGTTCAGTTTCCTGCCCACATGTTTCTCAGGGCTTGGGACTGTAGCTTAGTGGGAGATATTTTGCTTAACATTTAAGGCCCTGGGTTTGAATGCCGAAACCATAAAAAACAAAACATTTTGTTGTTGTTATTGTTTGTTTTTCCAAGACAGGGTTTCTTTATGTATCTCTGGCTGTCCTGGAAGTAGCTCTGTAGACCAGGCTGGCCTCAAACTCAGAGATTCACCGTCTCTGCCTCCCAAGTGCTGGGGTTAAAGGTGTGCCATGTACCACCACTGCCTGGCTGAAAACAAAAACCTTAAAGAGGGGGCTGAGACTGTAGCCCAGTGGTCAGTTGCTGCCATCGCATATATAAGGGCTGCCTTTAATCACTAGCACTGTCAAAAAAAAGGTAGGGGGATGGAGGAAGGAGGTAATGTATTTAGAGAGATCTGGACCAATATTCACAGGCACATGGATATAATATAATGGTTAAAAGATTGTGTTTAAAGAGAATAAGAGTGAGCCACAGGGGTGATAAAGACAGAAACGCTGGCAAGTAACCATAGTCACTTAACATTTGTGAGCCTTGATTTCTTTGTGAATGGGCTGGTAATTGTTATGGTTAAGAGAAATAATGTGGCCGGTGCACATCTTTAGTCCCAGCAGAGGCAGGCTGATCTCAGAGAGAGAGAGAGAGACAGAGAGAGAGAGACAGAGAGAGAATGTGTATAGGTAATAAAAATAGTAATAACCTATAGACTTTCTAGCCTTATAAAATGGGTGTTATTTTAGGTTGTTGTTCATTCTCATTTTAACTATAAAAATTAGATATATTTACTCTGAATTTTGAAAACAAATAGAAACATTAAGAATGCTAATTCAGTAATGTCTTGTTTATGCAGGTAGATGGTAAGCACAGAAAAAACAACTCAGTGTTTGAAAGACTTCAAATTGATATTCAACACTTGTGTTTGAGTAAGTCATATAACTTTCCACTGCTCTATCGAAGTCAGACATTTCAGACTCTGGGGACTGCTTAGAATTCTGTTCTCACAGCCCTGTGCTTCAGGAAAAACAAAGTAACACTAGTGCTTTATTAATTTAAGGATATGTAAAGTATAGTATGATATACAGGAAGTTCCAAAACTTTTGATAAGTCCTTATATATTGCTTCCTTGTGCTTTTAAAATTAATTTTGAGTAAGGCAAGTATGATGGTGCACACCTTTAATCCAAGCACTCAAGATGCAGAGGCAGGTGGATCTCTGTGAGTTCCAGGCCAGCTAGGGCGGCATAGTGAGACCTTGTCTCAAAAAATTAACTTGGAATGTTCAAATTAGCCTTTAGACTATCTATAGTTAACTTGACTGTCAAAATCATTAGAAGGGATAGTTCTCTGTGTAGCTAGTATATAAAAGATAGAATTATGTCACAAAAAAGTAATTTATTGCTATGGAATTAACATTCCATACAGACAGACACACATGCACACATGCATGCACACAATTACATACACACATGCATGAACACAAATGAATGTACATACCTGTTAAGGGAAGCTTTTTCTTTGCTAGCCGCTTTGGTTTATCCCCCCGCCAGTCGCCTGGGCTCTGCCGCGCCAGCCTGGTTCTAGAACCGCATCAGTCCCAAATAAACACACAGGAGGCTATATTCATTATGAAGCTGTTGGCCTTGTTTGTCCCTTACTGGCTAGCTCTGCATTAAGTAATTACCCCATAATTGTTAATCTAAGTATGTTTCTTACCGGAGAATAGTTCCCGGCTTCCTACCCCATGCGGCTACATCTCGAACTCTCTTGTGTGTCTCCTTCCCAGAATCCTCCTGGACTCCCAGTCCCTCCTATCTAGGTTTTCTATAGGCTCAACAGTACTTTATTGACATATACACAGGACTTCCCCCAACATCTCCTCTTTTCTGTTTAAACAAAAAGAAAGGTCTTAACTTTAACATAGTCAAATTGTATATAACAGAACAGTTATCAAATAAGAACATAGTTACAGTATTATGTCTATTAACATTTAGCAAGATCTAAAGAAAATATCATCCATCCCATCCTTGTGAGTCCAAAGTCCTATATGTAGCTTATCTTTTATCATAACTAAGGAAAACTATAACTATAACTATCTGTCTTCAACTCCATCAAAGACCACAGAAGGATAATATATAAACACTAGGATTGACAGAGATATCTTACTGCCTGGACAGTCACCCGAAGTTCCTCTGTAACGTTGGGGCATCCATCTTCAGCCCATAGGCCACAATGTGTCTGGAAAACTTCTCAGCAAAGCAGGAAATTTCACGCTGTCCATCTGCGTTGGCAGTCTGTCAGTCATTTTTCTTTGTCCTGCAGAAAGTCTCGTAGACTCTTCATCAAGCAGGAACCCTGTAAGACTGAGTTCAGTAGTCACTTTCCTGTGGGTCCTGCATGTCCAGATTATACAACAGCAGTCAAACAGTCTAGGCAAGAGGAGTTTCTTGCCCAAATGGCTAATCTTGCCACGTTGAAAGCAAACTCCATAACGAGTTTCTTCGATGCCCATCTTCCTCTCAGACATAATTGGTGCTGCCAGGAGCAGACATTTCTCATTGTCAAGAAAAACCCTAAACCATTTAAAATGCCATTTTCTGAAGGTCTTTGAAAGATTTGAAGACTGTATATCTATCTCAAATACATCTCTATATATCTAGAAAACCTAACTTTCCTAACAATAAGATCTGACCTTATAAGTAACTATCTATAGCCTGTATTCAATTATGCATTACGTTTTAAAAGATCAGTATAAGCACAATACTTAATCAAGAGGAGAAATATAAGCATCACAAAATTGACCTTGATTTTGTCTTAATAAATGAAAAATACCCATACCATAATTCCCCTTTTTACCATTAAAAAGATTGGCTGTGATCCTTAGCCAATTATAAACAATCCCATTTAAATGAAAACAAAGATTTATAAACAAGATGGGAATTGGGACGTCGTTCATTCCAAACTGCTTCCTGCTGGAAGGGGGCGCTGTTCACACCATGATGGTCATGACAAAACTCAGAAACCTGTATAAGTCCGTATTTTCGGGGTCTGTAAGGCTGTATCATCTTAGCTGTCTCAGTCATTGGAACACCTGGTCCACTGCTTCCGGGGGTCTTGGTTCGTGAAACCACAGAAACATGGAAGGAATCCTTAGCTTTTCATTTTCTGTAGAAACATAAATAAAAACTCCTTTTCCGAGTAACATATCCTTATGCTTAAATTTTGAAGTCAAGGTATTTTCAAAAGATATAAGTTGTATTAATTTAGCAGCATTTATAAGCAAGTGTACTTTAGTAGCAGTTCCTTCCTGAGCAACCAAAAAACTGAAAAACACAATAGTGTACAGTATCCAGACTCTCTGTGTATTTTCCATCTTTGTGCGGCTTATTTATTTATCTATTATTATTATTACTCTATTTCTTTCACTTTTGTTTATTTTTCTCTGAGACAGGGTTTCTCTTCGGAAACCTGCCTGCCTCTGCCTCTGGGGCAATTCCTACCGGCGTGCGCCACCACAGCCGGCTTTTGCATTTATTTACCACTTTGCCGTTTCATTTTCTCTCTCAGTCTCACGTATATTTTTAAACACACTGTAAACCTTTAGAGGTTTTGTTCATCCAAGTCTGACTTTACTGTAAGTCTTTATGTTTTTCTGGCCACGTGTCTTATCTGTAAAACCCGCTGCTGTTTTAAACTACCGTTTCAAGATGGCGGGCGTAAGCGTGACTCCAGCTTACTGCCTCAGTCCATGCTGACATCCAGCAAAAGCTGCCACTTCCAGCTGTATGTACACACCTTTTAATTGTTAGCAGAGTCTCTTAAAACAACCTTGCTGTTTTTTTTTTTTTTTTATGCCGAGTCAGGAAGACTCCTGTAAGCGAGCCACGTGAATCTAGGCTTGTTGCTAGCAAAACAGAGCACACCTGAGAAAAATGCTGCTACCAAAATCTGTGCTTCTCTCTGTTCTTCTGTTTTTAAAATTCCTTTAAAGCTTTTGTTATTTTGCGTGGAAATTCAATCCCACTCCTGATCACCATTATGTTAAGAGAAGCTTTTTCCTTGCTTGCCGATTTGGTATATCCCCCGCCAATCGCCTGGGCTCTGCCGCGCCAGCCTGGTTCTAGATCCGCATGAGTCCCAAATAAACACACAGGAGGCTATATTCATTATGATGCTGTTGGCCTTGTTTGTCCCTTACTGGCTAGCTCTGCATTAAGTAATTACCCCATAATTGTTAATCTAAGTATGTTTCTTACCGGAGAATAGTTCCCGGCTTCCTACCCCATGCGGCTACACATACCCCTCAGCTATTCCTTTTCTTTTTACTTTTCCTAACTTTTTTTTTTCTTTTTCTTTTCTTTTCTTTGTATTTTGAGACAGGTTCTTCCTATGTAGTCCTGGCTATCCTGGAACTCACTGTAGACTGGACTGACCCCAAACTCATAGCAATATGCCTGCCTCTGCCTCCTGGGTGGTAAGATTAAAGGTGTGTACCACCACACATGGCTCTTTCGTATTTGAAAAGAAAATAGTGTAAACATTAACAGATATCTTCCATCCACTAATTTTATTCTAGTCTTGAGAAGCAACCAAGCATTTGTATATAATCGTTATATTTTCTTCTGCTCAACTGAAGCCAAGTATGGTATACACTCCTGTAATTCCAGCACTTGGAAGGCTGAGATGGAGGATCACCCAGACTACATAATGAATTCCAGGCTAGCCAGTACTACATAATGAGACGGGAAATTCGTTTGTTTGTTTGGCTGACTGTTTTTCTATGCCATGTGCTAAACACAGATACAGTCTTAGGATGTATACTGGATTCTGTGAGAATTGTTTGTTTTCACATATTTCATTCCTCAAATTCTAAAAACCCTCCTTTTGGAAGGACACATTAATGCGTTGTATCATAAGCAAGCTAATGTAATTCTTATTCTCTCTGTCTCAGACAGGATCCCTGTGCTACAAGAAGGAAGACTGCCTGTGGTAGGAATTGGGAAGCATCTGTGTGGGGTCGCGACAGGTAAGCTTCTAAACTAACACACTGAGCTGGAGCCTTGATGCCCCACCAGTGGCTTCTTCCCACATTCCATATGCTCTATCCTTTGTGCGCTTGGTCTGAATCTCCCTTCATTCTGCTGCTTCATCAAGATATGCTGTGCTTTTCCTTATTTTCTAATTATCTATTTATGTGTCTAATTATGCCACTGTACTGTGAGTCTTAAAAAAAAGTGCATATGCTAATACAATGCTTGCTGTATGAGAGGGACTTGGTGAATATTTGAAATGAATATCTTGGCCACCAGCTTGCTGCCTCCTTGTTCCTAATAAGAAGAAGGTCCCTAGGTCACTATAAAAGAGCTTGAGATTGCTAATGTTCCTTTTGTTTCTGAAATAACTTAATACTTTTAGTAATTTTTCTGATTGTAAGTCTTTAAAATTGTGTGTAAGTTAAGTGTAAGTAAAGCAGCAAATACATTTTGTTAGAAAATAAGTTGAGCCAGGCGGTGGTGGCGCACGCCTTTAATCCCAGCACTCGGGAGGCAGAGGCAGGTTGATCTCTGTGAGTTAGAGGCTGGGCTGGACTGACAGCCTCCAAAACAATACAGAGAAACCCTGTCTCGTAAAAACCAAAAAAGAAAGAAAGAAAATAAGTTGATAGACCTGCATGAAGCAGCATACCTTTACTCCCAGGTACTCAGGAAGCTGAGGCAGGAGGATAACTTGAGCTAAATGATCACTTGAATTCATCCACAAAGTGAGCAACATAGTGAGACCTGTTCTTTCATATGAGAGAAAGACAGAAAGACACAGACTATGAAATTACCAAATTAGCTATCACTTTATCTAAATAATAGTTACCAATAATGTTTGTTGGCACAATTAAAATTTACTATAAAGATCACATAAATTATATCCATTTTATATCATAGGGTAACAAATTTTAGAATAACATTTAATTAATTAGAATATGATAGTGATCTAATCAGATAAAATATAAGTTTCACAGCTTACATTTGTGATCTATCCCATTTTGCCAGCTATCGGTGTAGCAATTTAGGGGAGCTTATTTTGTTTTTTAACAATTTATTTTTATTTTATGTGTATGAATATTTTGTCTACATATGGAAGTGCATTCTTGGCCAGGGCCCACAGGCCAGAAGAGGGTGCTAGATGGCCTGAAACTAGAGTTATGGACACTTGTAAGCCACCTTGTGTGTGCTGGGAACTAAACCCAGGTGCTCTGCAAGAGCAGCAAGTGTTTTTAGCAACTGAGCCACCTCTTCAGCCCCTCGTATGGCAGTTTTATTCATTGAATCCTCCGTGTTTTAAACATACAAGGCGTTTAGCAAGTATTTGCTGAACAAATGCCTATGTACAGGGAAGCTACTGGTCTGCTTTCCATACTGGAATCTCCTTTTCTCAACTTTTCAGTTCATAACTATTTGCTGTGACCAGCCTCTATTTCAAGACTAGCATCTTAGCCGGGTGTGCTGACACACACCTGTAGCCTCACACCAGGAGATAGAAGCAAGGGCCATATAGAACCTATCTCAAAATAAAACAGATACACAGTAAAAAAAAAATCTACCTTCTGGAACCTGGGTCAGCATTCTAAGTGAAAACACCTTCCTTCGTTTCTTTCTTTGGAGTTTCTTAAGCTCGTAACATTAGTTAGGATGAAAGAAATGAAAGACAATGCAAATAGTGTTGGACAGAAAATTTTCAAATCATAGGGCTTAAGATTGCTTTAATTTTATTGAGAAGTAGTCTTTATGAAAAATGAATCACTAGGAGATTAAGGTAAGATGGTAGGTAAATTTGAGAATAATTTATCATCTATTGTAGAACTGCTATACTATGTAGCTAAGTAGATTTTTGCTGGTTTATGTTGTTGTTTTTTGTATTGTTTTTAACCATACTGCTTAAGAAATCTGAAGAATACTTTTAAAGATGATGTGGCTTTGGGGCCACGTAATTGTGTTTGCAGATCTTGCATTACGATGTTTGGTTGAAACCTATGCTGCCAGTTTTGAAGAAAGGAATGAAGAACCATTAGCCAAACGTGTAAAGAATGATAAAACAGAAAAAGAAAGTAACATTCCGTCCGAGGAAGGAAATGAGAAAAATATCCAAGAGATGTGGACCCCTGTGGCTGGTGTTGTCATTGCACTCTGTTGTCACCACAGGTGTGATTGGAGACATTATGTGGGCAAAGAGTATTTCAAGGCTCTAGGCCTTGGGGCAGTGGACTTCTACTATTTCCAGAGAATGAGTAGTTGGGCAACATGTGGAATGAGAAGGACATCTTTGGAAGCTTCAGATATTACTACAAAGAGAAAAGATGACCAGAATTATGACAATGAAGAGCACGATGATGGGGGAGATAGACTCACAGATGGCAGCACTGACGGTATGCCCGGGTAAGTGATGACTTTCGTAATGCACCGCACTGAAGGGGAAATACCGTATTACCATAAAGTAGTTCCCTGTAGTTCCCTGTGGGTAACATTTCAGGACCTCCCACAGTTGCCTAGAGCCTTAGATAAAACAGAATTATGCGTGTTAGCATTGTAGTTGCCGCCTCTGTCAATTTAATAACCAGGATGCCTGTGCAGTGACTAGTGAGTAACATGCAGTGTGGATATTCTTGAGATGAGTATGTGCTAGGCAAAGGTTCATTCCCCAGGTAGGAAGGAGTTGGGTCAAAATGGTTCATTTTGGAAATTTTTCTGTTAATATTTTCAGACTGTGATGGACCTTGGTCAAGAGAAACCAGAGGAAAAAATTGAATAGTTGCTTCTTGGTCTTTTGGCTAAGATCAAGTATAGAAAGTTAAACTGAGTTAGAAGGGTTCTTTTTTCAGATGACTGCTATAAACAATTTAGTCAAGAAAATAGCGTTTGCGATCTAATTTTGGAGTAGGCTAAAACACATTTTAATTGCGATCATAAAGACAAGTCTGGGAAGCAAGAGACAGCGTCTTGTGTATTGCTGGCTAGTTAGCAGCTTTGTTATTGAACAGCAGTGACCAAGTTTCTTAGGAATTTTTACAAAGCTTTAATTCCCTGTGTGTTTATTCACTGTAGGATTCTTACTGCTGAAGAGAAAAAGAACATAGGACATCTTTGCAAATTGCTGATTGACCAAGGCCGACTCCAGTATTTACAACAGAAAGGCTTCAATCCTGCCTTACAATACTATACAGACCCATCGGTGTCTCTGGAAAACGTGTTATTAACTGCTATACCAGCTCATCTTTCATTACAGGAAGCAACTCATAAATGAAAAAGGAACATGAACATCAGTTGTCTTCTGCAAACAAAAAAATTTCATTCTTTTTAAGTTATATTTTTATATTCACAAAAATATTGATATCAGGATTTTTGTTTTGTTTGTTTTTACTTCCAAAGTCCAAACAGACAATTGACCATGTCCTCCAAGTATTCCTTTCAGCAGGGCTCTTAGAATTACTTTATCCATCAGAATGTATAGAGATTGGCAGAGCCAGACCGTTGACTTGGTCATCTGAAACACATATAATACATCAACATATAATTACAGTATAAACTCTGTATTAATCTGTAATTTTTATCTTTGGTTTTATTTGATGTACTTTATTTTTTGAGTTTCAGTTGTAATAACCAATGCCAGTTAGTAGCAAGAATCAATCTGAGTGGGGGATATTTTCAAATTGTTGCTTTTTTCTTGTTATACTGTTAATGTCAAATATTGTTAACATATATTGATTACTTTAAGCTAGTTACTCAGATTCCCCAACCAAGGGAACATAAATGAAGATAACTCATTGTTTAAGAAATATCCTTGCCAGGTGGTAGTGTCACCTTCCTTTAATCCCAGTACTTGTGAGGCAGAGGCAGGTGGATCTTTGTGAGTTGGAGGCTAGCCTGGTCTACAGAGTGAATTCCAGAACAGCCAGGACTGTTACACAGAGAAACCCTATCTCAAAAACCAAAATGAGGAATTATCATGATGTCATGAATGTTATTTGTATCACAAAACTTGTGTATCATTAAAAATTTATGTCCAGAACTGGAAAGATGGCTCAGTGGTAAAGAGCACTGGCTGCTCTTCAGAGGTCCTAAGTTTAACCTCATGGTGGCTCACAACCATCTGTAGTGGGATCTGATGCCCTTTTCTGTCGTAAAATTATACATGCAGATAGATCACTCATATACATAAAATAAGTCTTTAAAAAAAATCTGTGTCCATAAATTAAAAGTATACTACAGAGGGTATATTCTTGGTTGTGTTTCAAAAGACAGACAGCACACCCCAGAATTATACTGATACAGTACTATGAGCCACTTAGTTCAGTTACATGTTCTGATAATGGTTCTGAGTACATTATGGGGAAATACATTTGTTCTTCAGGTGCTAATCTTAAATCAAAAACAATTTTCCAACCTTGGTTTTTTTTTTCTTGCCTCACATAAGAATGTGAGCTAGCATGTGCATTACTTGAGTTTCAGACTTTTTATGCCTATCAGGCTCCCTTGAATTTCACATCCACAGTTACTGCATCATACATGTTTCACAGGTACATCACATTCACTGCTAGCATTGCAGCATCCTCAGTCTCTCCCTCATGCTGCCTATCTAACCAGATTGGGTACCTCATTTCCCAGTGGAGTATTACTGTTCAGTCATCCCAGATGGAAACAGATTCATCCTAAACACTGTTTTCCATGATTATCCATTCTGTCTCCTGCTTGACTTTGATACTTCATCCTCTCTTTCCCAACACTAGGTCACAAAGGGTTTTGAACTTTGTTGCTGGCTATTTCTCCAGCTTGTTCATACCACTGCTTCTGTGACCCACAGTAGCACCAAAGACCCCTCTGGAGTGAACGTTCCTAAGCAGTCTCTGGGTACTGGGAAGGGTCCCCTGGAGGAATGGCAGTACTGTTCTCTCTGGTTACACTCCTTTTCAAATAACTGTTACATGGAGTGAGTTAACATCTGCTCTTTACTTTTGTAGTAATTACAAAGCCAGGCTCTCTGTTTCTATGCTATTATTTCACTGCTTTTACTAACAAGATGGTGCTCTTTGCCTTATTCCTCTTACTTTGCTTTAATTTTAAAACCTTTTCCTTGATTATAGAAAGCTTTAATTATAAATTATGAGATGAAATGGTGTCATTTGTATATTATGCCTCAGATTCTAACTGTTGAATAAAGTCCATGTTCTCAATATTTTTCACCTCCAAGGAAATTATTTTTTAATTATTACTTGTAGAATAGGAAAGCAGAATGATGAGGAGGGCCTGTTCGTGCTCAATCTGACATGTCTGCCACAATCAAATCTTGAGGGCTTGGAGAGATGGCTCAGTGGTTAATAGCACTGGCTGGTTTTCCACAGGATCCAGTTAAGTTTTCAGCATCCACACAGCAACTAACAACTGTAACTCCAGTTCCAGGGATCTGATGCCCTCTTCTGGATTCTGAAGGGACTTCATGCACATGCTATACAGACATACATGCAAGCATAACGCCCATATGCACAAAAGAAATTAATTAAAATCTAGGCCAAGATTGTAGCTGTAGCTCAGTGACAGGGCTCTTGCTGTGGATTTCAGCCCCAATACAGGAGAATCGTGTTTATAGAGAGAAACAAGAAGTATAGTTTCCTTGATTGCGAGTGAGAGCTACTGAAGAGTTATTTCCTTGAGTCCATTTGAGACCATCTTTACAGCCTCTCCTAGTACTCATTAGAATTATGAACGGAGTCAAAATTTGTTTTCCCCTTTCAGGGTTGGCCAATTTGGTGGAAAAGACAAGATAGAATGAAAAATCCATAAAAGAATTAATGGAAAGAGAACCTAATTGCATATACATTCTTTTCCAAAAACATTTAATCTGTGTTGGGTAAAATCTCATACCTGTTCTCCGTGACTCTTGTATGTATGCACGCATGAACTGAAGCCCAAACAACTCCTGTTCATCCTCTCCTTCTGTGTTGTCACTGGGAGGAAGTGTCACCTCTAATCTCAGCGGGTTGTCTCGAAAGTTGACAAACCTAGCAGTTCACCAGAAAACAGTGTTTTTATACGTACCATAGAAGTGCATGTATGTTTTTCTGGAAAAAGATCAGACGACAGTATACTGCATTATAACAACTGATTATCCTGCTGAGATCTAATATATTCCCAAGAAGAGACAGTATAGTATCTTTTCCCCCAAAGCTTACATAACATTTAATGTGATGAGAGCAGGTTGAATTATAAATATATGATTAATGCTATGAATATAGTTTGTGCCTGTTTTTATGGATCAATGCTGTAATCATCAAGTACAAAACTAAAGTTGCTGGATAAGACAACGAATGAATTATTTTTGTTGTGAAGGTTTTGAGTTTGAGTATCCATTGCCTTATTCTATCAGAAAGTTACATTTTGCAGAGAATTTTAGCAAAGTAAAAAAAAAAAGTCTGCTGTCTGTTGGCTAATATAATTACCTGTGCCTACTTGTGGTTATTCAGAAGGAAAATAATCACTATTTTATTCTTTTGGTTTTTGTATTGCAAAGCATTTGTTAGCAATATAAAGAGAATTTTGATGATATTGTCACCAACAAGAGACATTTCTTCAAACTGGTAAATCCCAGTACCATTTTATTTTCAGGAATTATTTCTTGAATAAACTAGATTGATGTTACATGAATCACACTCATGAAATTAGTTAAACATTGAAATACATGTTTAAAATATATACACTCAAGCTGGAGAAATTGCTCAATAGTTAAGAGAGTGCTCTAACAGAGGACTCAAGTCCAATTCCTGGCACCCACATGACAACCCAACCCTCTGTAACTCCAGTTCCAAAAGATCCAGTGCTCTCTTCTGGCCTCCATGGGCACCAGGCTCACAAAGGTGTATATATGCAGTCATATAAGTCACAACCCAAATGTCTTGGTCAGAATCTGTATTCCTCCATTCTACTTCCAGGACTAAGCATGCCATGCTGTGTTTTACCTCAGATTTGTCATTTCTTCCATGCAGCCTGGAATATCTTGCAGTTTGTTGTTGCTGAGAACAAGAGTCCCTAAGTTTTTCATATTTTTGATTGTTTCTGGCAGGCAAGTTATTACATTCCTCTGTAGCCACAATGTATGTAAACTTTGCATTCTGGAAAATCAGAATTCTGCATTCAGTCACCTTGAATATGAAAAGCTGGCCTCGTCATATTGTTACATTTAACATTCAATTTTTAATTCTCTTAATAATTAGTTAATTATTTAACATTTAATAAAATGCATTTATTCATTTAACAGAGTTCATTCTTTCTTATTACCTAATTGCCAGGGAAACTTACATCAGGGAATTCACTGAAGACTAGCCTTCATTCAGTGGCAGAAATGAAGCCAACATTTTATACTGCATATTTTTCATAGTTTTCTAAATGAAGAGCTTTAAATGTTACCTAATATGAATCATAAAAATCAAGGACTGATAATATGCCCATCCTAGGCAAGGTAGTTTGGACTAGGGTCAGGATTCCTAGGTTCAAATCCAATTAATGTCGCTCACTGAGACCTGGGCATAGGTGGCAAACACCTCTGCATCAGTTCCCTCATCCCTTAGTAGCATACACAGAAGTGCCCGGCATGCTCTACGTGGTGTGGTTACTATGGCATGTTCTTGGTAATTGGGAATAAATAAAAATAACCCGCTGAAGTAGTACATTTTGAACTAGTTGGATCTTTTGTGATCATCATGGACTCCTCGGTGTTTGGTTTATTGTTTCTTATTTTTCATAGGTGGCTTTGAATCATAGGTAGCGTAGAGTAACCAATTTTACCTTTCTAGACTGTCAGGAAGTTGTTGAAGGTTGTTGCTTCCCATATCCAGCCACTCCAGGGCAGGCATGTTCAAGACAGCAAGAGGGATTGTAGTGAAGTTGTTCATACTCAGATCAAGGTGGGTGAGTCTTAACAGTTTGCTGAGCTAAAGAGGAAAGTGGGTTTTTAAAATAATTATCCACAATGTACATTATTAGAAGGCTCACATTGGTGAACTATTTCACATGAAAAGCTCATATTGTGTGAGTTTTATATAAATAACATTCCATAAAGCATACATAAAACTGAAGAACTTCTGACATTATACTTGAGCTGCCCACAATAAATAAAATATAAGAATAATGAAGCTGGGACATGGTAGTGAATGCCTATAATCCCAGAGACCGAGGGTAGCCTGGGCTACAAAGGTGAGGGGGGAGGCAGATACGGTGGCATCTGCCTTCAATCCCAGCTCTAGAGCCAAAGGCAGTGGATTTCCCTGAGTTCAAGGTCATCGTGGTCTACACGGGGAGTTCCAAGACAGTCACAGGCACACAGTAGACTCTGTCTCAAAAACAAAAAAGACCTTAGTAGCCTGGACTGCCAGTAAAAGGAAATGAAAAGTTTTTATTCAAAGACAATTTGTCTTCCAAGATAACCAAGTTTCAGGGCTAATGTGTGGCAAAAGCAATCCCCACCCCAGGAAGCATTTCTCATCTTTATTCAGTCATTGACTGAGAATTATATAAAAAACTGACTCAAGATAACTTAACTGACTTACTCATATTCACTATCTCAAACATCAAGCTCACTCTATAATAATTCTGTTTGAAAGTGCGATGAGTGACAGCAGATTTTATACCTATGCTCAGCTTAAGGATAAGAACTCATAAAAATCTGCCTGCCTCTGCCTCCAGAACACTGGATTTACAGGTGTACATCACCGTGCCTGGGTTCTCTCAACAGCTCTAAAATGTACTCTTGGTAATGACTAGAGCCCCCGGTTTTTTCATCTAAAAATATCTATTAATCGGGCCTGGAGAGAAGGATCAGTGATAAAGAGCACTGACTGCTCTTCCAGAGGACTCTAGTTCAAATCCCAGCACTCACCTAACACAACTGTCTATAACTCTAGGTGTTTCTGATACCCTCACACAGACATACTTGCAGGCAAAGGCAAATGCACATAAAAAATATCAATTAAGTTACTTCTGTTCCCTACTTGTTTTAAGAAAGCTAATTATGGGAATGACCCACAGTTGTACTTAAATAAGTGAATAATTATGACAGCAACCACACAAAGGCAATATCATTATTTCTATTTTATGAATAAAATCACTCAGAGAGTTCATGTAACTCAATGAACTCAAGTTTTTATAGGCCCAAGGCCTCAAAATTCCTTCCTGTTTATCCTACCGGAGGTTTTATGATATAAAAATTTACTGAATGGGCTGGAGAGATGGCTCAGAGATTAAGAGCACTAGGTGCTCTTCCAGAAATCCTGGGTTCAAATCCCAGCAACCACATGGTGGCTCACAGCCGTCTGTAATAAGATCTGGTACCCTCTTCTGGCCTGCAGGCATAGAAGGAGGCAGAATGTTGTTTGCATAATAAATAAATAAATCTTTAAAAAAGAATTTAATTAACATTTGCAAAACAAACAAAGACAGCTTGCCTGCCAAGTTTCTGCGTTTTGAATTCCTTCTGTCCCGTCTGCACCAAGAAGTATAGAAATACAGCGTTTTGTAGTAGTGCAAAAGAGCAGGATGAGGGAGCTGAAGAGATGGCCTAGTAGTGAGCTGCTCCAAGTGTGAGCATTAGGACCTGAGTTTGGATTCTCAGCAGTAAAGTAAAAAGCTGTATGTGTCGCACACCGGAAACCCCAGTGCTGGAAAGCAGAAACAGAAGGATCCAAGGAGCTTATGATTGGGGAAGACACCTAGGACATCTGGCCTACACACACACACACACACACACACACACGGGTATATATGTGAATACAGACACAGGAGGTGGCATGATTCCATCTAGTAGGTGATGCTGTTTCTCCAGCTTTGTAATTCAAGCCATGGATAAAAATGCATTTCTGAAAACTGTTTACTAGACTTTTCAAATTTGCGTTAACAGGTACATATACTAATGAGGTAGGTACAATTTATGTCTGACAGAGAAATCCTCAGTTGATGACCCCTCAATATATTAGAATCCTTTTTGTTGTTATTTTGTTTTTTCTAACAACTTGCTATGTAGACCAGGCTGGCCAAGAACTCAAAGAGTTCTACCTGCCTCTGCCTCCCAAGTGCTGTGGTTAAAAGCCACCATACCTGTCTAGAATCTTTTCATTATAGTATTGAAAAGATAGTAAATCTGTCTAACAGCCATATATGTGAAAACAAAAAATCTAATATTAGAGGGTGTGTCCGAAGATACATAGCTACTTAGAGTATACACTGTGGCATTAAATGGTCTTTGAATCAGATCTCAGAATAGTATTTCTAATATTTTAGTAGCAGTTTTCTCTGAGATTGAAACATTCCAACCTGCAGGGAAGGTCTGTAAACCATCAGATAAACAACTCAAATAAGGTTCAGGAAGTACCTGAAACTGACCAGATTTCACTAGGACCCTCCTCCCAAGAGTGAACTACAAAGACTGCTGAGAGCCACCCTCACACAAGCCAAAAAGCAAAGAAGACTCGGACCAGACCAGCTTCTGGGAAGAAGCAGAAACCAGCTGAGCTGCCTAGAAGAGGCTTAGACCAACTTTGTCACTTGGAAAGGACACTCTCCAACTTGTAGAACTGCCTGCAGGCTGCGAGGGTACTCTAGGTCCCACCCATGCAGAGATAGACTGTGGGTCATTTCTGATCCTCTAACCCTCACCCATATTCCTGTAAGTAACCCTAGTAAAACTCATGGTTCACCTAGTTGGACTTTGGCGTGATCTGTGTTTTAGTCTGTTGTAGTCACCCTTTCTGGGGTAAGTAGACATGGGTGTTGTGTATCCCCAGGAAAAGTTTTTTCACACAGCAGTAACCCGTCTCCTGGAGAATCTAAGGTGAAGAGAATGGTTAGTGACAACACATAACTTGTTAATGACAGACCTTTCCTATAAACAAAATCACAAGTTTTAGAAAACATACATACGGGCCTTCCTACAGATATAAATTGTTCCTATTGGGCTGCAAAGATGGCTCAGCCATTAAAGGCTAGGCTCACAACCAAACATATAAATTGTTTCTATCACCATTTTCCTTGTGTTTGCATTAAAATAACCTAACATGATGAAACACGTGTTATGTTTCCAAGAGCAAACTGGGAATACTATTATTGGTAGTATGCCCAGTGGTTTAGTAAAAAAAAAAATCTGATCTACTCAAAGATGAGGTCGGAAAATGGAATTGTACCTTTTGTTTTGAATTTTATTGTATTTCTTAACTTTGGTCTTGCAAAGTTCTTGTTTTCAAGGCAGAAAAAGCAAAGATGTTTTTTGCTGATTCTAAGAGCATTCCCTTGTTTGAAAGGTAACAAAGATAGATGTCTTCTTCGTCAATTTAGAGTTTTTTGGTTTGTTTGGTTTTTTTTCGAGACAGGGTTTCTCTGTGTAGCTTTGGAGGCTGTCCTGGAACTAGCTCTTGTAGATCAGGTTGGTCTCGAACTCACAGAGATGCATCTGCCTCTGCCTCCTGAGTGCTGGGATTAAAGGCATGCACCACCACCACCCAGCTCGTCAATTTAGTTTAACCAATGACAAGACATCAAATCAAAATCAGGAGCCTTTCCAACCTGCTCCCTTACTTTTTACTTAGTAAAGCCTGGGATGCCAGCATGACACACACTTTCTCCAATCTTGTCATCATCTTTCTGTCTGTTTCAGGAGTAAGCATGCTATCAAAATCAACTAGAAAAAGGGATTTTCTATTCTCTGATAGTCTGTTCTTCATAGCAATCACACACATATTCATTCAAAACAGCACGAAGTGAATTCAAAATCACAGACATCATGTACACCTGTAATCCCAGCACTCGAAAAGCTAAGGAGTGAGAGTTGGGAGTTCGAGGCCAACGTAGACTAAATAGGGAGTTCATGGTCAGAGTGAGCTGCACAGTGAGACTGTCTCATGACAGACAGACAGACAAAAAAAAGCCTCAACTTCTGGGGATATAGCTCAGTAGCAGAGTTCAATCCCTAGCAGTGACAAAATAATCAAGCATGTATGAGTAACCACTACAGGAACCCAGGCTTTTCCTTATTATAGTAATTTTAAATTACATAAAGTTCTCAGTCTTCTCTCCAACAAACAATGCAGAATGATGACAACAATACAGGAACCTTTTATGCCAAGTAGAGTTTGTTCTAAGAAAAGACCTGCCTTATGGTAGAAAATGCCTTTCTCTAAGTATTTCTTTCCTAAAGTACAATTCATAATACTACTTCATGAGGGTTTTTTTGTTTGTTTGTTTTGTGTTTCCCAACAACCACATGCCTGAGAGGCAAACTACAGTAGACGTAAACAAAACAGACATTTAGACCTTCTGACCTCCGGGGGGAGGTCACTTATATCTCTGTTCACAGCCAGTTCTAGCTTCTCCAAGCTGGCACAGTTGCTCAGTTCTTTGGGGACAGTCTTGATTTTGTTGTAGCTAAGAATCAGTTCCTGCAGTCTGATGAGCAGTCCTGCACAATAATAATAATAATAACAACAAATAACACCACACAGTGAGAAGCAGGTGGACTTAGTGTTTCCTCTCACTAAGTGCTGCTTACATACTTTACGTCCTTAATGGCAAATTCAGTTATTCTCTTCCCTCTCCTCACCTTTAAACTGGGGGCAAGTTTATCATGCTGTAGGAGGAGAGGCAGTGGTATTTTCATTCTGCTTTATCTATACTATGCATCCTGGATCAAGATGGCTGTGGATGGTACAGACCCTGCCTAGCGTGTACCGGGCTCTGGGTGAAGGAACACTAGCCCACTCTGTGGCTCTGGCAGGCCTTAACCCTTCTTCCCAATTCCCTCTGCCTTGCTAAAAACTGTTAAGATTGTATTCCTGCCAGGCAGTGGTGGCGCTTGCCTTTAATCCCAGCACTCGGGAGGCAGAGACAGGCAGATGTCTATGAGTTCGAGGCCATCTGGTCTACTGAGAGAGTTCCAGAACAGCCTCCAGAGCTATACAAGAAACCCTGTCTAGAAAAACTGGAAGAAAAAAAAAAAAGAATTACATTCCTAAAACTAGCCACCAAGGTCTATTCCCTCATTTGGCCACTTCCTCCTGAGGCTGACTGTCAAAGTCCAGCAATCAAAAGCCCCCTTTGGTTCTCCTAATTAACATGTTCAGTTTAAAAGTAAACACCTCATCCTAACACGAAGTTTCTCCCTTTACCTTTATAAACCACCATTTGCCTATGGACCACGTCTGTCTGGTCTCTATCCAGAGACAGTCCTTTGTTCCTCCAGGACAAATACCCCTGCCCTTTTCTCTCCTTCCTTCCCCTTCTCCCCCATGCCCTATCCTCTTTACCATAGCGTTCTAGCCCATTCTAACAAACACCCCCTTTCTCTCTTAAGAATTACACCTACAGGATCATTCACTGCTGTTTTTCTGCCTGAGTCAGAAAGCAGTCACTTTAACGTTTCTACCCATCTTAATAAAGGATCTCTCTGTGAAAACAGGTGTGTGGGTATAGTTTGGGTTTAATCCAGGTATGGGAGGGAGCCCCCCATCCTAAGCAATTTTTCACTTGAGAACATTTTGCCACTGTCTAATGAATCCTCCCCCTTCATTGCCTTTAGTGTGTTCTAAGATAAATAGCTAAACCAATAATATTGTTTTCAAAATATACAGAATATTTCCAAAAGCTTTTCTCAACTAAAATTTTATCTATCACCCAGTATAAGTTTGAATTCCCTGAAGCATTTAGCTAGATGAAATGTTTGCAGTTTTTCTCAGGCTTCAGAGAGATCTTTATTCCCCGTTTTTTAAGGTGGGGGGAGAAACTGAGAGAATGAAAAAGTAAATAAGATAGCACAGGGATAAAGCAATCATCCTTACCAATTCCTCGGGGGATCTCTGAAATTGTGTTTCGAGATAAGTCTAGCACAATGAGATTCTGGAATCTTCCGATGAATTCAGGAATTTTCAACAACCCCGTCCTATGAAGTTGCCATTCTTGCAACTGATTCAGTTTCAGTAAAGAAGAAGGAAGAGTCTAAAATAAAAATAAGTGTGGACAATCATTACATTACATTGCTTGAATTATTCTATCATTGTATTGCACTGCGGTGATATTATGGGATTTGTAGAAGCACTTGACAATAGCTTCCCCTTGACTGGCAACATTCCCAGGTACTTTGAGCTGCTTCTACTACTCAAACCTTGATTTTTATTATTTTTGATTATTTTCAGCTTTTTACAAGTTATTTACTTCATTTATTGTTAAATCTTCAAATCTCAACTGTAGTAGAATAAACAAAAATATCATACTTTGGCCAATAATGGAGACACATAGAAGTCTGTCCTAATGATTCTGTTGTATTTATTAGACTATTCAAGAGCACATACATAACTGAAAATGAGAATATTCCAAAAAGCATTTTAGTAATTTGAATTTCTCTTCCACTTCTATTATTAAGTATTTTTAGCAGTTTGTTTGTTTGCTTGTTTTGAGACAGGGTCTCTGCAGAGCTCTAGCTGTCCTAGAACTCACAGCCTAGACCAGACTGGCATTGAACTCAGAGAGATCCATCTGGCTCTACCTCTGCCCGTGCCTCACAAGTGCCGGGGTTAAAGGTGTGCACCACCACTTTCAGCCTATTTTATGAGGGTTTTTTTTTAAAGTTTTTTATTTTTTTTAACTCAGAACCCTATTCCTTTTCCTTTCAAGCCTAAAATAAGCCAAAGAGAAACTAAGAAAATTAACTAGGAAACTGACGACATAGCTAATGATACCTCCATGAGTAAAAAAACAAACATTGGGTCAAGGCTCCGAAGCCCTTGTAAAAATGACTGAGTCTGATATAATTAAGCACACCTGTGCATGTGTGCTCATCCATATGTGAGGGAGAGGAAAGTATCAATGGGGATACACCTAACAAGAAATGTCCCCTTCCATTTTGAAGTCTAAAGTGATAGTTTAGCTATGTGATTTGTGTTAGCCTGGTCATCACTGTTGCAGAGCACAACGGGATATCTGCCTATTAGAAGGAATTGGAGAGTAAACATCACAAGGGATTTGAGTTCAAGCAGTATGGAAGCAAAGAGACTCTGACAAAAAATAACTTCATGCAGTTACATTTCTTTTCCACTGTTCGTGTTGTCCAAATCCACTTGTGTTATGAATAGATTTCTAACCATCCTAGTCTTAAATCCGGCCTCATGTCCTCTCTGGTCTTCACACTATCCAGAGCGTGGGCAACCAAAAACCGCTTCTAGAGCTCTTACCTTCCATTCTTCTTTTTCTATCTTCAGAACGACTCTTCCATCTTCCCTGGTGACCTTTTCTCTCAGCTTAGTTAAGCTTACTCGGTCTTCCCAGATCCGCACTAGCCTAAGACACCAGGACATATTTTTATTCACAGGTAATGACGAAAGTGGCATTCAGAATGTCCATCCAAACAACTGATACAACAATGAGAGAAACAGAGGCCATGCATGAATTTAAGAGAGTGCAAAGGGTGAATGCGAAGGGTTGAAGAGAGGAAAGACAGGGGAGGAGTGACAATGTAATGTCATTTTGCAAAAAAGAAAAAAAATTAAAAAGTAACCACTGAGCCAGTGCTAACACATGCAACCACCTTTCATCTGATTTCTAATACCATTGGCTCAGTGGTCATCACGGCAGAAAGCAGACTGGCCTGGTAATGGCTCCTAATTTCTCCCAAACAGTTCTATTAACTGGGGCTCACTCATGAGTCTACGGGGTCATTCTCATTCAAACCACCACATCCTCTAAAAGCTCTTTGTGTGCTTGAGCTGCTTAAGCTGGTCTTTTTTGAGTTATATATATATATATATATATATATGATAGCCTTCATACATATATACATATGATAGCCTTCTATTTTCTTAAGGGTCTGGCCCTTTAATAAATCTGCTTTTCTTCACATTAGCCCTCTCCTCACTTGTATTAGCCTCTGAGCGGTGAGCAGTGTCTTGGATTTACTAACACAATTGTTTTAAGGTTGGTTTATTGGCTTTGGTGCTGGGGATAGCACAGTACCTTGCACTGACTAAGCCCAGCCCTAAGGTTTTAAAAAGTATCACAATTTCCATATATTTTCCTTCTAGTATCATTAGCAAGATATGATTCGCATGCTATAGAATTCAGCCTTTTAAAGTATACAAGTCAATGATTTCATTTGTAAATTCACAACGTCATGCAACTGTCTCTAGTATCTAATTCCAAAATATTTTATTTCTCAAAATTCCCCTTCAATCCTCATTAACAGACATCCCTCATCCCTCCTTCCCTTCCTGATCATCACTATTTTTTATACCTATACATTTGCCTCTTCTGTATTTCATGTAAATAGGGCAATATATATGTGTGCCTGGCTTTTTAGCACAATTCAAACTTCATCCATGCTGTATAGCACAAATCAGCAATGCACTTCCTTTGATGGTGGATGGCATTACTGTACGGATCTATCACATTTGTTTGTTCATCCATCAGCTGACTACTGTTTTGGCTCTTCTGTATCACCTTGCTAAGAACCTTTGTGTACATGTCTCTTTGTAAATAGCAATTATAAAAGGCCATTGTTTTGGACCTAGCTTTTACACTGGACTTAAACAAATAAGACTAAAAATCAAAATAAAGTTTGGCAGTGGTCTGAATAAGAATGCCCCCCATAAGCTCATATATTGGAATGCTTAGTCATCAGGGAGTAGCACTATTTGAGAAGACTAAGAGTGGCCTTGTTGGAGGAAGTGTGCCACTGGGAGTAGACTTTGAGGTCTCAGATGTTCAAGCCATGCCCTGATGGGGGATGCCCTTCTGTTTGCTGTTAATAAGTTTCTCTTATTGGTTGGTTAATAAAACACTGATGGGCCAATAGTCAGGCAGGAAGTATAGGTGGGACTACCAGACAAGGAGAATTCTGGGGAGAGGATGCAGAGAGAGAGAGAGATGCCATGTAGCTACCAGGAAGAAAGGAAGCTGGGAATTCTCCAGTAAGATAAGGCCATGTAGAAATACATAGAATAGTTATGGGTTAATAATTAAGAGACAGCTAGCCAGTAAGAAGCCTAAGCCATTGGTCAGTTTGTGATTAATATAAGCCTCTGTGTTTTTGGGTATAAATGGCTGTGGGACCAGGCAGGACAGAAACTCCATCTACAATGCCCAGTGTGGCATTCTCTCCCTGCTGTCTCCAGATCCAGATGTAGAACTCTCAACTCTTTCTCCAGCACCATGACCGCTTGTACACTGCCATGTTCCCCACCATGATGATAATGAACTAAAGCTCTGAAACTAGAAGCAAGCCCCAATTAAATACTTTCTGTTATAAGAATTGCCTTGATCATGGTTTTTCTTTACAGCAATAGAACAGTGACTAAGGCAAGGTCCATGTCACAAAAATAAAAGAGTTCTTTGGCCTTCTGAAAAATCATGACAGGTGACAGTCACTTTCCCCACCAAAACAGTTCCAATTAGTTTAGTAATTAATTTCCCTCTGACATAACCCTAACACATAATGTTAACATATTCCTAAAGGGAACATGAGAAAGTCAGATATGACCCAGCTATTTATTTTTATAGTTCTGTTTTCTTATCTTGGTTTTATAGGAAAAATAACTTTGGAATGACCAAGCTGCCTTGTGTTCTATGGTTTTCCTCCCCCCCCCCCAGCTGTTTTCTGTATTTAAAAGCAATCTGTTGTTACTTGACTTCATAGAATGAGTACTACCTGACTCTAGGATCATCATCCTGTCTTTTGAAACAGGAGCAGAGTTAGAAAAATTGGAACCTAAGTCCAGATCCTTAGCACCGGCATGAACCCCTGACACATCTGTAACCCCAGAAGAGGGGAAATGGAGTGATAAAAGCATGCTCAGGGCTCACTGGGCACCCAGCCTAGCTGAGTTACAAGTTCAGTGAGAGACCACGTGATAAAAAATAATAATAGAGTGGACAGTAACTGAGGAAGGCACCCAACATTAACCTGCACACATTTACATGCTCACACTCGCATGCATGCACACGTGGACATATACACACTAATGTATGTGGTGGAGAGTGACTGAGGAGCACAGCTGACAACCCCTTCTGGTCTCGACTTGCACGCACCCGTGCACACTTGCACATATACACACGCACACACACACAAACCTTTCAAGTTAATTGCAATTTGACCTTCCACCGATTGTATATTTTTATTTCTAGGGCTATATTCTTAGGAGAATCTGATGAACCAACAGAACAGCATAGCCCCCGTTTCACATTCTGATTATCTACTCTCCACAGCTCTTTCTCACTGTGTTTGCTGGCCTCAAACTTATGGTCCTCCTGCTTCAGCTTCCCGAGGGTTCGAATTACAGACAAGCACCACCACACCTGGCAAAACCAAGTTTTTAATGCTATAACGTGATTTTTGCAATGAAATTGTTTTTAAGAATAATAGAAAGTGGTTTTTGAGGTCTTCATGGTATTCGTTTCCTGGATAGATAATCTGAACACTTGGGCGACAGAAGCAGATGGACCTCTGTGAGTCCAAGGCCAGTGTCTCTCTGTCTTTCTCTTACACACACACACACACACACACACACACACACACACACACACACACACACGGCTGAGGTGTAAAAGGAGCTAACTCGAGGGCTAAACCACACGCAGGAGTTGGAAGAGGGAGGAGAACAGAAGCTGAGTCTTACAATGTGGAGTCTGTGTTTTGACTCCTTTTGCAATCACCGCCTCCCGGTTGGAGCCACTGGAGTTGAACTTTCTATTTTTTTAAATGACATTAACTATTAACTATTTGTTTCATGAATGAGAAGGGAGGTATTCTGGCAAGATTCAACTGAAAACAACCAATCAGGAAAATAGGTCAAATATTAAGATTTCAAAAGAAATGAGAGCCCAATATTAAAATGCAGCCCTCTCTTTATCAAGAAATCATGTGATCCAGAGGGACCCTGACTCCAGCTCACAGCCATTCAGGCAGGCTGGGGAATGTGTCCATCTTCCACTGTGAGGTGAAGCTTTAGGTTTCTAGTGGATGTAACCCTGAGAATTACACTGTCACAGAAGCCAAACTTCCATGTGGGGTTCTGTTTCCACATACCAACATCCTTTTGCTACTCTCAACACATTGTCCCATCTGAGTCAATTATTTCCTTTAAGAATAGTTCCAGAGGGCTGGAGCAATGGCTCAGTGGTTAACAGCACTGGCTGCTTTCCCAGAGAACACACTTCTTCAGCACACACACTACAGCTGGAAACCACCTGTAATTCCAGTGCCAAGGGATCTGACACCCTCTGCTGGCCTCTGAGGGCACTGCATGGAAGAGGTACACAGACATGCACACTTGCAAAATAATAATATAGAAAAAATAAAGGCTATTTTGAGGCCTGAGAGATGGTTTAGTAGTTAAGACCACTTGATATTCTTCTAGAGGATCCAGACTCAGTTCTCAGCACCCACATAGCAGCTCACAACTGTAACTTCAGTTTCTGGGGATCCAGTGCCCTCTTCTGGTCTCCATGGGTACCGTAAATAAGTGGTAGACAAATTGTCTGCAGTCAAACAGTCATATACATAAAATAAAAATAAAGCATCTTAAAGGTTATTTTGAGTTTTCAGCAGATAAAAATTTATCAAATTCAGTGGAGCTCTTACTAAATGATCTTTTCATGATGATGAGATTATAAGTTTCCACTAATCTAAGATAAAATGTCACAGCATACTTGTGCTGAAATTCCTTCTCTCGCTTCACGTCTTCGTTGTGTTTCTTTATTCTTTCTTCCCAGACTTCCTTTACAGCATTGATGGCCCCAGTACAAACCACATTTTCTGTCATGATTTTTCCGCATTGTAGTCAAGTCATCTACTTCATTTAGTTCTGAAGAGCTGAGTCCCCGGCCACCTCTGAGAAGACCTAAGTACATGAGAGGGGAAGAAGCCTTGTGTTTCAGAATACTTACACGCACCATAGCAGCCATGAGAGATAATGTTTGTTGAACACCCATATCTCCCCAAACTATATGTATTACTTGTCCCTCCCTCCCTTCCTCCGTCCTTCCTCCCCCCCCCCTTCCTTCCCTTACTGTTTATTCAGAGACAAGGTCCACAAGTTGCCCATTTGGTCTCAAACTCCTGTGCTGAAGCAATCCTCTGACTTCAGCTTCCCAAGCAGGTAGAACTGCAGGCTCACACCAGCATGCCCAGCTATTCCACATGTGTTTGCGTGCCATGTCTTATTTTAAAGACATGTAAAATATGATTTGAGCATTTTTGCTGCCTTTAATAATCACATGAGGAAACTAAATCTTAAAAGAGCACATGTGGTAGGAGCTGGAATTGCTGCCCGATCTTCCTCCTTTGCTACTGTGTCATTCATAACAATGAAAACCTGCAACTAGACTTGCATCCAGCTATGGGAGAGTGACTAAACAGTGGATACATCCATATCCTCAGCAGGAAAAGGTGTTTACCCCCACGTCTGACGACGTTCAGAGCGTCCGGACTCCAACTGTGTCCATCACATAGGGCTTTCCCATAAGATTAATTAAATCTGTTTTTTTTTATGGCTAGAGAGACAGCTCAATGATTAAGAGCATTTGCTTGTCTTCCCAAGGACAGAAGTTTGGTTCCCAGCACCCACATCACGAGGCTCCCCACTGCCTGTAACTCCAGTCCATGGGGATCTGATGCCGTCTTCTAGTCTCCAAAGACACACATGTGCACACACACACACATGCACGCTCAGTATAAAATCTCACAGAAATGTACACATACATATTTCAAAAATAATATAAATAATGTAAATTTTTTAAAATTTCAAGAGAAAGGGTAGATCAGGAAGTAGAAAGTTGTTCAGAGAGAAGACAGAAAGTTCAGAAGCAAGAGAAGGCCACAGGAAGTACAACTGTGACCACAGCATGTTACATGTATGCATCATGTTGTGGTGAAACCCATTGTTTAAACTTAACATGTACTAATAAGAAGAAAGAGAAAAAATCAATGGAACAGAAACAATAAAATAGAAAAGATAAGGAATTCAGACAGCAAAAAAATCATAAATTGTACTTAGCCTTAAGATTCTGTAGATCAAACCATAATAAACTATCTACACATGTCCTATCAGAATGGCTGATAGAAACAGACTGACTCTACCAAATACTGGCAAAAGTTTGAGTGAGGAGTTTTCCCCTAGTGCTGTGCATGATGGTACTGCACTTTGGTTGTGCAACATGTATCCATTCCCACTCAATAATAGGTAGAATAGACCTTCATTATGAAATGTGAGCAAGTGTCCCCCAACAACGACTTTTCAAAGTAGTAGTAGTAGTAGGATGATGATGATGATGATGATGATGCTAGCAATAAACAACAGATGCCTCCTGGGAATTTACTTTTCTATGGGTCTCTTCATTTGGCAGGTCCAGGATGTTTGGCCAACATTATCTAAATTGTAGATTATAAATTAAAATTACTCAAGATGCATGGGAGCAGATAGAAAATAGCTGTTAGAAGAAAAATGGGGGTTTCTATGTCATTAGAAATAGGGAAAAATACTTGATGGGGTACTATTCCTAAGGAATGCATGAAGCCCACACATAGGAACTGAGTGTGAACCCTTTCTGCAGTCAATAAACCTTGGTGTTAGGCATAATGGCACATGTCTGTTGGTGGGCTGAGGCAGGGGATGGTAAGTTTGAGACCAGCTTGGGATACATAACAACATCCTGCCAAAGAAAGTGGAAGGAAGAAAGGAAGGCAGGAAAGAACAAATGGATAAAAGAAGAAAGGGAGAGTTGCTGGGAGGAAAGGAGCCTTAGAGAACATGTACTGGCGACCTAATGCCTGGTCATGTCACCTATTGTCTCAGATGTTAATAAAACTGAAGTGAGTACTAAATACTTTCAAAAAATAAAATGAGAATACTTAAAGAATACACGCTATCTTCATATATGTATTGTTTTATTACATATAAGCTCATATTTGTTAACTTATTTCATTGTTTGACATTAACTATTGGTCATCTTTAATATTAGTTTTCCTAAAATGAAAGATCTGCATCAGAAAAAAAATCAAGCTCCATAGCAAAGCATTTCTTCATCTAACTGCTTTGTGCAGGAAAAGCACTCAGAGGAGCAGAGCAGTGAGGTAAGCATGCCAACACCATGATGGGAGTGTGCTTCCCAAAGATAAAGAAATAGCCAAAGAAGCACAATCTTAAATTCTTGCTTTCAGGGAAGCCTATCTCTTACGTCCCACAGAACAGCAATTATGTGAGTGATGACAACTCCCCTAAAGAACTCATAAGTTAAACTCTAGTTCAGTTCTACATTGGTGGGCTTATACACGGTGAAGTCATCACTGGCAATCCACTTGTGCATAAGGAATGGAGGAAGACTATTTTGGAAAAGCACTTACCCTTGGGGGATGCTGCAGCCAACACACCCAAAGCTCCCGATTTTCAGCTAGAAACACAAGGTGAATTTTGTCCAGCGTGGATCCAAATAACTAAAATCCTCTGACAGGCTGTAACCAAGTGAAAAGTAATGTCAGCCTAGTTCTAATTTTAGCTCACAGACAAGGCTGAGAATAGCAAGAGTCACGTGGGGCTTCTGTGGAAAGGTTCAGCTGATAATGTATGTGAGTGTGTTGCGGACACAGTGCCAGAAATACTGGGAAACTTTCAGGGAGAATTATTTCTTTTTTAAATTCATTTAATTGTAAAGTTTCATGTTTGGGTGTTTTGTGTGTATGTATGACTGTGCACCACACGTATGCAGCGCCCTACAGACCAGAAGATGTTGGACCCGCTGGAACTGGAGTTATGGACGGTTGTGCGCCACTATATGGATGCTGGGAATTGACCCTGGATCTTGTGCAAGAAGAACAGGTGCCCTTCACCACTGTGTCATCTCTCCAGTCCCACGGAGGGAGAACTATTGCTAAGTACTAGGAAGGCATTCTTCTAAAAGTCTTTACACTTACAGATTGTATGTACTTAATAGAATGTGATGGGTCTGTTTGAAGCCAAGCAACTTCAGAATACTCTGATGTGCAGCAGAGTAAAGCCCCTCCATTGAACGATGCTTCAGATAAATGAACAAGAGAGGTGTGACGAGGAAACTCAGCTAACGGGCACCCACGCCTCAGTTTGGGAGTGTGCTGGAGATCGAATCAGGACGCATTCATCTCCTTGCCTCTCAGGTACACTCTCAAATCTGTGGCTCCAAATGTAATTAACTTTCAGTTTTTATCTCTCAGCTTTCGTAGACCGGACCTAATTACTTGTTCTTAAGAATTAACAGTTAGTTTTTAAATTTCGTATGCATCTGTACATGGACAAATTTTAAAAGGTGACAAATCTCATTTTTACATTGTATCTACACACAGACGCACAGACACACAGACACACACAATTGTTAGTACTAGGCTAGTGCAGAGGCCCTTGCATATGCTAGGCAAACACTCTACTACTGAGCTACACCCACAGCTCTATAGAATTATATGTTATCATGCTTTGTTAGCATATATATGTATATATTTACAAAATAATTGGTTTCTTATAACATTTCTTCCCTAGAGATCAAAAGGGATGTTCATCCTGCTTTATATTAGTGGGCTACTTCCAGTTCCAACGATATAAAAGCTCCCCGGAATTAAAAACCTTTCAAAGCTGAGCAGTGGTGGCACACACCTCTAAGCCCCAGCACTCAGGAGGAAGAGACAGGCGGATCACTGTGAGACCGAAGCCAGTGAGATCTACTGAGCAAGTTTCTGGACAGCCCCCATAGCTACAGAGAAACCCTGTCTCAACAAAACGATGATAATAATAGTAATAGTAATAATAACAATATGAAAATCTTTCACAAAAATTACTGTGAATTACGTAACACCATTTTCTGATACTGACCCCCAACTTTAGAGTAAATTTTATGATCAGTTTTTAAAAAACTACAATGTTTTTTATTCAAATTTCTAAAAATACTATGGAGAGCTTTCCCATCTAATAAAAGTAGAAGTTATAGGAATTTTATTTTTATACTCAGAATCATGAAGTTTATCTTAATTTGTTCTATAAATAACATTCTACTGCAGAGGGAACACATTTTATTCACCTATTTAGTTTCCTATTGTATCTTATTCATTATTTTCTTCCTTGTATATGGTGTGTTGCCTGCATGTATATTTGCAGTGCCCACAGAGGGCAGAAGAGGGCGTCCGATTTCCTGGAATTGTCATTGCAGATGGATATGAGCCACCTGTGGGTGACTGGGAAAGGAACCTGTGCTCTTAACTGCTGAGTAATCACTCCAGCCCCCCACTTTTCCCTTTTTTCAGGCAAGGGTCCTCCTGTGCTGTCCTGGTCACACTGAAGCCCCTGGGCTCAAATGCTTCCTCCTCCTCAGCCTTCTACAGCCAGGACTACGGGTGTATGCCACCAGGCCTGGCTTTTACCATCATTTGTAATACACACAAAACTGTATGAGAAATGATACAGTCAAAGTTTTAAAAATGCCACTTTTTAGGCCGGGCGTTGGTGGCGCACGCCTTTAATCCCAGCACTCGGGAGGCAGAGGCAGGCGGATCTCTGTGAGTTCGAGGCCATCCTGGTCTACAAAGCGAGTTCCAGGACAGCCTCCAAAACAATACAGAGAAACCCTGTCTCGAAAAACCGAAAAAAAAAATGCCACTTTTTGGAGCTGGAGTGATGGCTTGGTGGTTATGAGATCATGCAGGTATCATACGTTTGATTACAATTCTTGCAATTCCTTCTTATAATCTTAGTCTTTCTGGACTTTGCTTATCCTAAATTTAGACCCATTGTGAAAGCGTCCTGAAGCAAACTTCAAGTTATATAGTTTTCTTCCTGGTATAACAGTCCTTACCTGAGGGTATGGATGACTGCGGCCACTCGTGTTATCAGTTGGAAGGAGGCTGCCTCAACCTACCCAGTTTCCCCCCACATACAACCTCTTATTCCCCAGCCCCACCCCAGAACCTTCTTTTCAGTTGCTATTAGAACCTGAATTCTTGTGGTCCGTGTGCCTACATATCCTTTCTCCCGTCTCTTGTTACCATCAAGGACAGCTGTTGCCCATGCTTTGAATTATAACATTCCTCATGGCACTCTGTAAAAGCCTAATATAGATGACCTCTCCCTAACAGAGCTGTGCGTGTTCGTGTCATGCTAGCTGATTTCCTGTGTTTTTTTAAACTAATTTTTTATTTATATAACCATATTCATCTATATTAAATTTTATGTGCATTGCTGTTTTGCCTGCATGTTTGTCTGTGTGAGGGTGGTGGATTTTGGAGTTACAGACAGTTGTGAGCTGCAGTGTAGGTAGCCTGGGTCCTCTGGAAGGGCAGTCAGTGCCCTTCATGGCTGAGCCATCTCTCCAGCTGCCTCTCCTGCTTTTCTGGTTTTTCTTTGGACTGTCTCCAACTTTTTTCTATAGGATTTAGGGGAAAAAAAAGAAAAAAGGTAGAAAAAGATCTACCAAGAGCTTGGATGTAGGATTACTGAGACCTTGGGACACAGTAGGTCCTAACATTAGGTCAGATGGTTTGCAAGGTAGGGTTTATGAGACAGACTAGAGTTAAGGAAAGATGTAATGATCCAATCTTAGTTTTTAAAAAAAACATATGTAGAAAGGAACAAAACCATTGCTTTCTTGTTTTGGGTTGCTATAACAGACTACTTGAGACTGGGTAACTGTTGTTTTTTTTAATGTATATTTGCATGTATGCCTGCATACCACAAGAGGGCATCAGATCCACTATAGATGGTTGTGAGCCGCCATGTATTGCTGGGAATTGAACTCAGGACCTCTGGAAGAACAGTCAGTGCTCTTAACCACTGATCCAACTCGCCAGCCTGAGATGAGGTAACATTTTTTTGTTTGTTTGTTTGTTTTTAATTGAGCTATACATTTTTCCCATTCCCCTTCCCTCCACCCTTCTCCCCTTCCATCCTCTCCCCTGCCCCCATGTCCCCAATTTACTCAGGAGATCTTTTTTTTCCCCTTCAAAGGCAGATTCACGTATGTCTGTCTTTGGGACCTCTTTGTTACCTAGATTCTCTGGGGTTGTGACCTGTAGGCTGGTTGTCCTTTGTTTTATGTCTAATATCCACTTAAGAATGAGTACATATTATATTTATCTTTCTGGGTCTGGGTTATCTTACTCAGAATGACTTTTTTTAGTTCCCTCCATATGGCTGCAAATTTTATGATGGCATTGTTTTTTTGTTTTTCGGTGGTTTGTTTAACACTGAGTAGTAGGTCATTGTGTAAATGTACCACATTTTCTCTATCCATTCTTCAGTTGAGGGACATCTAGGTTGTTTCCAGGTTCTGGCTATTACGAATAATGCTGCTATGAACATAGCTGAGCAAATGTCCTTGTGGTGTGAGTGTGCGTCCTTTGGGTATATGCCCAACAGTGGTATTGCTGGATCTTGAGGTAGATTGATTCCCAATCTTCTGAGAAACTGCCATACTGATTTCCAAAGCGGTTGCACAAAGTTTGCACTGGAGGAGTGTTTCCCTCTTACTCCACATCCTCTCCAGCACAAGCTGTCATCAGTGTTTTTGATCTTGGTCATTCTGACAGGTGTAAGATGGTATCTCAGAGTTGTTTTGATTTTCATCTCTTTGATGACTAAGGATGTTGAGCAATTCCTTAAGGGCCTTTTTAGATTCCTCTGTTGAGAGTTCTCTGTTTAGATCTGTACCCCATTTTTTTAGTTGGATTATTTGGTCTCTTAATGTCCAGTTTCTTGAGTTCTTTGTATGTTTTGGAGATCTGCCCTCTGTCACATGTGGAGTTGGTAAAGCTCTCCCGTTCTGTAGGTTGCCATTTGGTCTTGTTAACCTTGTCCTTTGCCTTACAGAAGGGTCTCAGCTTCACGAGGTCCCATTTGTTCACTGTTGCTCTCAGTGAGACTGGGTAACTTTTAGAGAACAAAGATGTATTCCACAGTTCAGGAGACTGGGGCCTCATCTGGTGAGGCCCTTTTTGCTGCATCGCAACGTGGTGGAAAGCATCACATACAAGAGGAAGAGAGAGACCACTGGCAGCCTTAAGCCCTCCTACCATCTGTTAATCTGTTCACAAGAGTGGCATCCCCATGACCTAAGCATCCCTCCCACCACTTTACATGGGGGATTAAGTTACCGACATGTCAAAACAGGGTCAAAAGAATGGCACGTGGGGAAAAGTGAGAGAGGCTTCAGAAAAAAAAAAAGCAGAGGGCCTCTTACCTCTAGTTCATTTTGTTTTCTGGATTGTTCTTAGATAACATTTCTTTCTTGTTTTTTTTTTTTACAAGACATGGTTTCTCTGTATTGTTTTGGAGGTTGTCGGTCCAGCCTGGCCTCGAACTCACAGAGATCCGCCTGCCTCTGCCTCCCGAGTGTTGGGATTAAAGGCGTGTGCCACCACCGCCTGGCCTTAGATAACATTTCATGCCCCCTGCAACAAATATTGCATTCAATTTATAAGGAATGCTTATTCTTGTTGGATGTCAAATGATAGCTATAGAACCCAATGTGGTCAGTGT